GCCGCATCAAGTATTCCACCACCGTGGTGGTGGTGGGCCGCTCATCCCGTGTCGCTCCCGGAGGCCAGCCTGGGTGCCACCGGCGCTTTGAAGGCCGCAGGGCCCCTCCCCTGTGCCCCGCCCAGCCCAGCAATTGGCCCGCGGGCCGCGAGTTGGAAACCCCTGCTTATACAGTGGTACCTCTGCTCACGAATGCTTCAGTTCACGACCAAATCGGGTCGCGAACAAAAATTTCAAAAACATTTTCACACAGGTCGCAAACTCCGCATTGGGTGGCAACCGTGATCATGGCCATCTCCCCACACCCCTGAGTGGGGAGATGGCCGCAATCGTGCTGGGGGCAGTGGGGGGGAGAGATGGCTGAGATCATGCCCATCTTTCCTGCAGGAGCGCAACCACAATCTCAGCCATCTCCCCCACCCCCAGGACAATCACGCCCATCTCCCCCTGCAGCGCACCTGTGTTCGCGCCTGTCTCTTCCCCCCAGCACACCCGCGTTTGTGCCCGTCTCTCCCCATCCCCAGCACGCCGGGATGACGGGCACGTGCAGGGATGATGGGCGCAATCATGGTTGTGCTGTGGGGGGGCAGGGAGATTGCCGCACTTGTGCTCGGGGCGGGGGGGAGAGATGGCTGCAATCTTTGTTGTTGTCACTTTGCTTCACATTTTTCTGATTAAAAAAATAGTTACAGAACATATTAACCTTATTTACATTGAACCTTATGGGGAAATTTAACTTGGCTCACGACCAATTTGGGTCACGACCAGAGTCCTGGAACAGATTAAGTTCATGAGCCAAGGTACCACTGTATATAGTTACACCAGCATTTAAAATACCTAAATCTGAGGTTGACCTTTTGTCCTGTTTTACAGAGAGCAGGCCTTTGTTTGAAAAGCTGTCCAGTCCAAACTCCTCTTAAAGATCACAAGCTAGGAGAACTTCAAGGCAGGGGCCTTCAAATTGTCCATCCACAGTTAAGATCTGGACAGCAAACTCACTTGTGGCTCTTCAGAGTGCCCTTTGAGAGTTAGCCATGGAGTCCAGGATCTGATGAGTCTGCTGCCTAATCACAAGGCCACTGAGCCCAGCAGAAACCCCTTTGCAGGGATATCCAGGGACCCCATTTAAGGGTCAAGGATTGGGTGGTTATGACAGCACCACCTCCCTCCAACTCTGCAAAACAAAGTATGCATCCTAACATTATGTGCTTGTTTTTAGATCAAGCAGACAATTTTACCAGTAGAACTTCCACTGGTCCATCAAGAGCTGAAAGAAATTGATGTTGGCCTGCAGAAAGCTGAGACCAACCTGTTCTGGAGCACTGAAGGTACACATGTCTGTTGGCTTCTGTTGTGAGTTGTAGTCCCTTGTTTGCAGTACAGTAGTTAAATGTAAACCAAAGCTTAGCCACAAACTTTGTGAGTTCAAGTCCATCTACCTTTATACTGAATGGCCATCAACTTACATCGTAGGACTGAGTATCAGAGGAGGTATTGTCCACAACCTCCCTCTTAGTCTGATCCTGGCCTTATTCCTGAAGAGGAGGCATGAGAGAAGGTAGGGCAGAGGGCAGAAGACTAGCTAAGTCCCAGGGAATTACAGTCTTTGTCTGCTACAAAAATCTAGGGTCTTGAGGAGAAACTGCAGTCCAGCCCATTTTCAGCAAGGGCTTCTTGCAACTTGGCAGTGATATGGGGCTCATTTCAGCTGTGCAGTGATATGGCTTGGCAATGCTGACAGATCTCATAATCTGGTGTGGCTTGGGTGAATAAGTCTTAGGCTTGCTTGGAGATTGCCCCATGCCCCAAAACAGGGAAATTGCATACTCTGAAGGCCTCAGTCTGTCAACCCAGAGTCTTGATGCTAACTACAATTTGGAGAATCCTGAAGGTAAACAAAGGGGGGTGGGGGTGGAAGACTAAAGGGGAGGGGAAGCCTATAGATTCTGCTGCCAGTTAATACATGTTTCTCACCACCACTCATCCTGCTAGGTGTTATGGACTACATTCAAGAGATGCGAAATGTCTTATATGATTTAGAAACTAGAATTCAGAAAACCAAATTAAATGTGGAGAATATTGATCAGCTTATGCAGGTGAGTACTATGTCAGAATTGCTTTTGATCAGGTAAGTGAAAAGAAAAATGTAGTCATGAAATCATATTTGATATGCTTTGCCCTGTGCAGGCAAGTTATTTTTTCCAAGCTACAGTAAAAGCTGTTTTTTAATAGGAATGGTCAGCTAGTCCTTTGTTTGAAAGGAAAGACAATAAGGAGACAGCGCTTCTCGATTTGGATGGAAAGCAAACAAACTTAACCAAACGCTATGCAGCAGTCAAAGATGCAGGGCAGAAGATTCAGGCTATGGTTGAGGTAAGAAACAATTTCAGAAACTGGCAGCTGTAGATCATCCTTATAAATAGCAGCAGGTTTTTTACATATCAGGAATAGGGGAAGCTACCCTGTAGTGAATCAGATTGTAGTTTTAAATTAATTTTAGTATGCAGGCAGTCCCCAGGTTACAAATGCCTGAGTTACGAACATCTGTACTTAGGAAGAAACTGTCATAAAGCCCACTAATTTAAAAATCTTAGTTAAAGGTAAAGTGTTCATAGTAATGAACATGAACTAGTTTTGGTGGCCTACTGTGAGAAACCATCACCACAAAGAGGGAGGAGACGAAAGGGGAGGGAGGGAGGCCTCCAGAGCATCACCATAGAGGGAGAGGAAGTGAAAGAGGAGCGAGGGAGGCCTCCAAAGCGGACTTCCCTGCCCCGCCCATCCAGGGAGGAAAATGCTTCCAGCATTTCCTTGGTGCAAAGGGGAGGCACTGGTGAGTGAAAGTGGGGGGCGGGGAATAACAACAGGATAATGTCATAAGTGAAGAAGAGGTGCCTTGTCGGATCAAGCCAAGCTCAGCGGGGGGGGGGCAGCAATCCAGTACTGAATTGGAGAGGGCTTATTCATGCTTAATATGATCCATACATACATGACCTTACATACAAATTTGACTTAAAGATGTTCTCAGGAACAGACCTCATTTGTAACTTGGGGACTGCCTATATTTAAATTGAGATTGACCAGAATTAAAAAGGACCATGCTGTGATTATCAAGAATAGAGAGAACAGAGCTGAGGCTGTAGACATTCTAGCTTGCTTACAGTCACATGCCATCCCCTACAATGATATGTGGTATTCAGAGGAAACTTTTTCCAACCTGGAGGGCAGAAAAACGTGTATAATGATGCATGTCATATTGCCACATAGGCTGGTTTGGAGATTTGTAGTAAGCAAGATGAATTATTTTGGTTTATTTATAAACACATGCATGTATGTTTGTATTTTATTTTAATGTTTACATTTTTAATTTATGAATATAATTATTTAACTTACTGTTATAAGCCGCCCCGAGGCTTCGGCGAATGGGGCGGCATAAAAATGTTTTAATAAATAAATAAAATAATGTATACACACACACATGTTGTATGTGCTGGCTGGGTTGGATCCAGTATTGGGTGCGATTGATCTGTTTTCAGACCTATTCTGCTCCACTGTCTGTTCAAGTGTAGACTGACCCATACAAGTGCTAAGGCATGCCAGAACTGATCACACCTTTGACTTTGTGACTAGCTTCAGAATGGTTCCTTTTCTGAAAATTCCTGCCAGAAAGTTCACCTGGTGATGGTTTTGACATGCTGGAGTTGCCCAAACATTTGCTGAGTCAACAATCCAATTTTATACCCATGAAGCATTTAACATTGAGAGAAGGAAACTTGCTAACTATAATGCTTCCGATTTTTCTGTTGGCAGGAAAATGCAGAGTTGTTCAAGGCTGACAAGACAACAGGAATATGGTCTAATTATGTAGCATACGTAGACGAGATGATTTTAGATGGCTACTTTAAGTTTATCCGCAAATCACTGCAGTTTCTACTCAACAACATGGCAGCTGATGTAAGTTGGTGATGTTCTGGGGAAAGAAAGAGAATGTGAAACACAAATATGGGTGTAGTGCTGTGAGCCAGAGTTTTGTCATCATCTTCTGGCTACTTCTTTTAAAATTTAATAAATCTGAACTCTGTGAACTGGAAACCGATTTTTCCATCAGAATAAATTAAGCAAGATATGTAAAGACAATCATATTTTCTTAATAAACCAATAGAGTAATTCTAATTTCCTTTGTTGGTATGAGGGGTGCATCCACCCAAGAGGTTCCAGTTATGCCCATGGACTTCTCTGTAGGTATAAACTACTTTTGGTGGTGGCCCTACTGGGTTCAGCTGGCCCTGAAATAGGGTGTTTTGGCAGCTGCTTTGAATTTGCTGGACACAAAGGCCTTCTGTTTCCCCATACAGCCCTTGGGTCATATCTATTGCCTTTTGTCAGCCATGGACATAGGCATTTTCCCTCTGACTGAAACCAGTGGGAGAGAAAAGTTTAAAAACAAACTACTGGAGAGGGGAATGCCAAGTCTGCCCTCTCACTTGCAGGTGCAAACTATAAAAGGGGCAGTGGATCTGTCATTTCACTCCTCTCGTGCCTTAGGTGCTTGCCAGTTTATTCTGCTGATTTTTATAGAATGTTGTAAGAGAATTTTATGATGGAAGACTGGAGGGATTCTAACAACAGAGGAAGGAAAGGCAGTGAACAATTTAGATAATTCCTACACCATCCAGGAACATGCAGGGCAGGGGCCCGGATAGCCTGTCTGTTTATCCCCCCCGCCCCCCAAAAAAAGTGAATAAAGTAGTTGCATTAATATGCTGTCAGCCAGTGCAAGCTCCCTTTTGTATAGTAAAAGGCTTAAGGCAGTGGCCATAACAATAGGATTGAAGACGCAGCAAGTTGATGGAAGGAGAGAAATGGTGCTATGCATAGAAGGGTAATGAACACAGTCTAATAAAGAATGCACCAATCTGTTTTAGGCTGGGGTAGCCCCTTTATTTGAAGTACGCCTGGAGCTATATAAAGATGAATTAAGGTACCGTCCGTCACTAGAAGTTGGAGCAGATCAAGGTTTTTTGGAATTGGTAGAAAACCTGATGAATGATATCTATGACACAGCTAAGTTTATACCACGACTGGCAAAGCGGAAGCCCAGCTATAAGGTTCGTCCTAGTCTAAGTATGCGACCACACAATGTCTAGGCAGCAGGGAATGTAAACATTTGCTTTCATTTACCTTTCTGTGCATCCCCCTGCATCTGAACTGTGAATGTTTGTGATGATGCCTTGGAAGAGTGGTTAAAATATATTTTGTAAAGAACTTTAAGCATTGCCCACAAGTCCCCGTATAGTTATTTTGAAGGTCACTGCTGAATAACTTCTGTTAACAGGAAAATTCCTGAAAGTTTCTCCTCCTGTGGTGAAAATAAAAGCATGGGAACATGTGTGTTGGTATGCCAAGAATTTGGAGCTTCCCCCAGATACTTGCCATGCTCATGTCTGACTTCCTAGCTGGCCCATGTAGAAGTTCTTGCCATTCTATACTTTCGGAGGCTAATGGGGGTACTGCTGTGAAATAAAGGAAACTATTGTTGGTAGATAAATTGGTAGACTGTCTTTTGTAGCATGCGTCTACAGTTCTGCATTTGATACCAGGTGGATCTTCTCATCAGGGAGAAATATAACACCAATTCGGTCAGAGCAAATATCCTCTTGGGATTATTTTTTTAATCAATGGATTTCCACATATTTTAGGCTCAGTTGCAGACACAAAGATTAGAAGTTTAATATGTGGGGATGGAAAAGGTTCAGTTTCCCAGGATACTAAGGAAGTCATTTGTGTTCTAGAACATACGGTTCAAGGTTACAGGATATAATGATGACTATTCTCATTTCTGGGTCCCCTTTAAATAGTGCCCATAGGCACCTCTAGTGATGAAGCTGTCCCCAAAATGGTACCTGCAGGAACTCAAAATACTTTGTTTTTAAAATGTTCTGATTTTACATATGTGGATTTGCATGAAATGCATGCAATATTTTAGTGATTACATGTATTGACAAAAGTAAGTCCATAGATCCAGATAAGTATCTCTTTGAAGTTGTTGTCTATATGCCACCTGTTCATATATGAAACATTATAAGATCCTTAATCCATTGTATTATGAATGATCACAGTGAGTGTTTTATTTATTTCCCCTTCCATTTGTTAATTTTCATAAATCAGGTAAATATTTTTACAGAGCGAGTACATCAGTAAATATTAAAGGCTGTTCCAGTACAACATTTATCTGTTTAATAACCTCCCCCTCAAAGGAAGCAGCTATTAGACTTTGCCAGAACATAAGTTTAAAAGCAGCAGTTATATTGCACCACCAACCATTACCTGAATTATTCAATCCCTTATTAAAGAGATGCTGCGTATCCAGCAGACATAAAGGTTTTTGCTGAACAAAATGCTGCCTAAGAACTATAGATGGGCAAGTTCCGAAACAGTGATCCACTAGTTAGGCATTTTGTGGTGGTGCCCACAGTAGTTGGTGGGTGCCCATCTTTAAATGATGAAGGGCATGGGATTCAGTTACAGTGTAATCCTATGACCTCCAGATATGTCTGGGAGGATAGAATTATTTGATGTCCCAGCTTCAAGGTCCTGCAACCATGGAACTTGGAATCCAAAACCCAAGCCTGTACCTCACCCCTCTCTCACCCCCATGGAACAAACTCCATCTGTTGCCCCTGAGGTTGGTGTACACCTCTCCATCCCTAGCACTAAATCCAGACAGCTGAAAGCAGCCATCCAGAGAAAACAGCCTGGCTGAAGAGGTGTGGGAGTGACAGGGATTACTGCCCCTGATTACTGCCTCAGATTAAGCCTCTGAGGTTGGAGACTTACGTGCATGGAGGGCATGGGACATAGGATTGCATCCTCTGTGCTGTTTGTGTGCTAGCAGGCTAACTTTACCCTGTCCATTGGTCAATGTATTGTGGCAGGAAGAACAGCACATGTAACTTTGGTCTGTGCAAATATGTTCACATTTTGCCCAGCGTAATGTTTGCCACAGTGACCAGGGTAGTGATACCGCCTCTGCCATCTGTGTATTTCCATAATGCTGAGGATATCTCCTGATGCTCACAGTCGGACCTAGAAGATACAGGAGACTTGATAGAGATGCGAGAAGAGGTTTCAAACCTTGTCATCAGTGCTATGAAGCAAGGTGAAGAATATGAGGATTCTTTTGAGAAATACTCGTACCTCTGGATGGATGATCCACAAGAATTCATGCAGCGCTTCCTCACCTTTGGTCATGCCCTAACACCCGAAGAACTGGAATCTCATGCAGAGGAATACTTGCCTCATGTCGCACCCACCCTGGAGCAATTTCAGCTGCAGGTGAGATTTGGAGTGCCTGTGTGTTTCATCCTAATGTTGGGAGGCTCCGCCCCAGTTTTTCAAGGCCCTGTTTTCAAGATAAAGCACACAGGATAGCCAGGGATGTGTAAGGAATACCTTGCAGTTGGGGATCCATCAGGTTCCCTGGACTCCGGTCTGCTTTGGCACAGCCTTGCCTGGTCCAGTTGTCTGGTTAGCATGCCAGCATCCGCAGGGCCCTCACCAGGAGCATTGCCCCATGCGCTGCACAAGCAGGGCCCTTTCCCCTCCCATGTGCAGCAGCCTTTGCATGTGCTGCTGCATCTGACGCAGAAGAAGGTTTCCAGTTGTGCAGCCTGCGTTCTGTGAGTGTTCACGGACTTCCTCTCAGCTCAGCTCCCTTTCCAAGACCGAGCTGAGTGCAAGGGCAAGTCTGTTCATGCGAGAGGGGCAGATTCTGCTGAGCTTTGTCCCAACCCTGAATAGAGCTTTCTGGAACCTATGCCACAGCTGTGCCACATATTATGTCCCCTATAACCCAGGACCTCTCATACATTGCAGCGGCTTCCTTCTTGCTCGTTCCTCCGCACCTCTTTCTTACTCCCTTAATTTTAGACCCCACCTTCCCTCAATAATGCCTGCACCCTGTCCTTCAGGCATTTTTACATAATCAGGGTTGAAGCAGAGCAAGTGGCCTTATACTGAGTGTTGAGGGCAAAAAGAGAAAGAAGCCCCTCTTGTTCGTTGTCTGACCGTGGGAGAGACAGGCAACACCAGCAAGCAAGTTTATATATTAAAACAACCTCTTTATTGTAGGTGCACACCAACAGTAGAGAGTGAGCCTATCTCCAGCAGAGACCAGCTGCCACAGTCATCAGGCATGGCACATTTAGATGTTTAGCAGTTGCAATGATTAGATGTAGAAAAACATAATAGCTGGAAACATTATGTTCCATTTTGTACATAGTTATCTTTAACCTACAGTTCTTGTGTCAAAACATCTGGCTTCAGGCTTATCTTTACACATTCTGACCTTCTTGGCAGAGGTTTATTTTACATTTTGGACTCTCCTGTGTTTCTCTGATAGAACCCTAAATAACTGATCCTTGTTGCTTGGTCGCCTGGAAAAATGTATGCTGTTCATGAGTCAGAGCAGGAGTCCACCCGGCCCAGCATGGTTGATGCTTCCTTGCTGCAGCTCTCCAGGGTTCCTTCCCTAACCATAACTGGAGGTACCAGGGCAAGGCCCGGGATCTTCTGCAAGCCAAGCAGTTGCATTTGCATGAGAACAGAGACCTCCCATTAGCCCCTTGAAGCTAAGAGAATTAAGTTAAATTAGTCTCTGTGGAATGAATTTGGAAAATCTGAATGGAATACTTTTATTTTATAACTCCAAAGTTAGGCTGCTTTTCAAAATAAATGTTTCCCCAAGCAGCTTACATAAGAAAACAAACAACATTAAAGGGAATACAGTTGAAAGCGGAATAACATTAAACAGTTGCCTTACAGATATTAGAAATGCAAAACAAATGCAGAAAGCCAGCCAGAGAGAAATGACAACCACAGCTTAGAAACCTGAAGCTCATTTCACCTGGAGGCAGACTGAAGCTGAGAGGTCTTCAGGGCCCAAGCTGGAGTACAGCTTGCCTTCTGCCTTCTGTCCCTCTTTAGGAAGAGCCATACACAACACACACAGTATGGCAGGAAATCAACATTGCTTTTAAAGGCATGTGTAAAATGTTTTATCAAAGCTGGCAGAACAGCTTGGAGTTCTCATATGCAGGAGTGCATCAGCAGAGAAGGCAAAGAAACAAGCAGGTTTTCCTCTTGTGGTGATGTAAAGCACAACCAGGAGTGTGTGCCATGCCCCTAGGAAAGCCTCTGGCCATCTCCCTGGAGGTACTGAGAAGCCACCATGCAAATGGCACGATCCCACACTGGACACACTGATACATATTTGCATTTTCCGTCAGGGGAGGGGTTCATGTTCAGATTGGTTAGCTGGCCTATCTTAGAAGGGACAGGCCACGTGTTCCAGCTCCTCCTGATGACTCATGTATATAAGAATTCTGCTTCACTAGCTCTACAGCCTCTTGGTCCTACAAATTTTGTGGCCTTCTAGATTGACACTTACGAAAAACTCTATGAAGAAGTATCCAAGTTTGAGAACACCAAAGTGTTTAATGGTTGGCTGCAAAGTGACTGTCGTCCCTTCAAGCAAGCACTCCTGAACACCATCAAGCGCTGGAGCCTAATGTTCAAGCAGCACCTCATTGACCATGTCACCACCAGGTAGGATGGGGAATTGTCTTGGCAATCCCTAAGCACCCCCTTCCTCCCCATTCCCACCTATCCAGTGTGTAACATACAAACCTTGGAAGAATCTCTGTGTGTATTTAAGCTCTATTCAAGCATAGTTAAAATGAATAAGCATCCAGGGTCAGGAACCACTCCAGCCCCACTCACATCTTTCTGCCAGTTTGTACTTGTGGAATTGGATATAATTCTGATCTTTCAGTACGATATGTGGACCAAAAAATGTGTTTGGCAGTAGGTGTACATTGGAAATGCACATGGAAGCATGGATAGTATTGAAACATGCACACAGACACTTTAATCAGTGGGAGAAGAATGCATGTATTTCATAAAATATTTTTGGGGAAAATACGCACAGATTTTCATGTGAAAAAGGACAAAGCTTGAATTCAGTTAGATGCTTGAGTTGGAACAAGCTTCAGCATGAAACTTAAAGAAATTAATGAGCTAGAAAAGAATGATGAGCTAGAAATATAATACCAAAAATATTTCTTTCAGCACTGGCCCCCCTACACCAGTGTTGACAAGACAGGATTTCCAGCTTCTGGAACATTGAAAGTGCTCAATCAGTTTTCACCCTTCCCCCACTGAGAGAGAGAGAGAGAGAGAGAGAGAGAGAGAGAGAGAGAGAGAGAGAGAGAGAGAGAGAGAGAGAGAGAGAGAGAGAGTTTAAGGGGGCATTCATGGACGTGTACTGTATTACTTGTGGACACTTGTAGTCCCGGGGTACCTGTGATGCTTACCCTTATTCCAAAAGCCCTCTGGAAATGGCAAGAATTATCTGTCCCTCCCCAGGCAACCTCCTGTTTGGGGAGAAGAAGTGGAGTGCTCTATATTAGCAGGGATATAGAAGGATCTCTAGCAATAGCAAAAGAACACGAAAGAGATCAAAAATAAAAAAATGTGAGCCTGTTCACCTTCAACGCTGGCCTTACCCACTTACCCTACCTATACTGCCCCCGCATGGTCTTGCTGAGAGAACTGGCCCTCGACAAATAAGCATTGCCCTCTTCTGCTCAGTTACAAGAACATGAGCTCTGCTTGTACAGACCCTGTATCATGTGATGGCCTCCTCCTGAGAAAAGAACTCAGGGTTTATTCCAAATATTTCAACTGCACAACAATCTGATGCAGCTCCAATATGTGAGCCACTTCCTGAATTTCTCTAATGGAAAACAATAAAAAGATGAACGTTCTATTTCCAACTGCACCAAAACTTAGATTCCTTTCCACTGGTTTTTTTCACCACTGCACAAAATGTGTTCAGATGTACCTGTGAGGGTTCTCTATTCATAGGAAAAGGTGACCTTTGCACCTGCAACATTCTAGGTTTTCATCTACTAAATTCTACCCTTTGCCTCCATTCGAACAGTTACTTATCATTTATTACGTGATTACTGCATTGCTTTTATATCCCTCCTTTTTTCCTCTTGCATGGAACCCAAGGCAACTTCTGTTGCTCCATTTTATCCTCAGGCCAATTACTTTGAGAAGCAGATTGGGCCAGGAATGAGTGCCTGGTCCAAAGTACCCAGTGAGCTTCAAGGGTGAGTGGGGATCAGAACCTGAATCTTCTAGGCCCCCAGTCTAACCACAGTACCACACTGGCTCTCAGTTAGAATACAGCCCTCTCCTTTCTCTTGGGCCAAGTACACTGTGTAAGCGTGTAAAGTTTCTGTTGACGGTAACTAAGATTATTTCTCATCTGGGGGACCCTCCGAAACTGAGAGAGAACCCCCAGTGGGAATTGCAGAAGGCTTTGGAAATTCTGCAAAGTGGATGGAGGAAGTCACTCATCTCACAGGATGTTCCTGCCTTCCATTACCAGAAAGGGCCATCATAGTCCACGAAAACTCCTCTCCTCCCATAAGTGTGTTATTCTTGGAGGTACCCCAAGGCACTCCTGCTGTTTTTGCTGCAGCAGACTAATATGTCTTTCCGACTCTTTCGCTAGTGAAGTAGGCCAGGTTCCGCCCAAATGAAACTTGTTTTCTTTACAGCCTTCAGGGTCTTGCCACTTTTATGAAAGAAGCCAATGCAGGCTTAACGAAACCAGTGAAGGAAGGTGACTATGATGGGCTCGTGGAAGTGATGGGACACTTGATGAGGGTCAAAGACAGACAAGCAGCTACTGACAACATGTTTGAGCCCCTAAAGCAAACTATTGAGTTGCTAAAACTCTATGGGGAAGAAATGCCTGAAGAGATCCATATGCAGTTGCATGTAAGTTATTGACTGCTTTCCTCTGGGAATATTTGGATAGTGATGGTTTTTAATTAGGGTTTTTTCTATTGGAATTAAATAACTTTATTCTGTTTGTAGAAGATGAGTGGTCATAAGTATCATGTGTTTTTATAAGGCACTCAGATTGATGTTGATGCAAGAAACAATCCGGCCACTGTGATTTCTCTGGCTTGGCATAGGAAAGACAAGCTAAAGTCCTTGGTTTGTGTGTCACACGAAACAGCTCACAGATGAAGCATCACTAGATTGCTAGGCCACTCCCCCCACAGCAGGGGCAGGCAGTGTGTACCAGCTGTTGTCACTCACCAGTCTTGCTCACTCACAACAGTCTTGGACTCTTATGCCACAACTGGGCCAGTGATTTAGGAAAGACCAGTACATTCTGAGGCTATGCCTGATCTCTGGGTAGGATGGTGCTTGTGTGATATGAATTCAGCACTATACAGGCACTTTTCCTTATTTTCAAACACCTGATGGTTAGCAAAGTTGAGAAATGTGCAAACACAGACAGAGGCAGACCTTGATGAAAACAAACTTGTAAACGCATGTCTGCATCCAGCCATTTTTCTGCTTGGTTCCTTGACATTCCTTCTTTTTTGTCTGTACTATTCTTTGACTGTTCCTTTCACTGTACAATGATCTCTCACAGTTTTATAAGCAACATGTTTTTAAAGTTCTCATCTTGCTTGTTTTTAGGAATTGCCAGAGCAGTGGAACAATACCAAAAAGTTGTCTTTCCAAGTCAAGCAGAATGTGGCTCCTCTGCAAGCAAATGAAGTTACTATCATCCGAAGGAAATGCCAGCAGTTTGAGGTACCTTTTGCAGTTCAGCAGAGTTGTGGATGCTGAGCTCCACAAGAGAATTAAGGGTTATAATACAAACCAAACATTCAGCGGGAGCTGTAAGCTGAAGCCATTCAAGGAACAGCTACCTGCTACCCACAGTTTTGATGTGGCAGCATGTTCCAATTCCTGAAGAATGTCAGCATGCACCATGATGCTATGGAAAGTAATAGATTCGAGGAGGAAGAGGAGGAAGATTGCTGCTGTTCTTACCAACTAAATGCTTTACTAGTCAGTTCCCAGCTTACCCTACAACCTGTCCCACATTGTGAAAGTTTTAGAGACTTGTGACCCACAGATGCCCTCAACTTGCATTATAGCATCATCTAGGTAATGCTCCATGGTTCTGCTTAAATGTGGTCCTCATTTTTTCTTCCACCCCCCCAGATTAAACAGCATGAGTTCAGAGAAAAATTCCGAGTCGATGCCCCCTTCACTTTTGCTGATCCAGATCCATATAAATCCCTAAATAAGGTAAGAGACAGTGAAGTCTATAGAAGCAATGCCCCAGGAGTTACTTGCTATAACATAATAGGTGCACTTTTATTGCCATGGAAGACAGCACTTTCCCAAACCTGCCAAGGTGTTTGGGTTCGGTGATTTCTGTTCATAGGGTTACATGGGTATGTGGCCACCAATGAGTTTTAGGGTAGGCACCCTCCAGGAAACTTCAGTAGAGCAGAAACTAATGAGATTTAGGACATGTGCCCTCCAGGAAACTTCAGTAGAGCAGAAGCTAATCTAACTTGCAGGGCAGCTTGGAGGTTCAGTCTCTAGAAGGACATTACTGCACACCTTGCTCGAGGGCAATCCTATGCATTTGCCCTTTGTATGTTGGCATTTCCACATACTATACTAATCCATGCAGAAGAAGTAGAAGGATGGCTAATTCCCCACCAGCATAACATCTGCATTGAGCTGCATGAAATATTAGTTATCCCCTTTCCTTTTTTGTGTTTCCAGCAACAAAAAATGATCACTAATATGGAAAAAGAGATGGAAGCCCTATCTAAATCTGCAAGCTTATTTGAGGTATCTGTCCCAGATTACAAACAGCTGAAGGCATGCCATAAGGAGGTTCGATTACTCAAGGAGCTCTGGGATATGATTGTCTTGGTAAGACTTTGAAGTTGTAATTTTTAGGAAAAATTGATAATAAGTACATTTCCTCCCTGCATATTTGCTGTATTCCACTTTAACTACAGTTTCACCTAGAGGTTATATAGCAGAAAAGCAAGAGAAGAAATGCTCTTCATGTAATGCTTGGATCTCAATTCTACAACAAAACCAAAAGTGGCAAATTAACAGCCTTGTGTCGAAAAGCCCCTTTGCTCTCAGAATACAAGATAAGAATAACCTTAGTGTTTTCTAATTCAGGTAAATGAAAGCATTAATGACTGGAAGACAACCAAGTGGAAGGAGATTAATGTTGAGCAGATGGATCTTGATTGCAAGAAATTTGCTAAGGATGTGAGAGGTTTGGACAAGGAAATGAGACCTTGGGATGCTTTTGTAGGACTGGATAACACAGTTAAAAATATGATCACTTCTCTCCGAGCTGTGAGCGAGCTCCAGAATCCAGCTATCCGGGACAGGCATTGGAAAGAACTCATGCAGGCCACCCAGGTAACCCATGCAGGCTGCAGCCAGTGTCTGTTTATTTCTGGCATTTGCTCCCCACCCACTCACCCACCTGGAGGTTTCTTGTGCTAGTGACATCTCAGTTAGATTTCACTTTCCTTTGACCTGCCCGCAGCAGTATATAATGGTCTTCTAAGTGATACATTTTATTTCTTAGTCCAGAACAATCTTTTTCTCTGTACGTTCTCATCTCAAGCCTGATCTGTAACTAGCAAAGGCTGGCAAGTGTGGTAGGGAAGGAAACTCTGACACTTGCCCCCTTTTGACAGGGAAAAGTGCAGGTGAAAGCACTGTAGAAATATTATTCAACTGTTACCATAGAAGTTTTAATTTTTTAAAAAATGTGCATAAGCAGGTGAATTTCTATGACTGCCGTCTTGGCACATCATTAAACTGCTGCTTCTAGACCATGTCTAAGGCAGCAGTTCTTAACGGGAAGGGCCGTCGAGCTCACTGGAGCTTTGTTCATGTAGAATTGCACTGAGAAATGGAGGGGGAGCATGTCCTGGTGCAGCTGCCCTTTCAACATTTCTTCCCATTTCAGGTGAAGTTTACCATGTCTGATGAAACAACCCTGGCAGACTTACTTCAGCTGAATCTTCACAAGTTTGAGGATGAAGTTCGCAGTATTGTAGACAAGGCTGTAAAAGAGTCAGGGATGGAAAAGGTACTGTAAGTGCCATCAGTTTCCTTGCTCTTGGGTCAAGTGCAGTCTGAAATGACAATGTGGAATGTCTGTGTTTCCTACGCTTGTAAAGCTTTGGGAAGATAGTGTTTAGCTTTCTATGTTTGGAGGTGCATTTCTGACGTAGGTATTTCAATTTAAAAGCTTTTTTCATTGGATGCAGACACTTCCCTTCCTACTCTTCTTATCTGTTCCCTCTCTTGGGATGTAGGCAAGCAAACTGCAAGTGCAAGGCAAGTACTTGGCATTTTCCATGCTTAGCAGCAGTTTGTTTTGAAGATTCACTGAATGTAGATGCCTGCTAGACTACTGATGGGGTTAGGTGTTGGGACCACATGATGCCCACTGCTGTGCACAGTTGGTACTTGCCTTCAGAGCCCTAAAGAGCTCGGCACATCAACTTGCCTGTGTGTGTTGAGGTCATCAGTGGCGGCATTCCTCTGAGTACCCCTGCTCTTGAAGTTGAGGTGAGAAATGTCCATGGAGAGGGCTTTTTTGGTGGTGGCACCCTGCTTATGGAACTTCCTTGAGAGGCAAACCCCATGCCTATTGTGGTATCTTTATGACAGTGCAAGCACAACCTTTTGTTCTTCTCAGACTCTTAAAGTTCTGCATCTCAACATAGCATGAGTGCTATTTTATTGCTGGTTGCCGTATGGGTTTGTCTTCACAGGGATTTATTGTGAGCTCATGATTCTTCAGTCCGTCGTTTGTGGTGGCTTTATGCAACAATGTCATTCTCCAGGGCCTCTCCTGTACTTTCAAAACATGGTATTATCAGAATATGGTGGAGTGAACCAGGGTGAGAAGCTTGTGTCTTTTCTCCATTCTGCTGTGCTGTTGCACCACCTTGTGGTTGTGTAATGGGACCTGTAGAAAGGCAAAGAAAGACAAATCCTAGAAAAAAGACACACAGGAGGGAGCTGGTCTTCATCCCTCAAAGCCTCCAGAAGCAAGAACCTTGGTAATGCGGCAGGTTATTGGCCTCGTGTTCGGCTGATGTGCAGTACACAAACATGCAGAATAAGATCAAATAAATCTAAGGCATTGCCACAGCTCTGGAACAGTCTTTGCCAGACTATTCCTCATGAGTCAACATCACTGGCCTGGCATTCTAAACCAAGCAAGCTAAGGGTGGGTGAAAGATACAGCAGCATCATATGTAGAGCTGGCATTTGCCAGCTATTCATTTTAAAGACCGCAGGATTGAAAGATTTTTTGACTATTGTTTAATTTTTTAAAATCATTATTATTTGTAGGTGTTAAAGGCTCTTGATAGCACCTGGTCAACAATGCAGTTTGAACATGAGCCTCACCACAGGACTGGAACCATGTTGCTCAAATCTGACGAAGTATTAGTGGAGACCCTTGAAGAAAATCAAGTGCAGCTTCAAACTCTGATGACTTCTAAGTATTTAGCACACTTTCTTCAGGAAGTCTCCAGCTGGCAACAGAAGTTATCTACTGCTGACTCTGTGATTTCCATCTGGTTTGAAGTTCAGAGAACCTGGAGCCACCTGGAGAGCATTTTCATTGGTTCTGAAGACATTCGTAACCAGCTTCCAGAGGACTCTAAGCGTTTTGATTCCATCGACAAGGATTTTAAAGTGAGCAAGCTGTTCTTTTTGCATAATCACCAACTGCAGAAAGAATAATCCCTGAGTGGCTGACAAAACCACTTTCTTCTCTTAACAGGCATTAATGGCTGATGCAGTCAAAACCCCTAATGTGGTTGAAGCAACAAATAAACCAGGTCTTTATGACAAGCTGGAGGCCTTGCAGCAAAGGTCAGGAAGATGCCCCTTCCCAGTCTAATGCTGCCATGACAGAAGTGTGAATTGCTTATTAGTAGAAAAAGTTGCTCAGAGGTTCTGTTGTTTCAGTGATTGAAGAAAGCTTTGTTGTTTCAGTTTGTTGAGGTGCATTTCAACTTCTTGGTATTTAGGAAGGAGAAGCTTTCAGTGACCAGTGTGAAAATCCATTTAATCATTAGTCCAGCTCTTGTCTTTGCTGAGATGTCAACCAAAGGCTGAAGATGAAAGAAGCAGGGGAACAGGGCTAATAGCAGCCCACATACAGAGCGTAGCTTCAGTACCGAGTGTTATCACTACTCTTGATAAGACATCTAAGGCACAGCAGTACTTGGAGGAATAGCATGCGGAACCATTTTCTTTTAGTTTTAGACATACTCAACCCTACTATGGGGCTGTTTACATACATACCTGCGCATGTCTTCTTGATCATTTCATTCTCCATTTATTCAGCACTTGATGTATGTCAGCCAAACATGTGAACTGTTTCCTTCCAAAGAGATGATGCTGAGTTGGCATCAACATATGTGAAGGTTCTTTCTGGTAATCTACAGTGGCTCAATTATGTGTGGAAATCACAATTTGAAGTTGGTACACTTAATGAATGATGACCCTGCATGCCTGAACTCACCTGTGGTCTCCAAAAAGCCCAACATAATTTTTATTTCATGACATTCCAGTGCAGTGTTGATTCATTACACATATTATACTCATTATATTATTTTATTATGTTCCTGAGCCAGTGTAGTGTAGTGATTAAGAGTACAGGACTGGGGATTTGAAAGTTCCACATTCTAGTCCCTACTTAGCCATGGAAGTAACCGGGTCACTTTGGGCCAGTTACAGATTCTTGGCCCAACCTACCTCACAGGGCTGTTGTTGTGAGGATAAGATTGAGAGGAGGAGGAGAATTATGTAAGCCACCTGGAGCTCCTCAGAAGGAAAAAAGATGGGACATGTAAATTAAAATGACTAAACAAAGTGCCTGGCTTGATCCCTTACCTTCATCTCCTTGTAAGTGTGCAGTCTCCATTGGACTGGGACTCAGGAGATCTGGGTTTTAATCCCCACCTAGCCATGAAGTTCACCAAGTGCCTTTGGGCCAGTCATGGAGTCTCAGCCTGAGCCACCTCATGGTGCAGGATTTAATGGAGAAGAGGAGAACCTTGTAAAAAGTAATATAATAATAATAAAACAAAATCTAAGCATGCCATGCCATAATCCAGGATTCATCCTTTCTTAACTTTGCCCCCTGCTTCTCTTTCCCTTTCCTATGGCCAGAATGAAGGATTCATTCTCTCGGGCAGGGAATTATATTACTCATTGAAGTATTGAGTACGTCAGTGCAAATAAAGTAATGACAATAATAGCAGTACTTTTATAGAGCAAATACAGCACTGCTTCCACTGTCTCTTCCTCTTGCATGTTAGCCTGGCACTCTGTGAAAAGGCTTTGGCGGAATACCTGGAAACCAAGAGACTGGCTTTCCCCAGATTTTACTTTGTGTCCTCTGCTGACCTGCTGGATATTTTGTCCAATGGCAATGACCCTGTTGAGGTAGGATATGCTTGGGTGAAACACTTCAACTTTATTAAAATTATTGTAGTAATGCTTGGCAATTTCAATCCTAGACCACTTTTTTATTCCTGCTTTTGAAAGCCCCTCTTTTACCCGAGAAGGGATCCAAGGCAAAAGTCACCAATTAAGTGAAACTGTCCTGAGGCTTGGGCAGCAGTTGAGGGAGTGGACACAGATGCAGCACATGCTTCACAGTCACTGAACATGCTTTGGTCCCTGGGCCAACCTTTTATAACTCTGGTTGTTTTAAAGATCTCAAGTGGCAGGTGATGGGAAACACCCTTCTCTGCCTGAGATCTTGCAAGGGATCTTGCCACCCAGAGGCAGAAATACCAGGCTGAATGAACCAGGGGTTTGGAAGTGGTCTGCCATTTCAGCCCCAGAGCCAAACACAATTTCAGAGGCTACATTTTTCTGAAATGGGCTTCTATGCTACTGGTAAGTAGGCCCCAAAATTATACCAGCCTATCTATCATAGCTTAGTTGCAGACCTCAAGTGGCATTTTTACCTTTTAAAATGGGAGAAAAACCACACAAACTGCCAATAGTTAAGGGGAAGGGGCCATGGCCATCTGGGAATCCCTGGAGGGCCAAGCAGTCACCAGAAGAGGTCCCGATTTGACACCCTGGCCTGAGGTTCCTCATGCTCAGGTCAGGTTGTTCCATGCCCAAATTGGCCATATTCTCCTCAGTCACAGTCTCCCCTCATCTCCCCTCCCCACACCAACCCCTACATCCCTATTCTGTGAGCCCTAATACCGCATTCTTCCTCCTGAAGGTGTCCCGCCACTTGTCCAAGTTATTTGATAGCATGGCCAAGCTGAAATTCAAACTGGACGCCAAAGAGAAGCCTCTGAAGATTGGCCTGGGAATGTACAGCAAAGAAGACGAGTATGTTGACTTTGACAAGGAGTGTGACTGTTCAGGACAGGTGAGCTGGATAGGCCGTTAAATGCCACATGGATCCTGTGGATGGATGCACATGATTACCGAGGGGAAAGGTCCGCCTCGTGGCATGCCCCGCTGCTCATCCCTCTGCACGTACCACTAGATTTCTCACACCACAGTAGCCTTCCCCAGTCTTGTGTCCTCCAGATAGGTCCGGGCTACAGTTCCTATTAACCATGCTGGCTGGGGATTATGGGAGTTGTAGCCGTGCTTGCCTGCCCCTGCTCTGGTCCTTCCCAAAAGTGGCGCCCGGAGTGGTTTGCCTCTCCAGCAAGACACAAGCAAGGTTTCCATTTCCTAAGACACCACAGAGCCCAACCATTTGACAAGAAAAATCAGTAAACAAGTAATCTATTTTCATTTCTCTATGTATTGTATTTATATTAGCCACCTCATTGCACAAGTTCTCTGGGCAATTCACAAAACAATGCATATGAAAATATTACAGCATTTAAAAAAATCAACTTAAAACACTTAAAGTTTAATTGGCTTTTAAACTAAGAGGCTCAGATTATAAAGCATGTTATTGAAAAGATCATTAGAAGTGCAATCCAGTGTATGTCTAGACAGAAAAAAGACTCCCCTCATGCCCCAGCCATGTCTGGAGACGTGAGCTAGCTTCCTGTCTGAAACGTACATAGAATTGCACCTGAAGGCACCAGCTATTTCAGGCTGATATATATAAGCATTATCCCATTTCATCTTGTGAGGAAATGAGACTGAGAGAAATACAGATTACTTGAAGGCTATCCATTCAGCTTCATGACTGTGGGGAGATTTGGGCTATGACTCTGCTGAACCTCTTCAACTGGGAAACAGAATCCAGGCTGTGGAAATGCCTCGTCCTGACTGCTTGGTCACTGCTGCCTTGCAGACTCTCGATTCCACAAGGCTGGCCGGTTTATTTCCAGTCCCTAATTTCACAGCCCTGCCTGAACGAAATCTTAGTGTATTACAGATCTGGAAGACAGTTTTTAAGTTAAGGGAGGTTATGATAAGACCTTAATTTGAAAATGTCTCACTTAGGTGGAGGTTTGGTTAAATCGAGTGCTCGAGAGAATGCAGAGCACCTTACGCAAGGAAATTTCAGAAGCTGTAGTGACTTACGAAGAAAAGCCAAGAGAGCAGTGGCTCTTTGATTACCCAGCACAGGTAAGGAAAAAGGCCAGATTTATGATGGAAATGTCATTTAACATGTGAAATGCAAAGAGAAGAGAACCAAATCTCCATTCCAATATGGAGCAAATGCGGCCAAAAAGGCCATTCTGCACTTTTGTAGACTTAAGCCTAGACAAAGTCTAATCGCTCACATCTCCTTAACTGTGCATCCGAAGGCCAAGGTAAAATATCTAGGGGTTGCTCAGGCATTTCCCAGCATCAGCATTTCATAGAATTATTTGTCTGTTGCTGCAGATTGCCTTAACGTGTACCCAGATTTGGTGGACAACAGAGGTTGGCATTGCCTTTTCACGACTGGAGGAAGGCTATGAAAATGCAATCAAAGATTACAATAAAAAGCAGGTGTGCAGCAGTCCCTTCTCATTTTACCTGTCCGTGCTCAAACAGCTGGTTTATTTAATGGCAAGTTCTTCAAAAAATGGCAAGTTCTTCTTATTTAATGGCAGGAGAGCATTTTTGTTTTTATTGTGCATTGCATAAGGAGGCCTCAACCAGGTCACCAAGTGGGATTTCCTGCCACGCCCTCCCTTGTTTGCATGCATGCATGTGTGTAAAGCAATACCCAGGCTCTCATGCTTTTGGAGAGCCAAAAACCCTTCCATGACCCCCCTTCCTTTCTTTCTTTCTTTCTTTCTTTCTTTCTTTCTTTCTTTCTTTCTTTTCCTAGATTAACCAGTTAAACACATTAATTACTCTGCTCATTGGGAACTTGAGCCCAGGAGACAGAATGAAGATTATGACAATCTGTACCATTGATGTCCATGCCAGAGATGTCATTGCCAAGATGATTACAGCAAAGGTATACTATGTGCTCAATATGGTGTAATCTCCTTTTGCTAACTGGCACTTATAAGCAAATATTCTCTGGGAATCATCTCACGTTGGTTTCTCATGGCAAAATGGCTGCATTAATTCCTCTGTACTTCAAACATTTTGCTTGAGGTGGAGGAAAGCACGGCAAAACCAAGCCCATCATGAAAGAAGTAAAAGGGTTAAGTAGCCTAAGCAGACTATAGAATGGAATGACTCATAGTGGGTCAGCAGAGAGCATACAATTGTTCTGCAGTAATTTCCCCCATATTCTTATCATTCCCAGTTGTTTAAATAATTCCAGCCAATGGAGTCTTGAAGAGATGTGCAAGTTGCGGGGTGTTGTGATAGTTCTAATCTGAAATGAAATGTTTGTATGACTGGGCTTGCATGACAGAACAAGCTACCAACAATTTTAAAAAATCAAACAAACAGTTGCTTGTTGTGCTGTCTGAAGCCAGTTGTGATGATCAAGCCTTTTCACTTATTGTGGTCACACTGCCTGGAAAAATGAGAGGACAAGAGGTGGGGAGGGAAGCAACCACAATGAGCCTGATCATCTGCTGGGCTCATTGTGACTGCTTGGCCCTTAAGGGTAACCCATCATGGTAATTTACCATGATCCACGGCCATGACCTGTAAGCCTGCCCTGCCTTATTGGTCCTCAAGGCATCAGCAGTAGAGTGGCTTTGCAACATGGCTCCCCTGAACTCTCCCTGGATTGGAATCTAGTTCCCCCCCTAACTCTCTAGAGCTGATTTGGAGGGAGTTGGGGCTGTTGGGGGGAAGGATAGGGATGCCCTGTTTTGCTGTTGGTATCCAAGAAACCATCAAATGATGGTTAGTTTGGGAAAAGAAGTGGAGCTGGAGGAAGAGACATGGTCATCAAGACCCCTGAAGGGCCTGATGGGAACTCCAGGAGGGACACATTTGGACTCAGGCCTAAGGTTCTGCATCCCTGCCCTACATCCAAACTACCCATACAGATCAAAGGAGTGGATTTATTCTGCAGTGTGAAGTGGATGGTTTTGCACTTGAATGGCAGGTGGAAAGCTCCCAGGCTTTCACGTGGCAGTCCCAGCTGAGGCACCGATGGGATGAAGAGAAGAAGCACTGCTATGCCAATATCTGTGATGCTCAGCTCCAGTATTCCTACGAGTATCTTGGCAACACTCCACGGCTGGTGATCACACCACTCACTGACCGGTAGGAGCTACTTTGTTCTGATAGCTTTCAGCCCAGCCCAAGAAGGGCACTCCGAGCATATGATTACGGGCCTAATGTCTTTGTGTTTCGCAGGTGCTATATCACCCTGACACAGTCCCTGCACTTGATAATGGGAGGAGCCCCTGCAGGTCCGGCTGGCACAGGGAAGACTGAGACCACCAAAGACTTGGGCAGAGCAGTAGGGATCATGGTGTATGTCTTCAATTGCTCTGAACAAATGGACTACAAGGTAAAGATCTGACCAGTGAACATAACAAAATGGGTCAGAGCAGCTGAGCACCTGTTTCTTCCACCAGAATGCCTTCCAGCACTCTGCCCGTGCCAGGAACTTACTGAGAAACAGCAGCTCCTGTTCCTGACAGATCTGGGGGCTTCTCCCAGGTGTCCAATGGCCTCCTTTCCTGGGCCGTGCTGGGTCATAACTAGAGCAGGGATAGGCCTAGAGGGCTTTCTGTTGTCAACCAAACAGGTCTTTGAGAAGGTGGGAGAATTGTTGGTCCAAGCACTCTTTATCAAATCCAAGCAGAAGTTCAGCCTGTTCCCTTTGAGTTTCCTGTTAAGTGAGCCAGCAAAAAGAAGGAAAGGTCATAATTACATTCAACATGGAAATCAGTACAGCCCTGCTAATTCCAGGCCACATGGAAAGCTAGTAAAATTCTTCTTTAAAATAACACCCTTTGCCGTGACTTCTTTCTCATATTTTAAGAGCTTGATAGGAAATGTTGCCCCATTTTAAGCCAAGCTTTCATTTCCTCCATATGTTGTCTCCTAGTGGATATGTTAGATTGTAAATTATGAGATATGGCTTTTCTTATTTCTTCACTGTACTGTATGTGAATACTGGGCTAGCCTTCTAAAGACTGTCCTCTCATTCTTGGTAAGATGAGATGAGGAGGAGGACGTATCAGGAAAAGCCCCTCTGTCTGTTTCTAGCAACTTCCCCTCTGGGGAAAAGACTGCAGGTAAACTCAGGATTACCTTGCTGAACCAGTGTTTCTTGGGAATGAGGGACTGGGTAGACAAACTGGTCCAGTATTTTTTAGGGGGAATTTTATCCAAAAACAAGGAAATCACATGGGGTATTTCAGAGGAGGACATATCATCAGGGAACATTACAGCAGAGACCAGAAGCTTGTAAAAACTGGTGAATTATGAGCACACACCTAAATCCCAGTGCCTTTTCCATCCTGACAAAGCACTGTTTTAAAGCTTCTGGCAACAATCACAGCATTTTTACATTTTCCACAACCCAAATACTATGCGCTTTTTGGCAAAACTGTAAATATAGGATATTGCCAGGGGCTACCCTTGCAACCTTTCATTGCACTATGGGTATAAGTACTGATTCCGCATACTGAGCAAACATTTCTTCTCATAGTTGTGTGATCACCGATGTGGGCATTGCTGCACAGACAGACAGCAAGTGAGCTGCCTCCTGTCACTTCCTCTCATACAAAACTGGAGTAGAACAGCCTTCATCTTCTGCTCCAGCTGCTGGGAAAACAACTCCGTTTGGAAAAAGTCTGTTCTTTTCAGCTGTCAGTCTGTCCTGCACAAAGTTGCACTGATGCTCTCTTTTGAAGTCTGGCTGTGTTTTGTGTTTCTCCACTGGGAACTTGCTTGTATAAAAAGCATGCCTCATTTGAGAACTGGGACTTTTTAAACAACTTAAAGCACTATGTTAGGAAATCAGGTTAACTGCACATTAGCCCAGTAAACACAGTTTGCAGATCCATATTCTCCAAACACATGTAAACAATGCAGGATGAAAGGGTAATTTGTGTGAGGGAATTGGTAAATGAGAGGGCAAATCATTAGACCTACATTTCAAGTACACTCAGCTTTCCTAGTGTTTTGTATTCTCTAATGGGTAATTCTACATTGTATCCCTTTTTAGGGATATTACAGCTTCATGGAATAGGCCAAGGCCATCTCTAAAGAACCACAAACAAATATCCATTTTTTTCACTTTGCAACCCTAACTAAACCTGTTATTGTGACATTCCAAACAATCTAGAAAAGAATAGGCTGCACATTCCTTAGAACAGTTCCTTGTTTTTCCCCATCAGTTTCCACACTACAGCGTGCCTTTCTGTGGATCATGTCTTAGGCTATATAAACAGGTGATTATAATTAATTGGTGAAGTAGTCTCCTTCTGTATATTTGGCTCTGCTTTTCTTTTTTAGTCCTGTGGAAATATCTATAAAGGGCTGGCCCAGACAGGTGCATGGGGATGTTTTGATGAATTCAATCGTATTTCAGTGGAAGTCCTGTCTGTAATTGCTGTACAGGTAAGGGGCTCTTTAGATGTGCACTGCTATTTTTAAGCCAACAAGGGAGAGTTTCAAAATGTTTCCAGTGTGTCATTGTAGGGAAATGCCTGTCATTTTGCTGCTAGGATTAATACAATCTCTTGGCAAGACTTGGCTAGACCTAGAGATCCTGTAAGTGGAATTCTGCTTATAGAATGTTCCTGCAAACAGAAGGAGCTGATTGATCTCAATTCTCCCTGCCTGAGCCTCTGGAAATCTGCTCTGGAGGGTTGGAGAACCCCCTGCCCTGCCCTGCCCCACACACACACACACACACCAGTATGGGCAATGACATGGGGACCTCCAAGAAGACATGGGGATCAGGCCCAACCTCCTCCCTAGCATCAGTTTGTGGAAGCCTACACCCGCTTCCTTGGAGATCTGCTGATCCAACCCTACAGTCCCAACCAGGACCTTTTTGGAGAACCTGGGAGGGCTGGGAGCTGAATTTCACTGGAGGGCTCCCAACCTTCTCACTCACAGTGTGCTATTTGTCAGCGTACGGTCAATGGAGATGTCTCAACCCCTGACTGTCGTGGGGGAGGGGCAAGTTTTTGGAGGGTTAAAAGCGCAGTGTTGGAGCGACGCTTGTTGCCTCCCTGCCCCGTGGCCGGCCACCCTCTGCACCCACCCCCATTTCAGCAGCAGCACTGCTACGTAGCAACACAGGGTTATTTTTAAAGCTTCCGTTGTCACCAGTGAGGGCTGTTTAAAAGTCTGAATGTTGAGGAGGGTGAGTCCTGCACTACCCAGCACCCAGCCCTCTCTATAATCACCCTTGTACAAAGCCTTCCCTGGTGTCAGTGATCAGAAATTGCTGCCATATAGCCAATGAGCCTGGCTCTCTGGCAATATTATGAACCCATTCAAAGCAAGGGTAGAAAAGCACTGACTTCATCTCAGCTGGCTTTGTAAAAACACAATTGATCTGAAACCAGCCAGATTTAGCAGCGTGCCAGTACTGCAAAGCCAATTCAGACTAAGGGAGTGCTTCTGTCCTTGTTCTGAAAGCGGAAACCAAGCCATCTAAAACCAGTTGAAAGAAAGGAGTGCTTTACAGTTTATGAAAGTTTTTGCAAAAAGCTCCTGCTGCCTCTTTGGAGTATTAATTGGCCATGGCTTAATGTAGTGTTTCCTATGAACTGGATGTGTGAACTTGAGTGGCCAGTTATTTCCCGCCTTACTACCCATCTAACGTATCTTCTGCTTCATTTGCTGAAAATGGCAAATAAAAGAATACTCTCTATAGATTTTCATTAAAATACTCTTAGGGCTCAGTCCAATCCCTCTGAATTTAGAGGACTATGGGCATCTTACGCAGGGCAGAAGGAGCAAAGAGGTGACAGCTGCCTGCACATTCTTGTTACCTTGCAAAATGCTCAGGTAGCTGATTTTAGCTGTCTGTCATGCCTCAGAACACAAGGTTGGCACACCACCAGGATAACCCACACAAGTTTTGCACTGATCTTCTCCACTCCCTGCTCCCTGGAATGCCCACCAAACCCTTTCTCCAGCCACAGAGAGGCAGCAGGCACAGTTTTGTCTGCTCTGACTTGGAGGGAAAGGTGCCCTGAGCTCAGAGTCCCATCTCCAACCACACGGCAGGTTGCAAGGTCAGCACCAGGACTCTGAAAAATCCTGTGGCTGGCTGGACCCTGCCCAGTGCTCTACTTTATTATTGCAGACTTCATGTGAATAAAGACTTCTTTTCTTTGTTTAGGTCAAATGTGTTCAAGATGCAATTCGAGCCAAAAAGAAGACATTCAATTTCCTTGGAGAAATGATCTCTCTCATACCAACTGTTGGAATGTTTATTACCATGAATCCTGGCTATGCAGGTCGTACTGAGCTGCCAGAAAACTTGAAAGCCTTGTTCAGGTACTAACATTCAGGCACTTTTCAGGGAAATGAACTGATAAAGATGGTCAAGATAATGAATAAACTAACGTGTTCATGAGGTAATGTAGGGGAAAGGATCAAAATGTAATTTCTTTAATTCAAAAAGAAATCTACCTCTAGGACAATATGGGGCCAGTAAAGGACAGCATGAATGAGCTTAGAAGGCCTGACAAAGGGCAAATGTTAGCATATGACCCTGAAAGGCAATATAAACGTATCAAAACAAATAATAAATTTATCTAGTTATTATGAAGTTCTGTATTCCACCTTTCAGTTGAATGATACACATTATCTTTTGCATGAAATGCAATAATACCAATGGCTTTCATGCATTGCCAACGTAAGAGCATTTGGGTCAAATTATATGACATGTAAAACAATGAAAGCAGGATGTGATCAAGTGTAAATGGGAAATGAATTCATTCTGAGGCTTTTAAGATGAGCATTTGAAATGTAATTGCATCTGACATTTGCAATGAATGTTCACTGCAGCCAAATGAAATGGCCAGCTGTTGTTTCAGCAGTGTAATCCCTCCCGATACTAAATATCTTTCTTGTTTTTTAGGCCATGTGCAATGGTTGTTCCCGATTTTGAGCTGATCTGTGAAATCATGCTGGTTGCTGAAGGTTTCATTGAAGCCAGGCTTCTGGCTAGGAAGTTTATCACTCTCTATACCCTGTGTAAGGAGCTGCTTTCAAAACAGGTAATTAAACACATTTCCACAGGCCCATCCCACAATCAAGAGTTTGTTTTGAAAGTCATATTCCATTCCAAGACACAATGCTGTGTTCTTGCTGTTTGATCCGCTCCTGATAGAGAAGCTTAGCAGGAATGTACAGGTGCAGAGAGCGGGAACACGAAGCTCACCACGACTGCTGCTTGGCAACGTTCGTCTCAAAAGCCCTCTTGCATAGGCAAAAGCTCTCTAAAGTTTTGTGGTTTGTGGAAGGACACAAAGCTGCCATTAGAGTCTTTGGTAACAGAGGATAACCATACTAATGCACCCACTGCCTGGAGGCACTAGCATTTTTCTTACCCTTTGAAAATGGGTGTTGTGCTTCTTTTGCTTCAAATAATGCCCTTCATGGCTTGTAATACTGCCTGAACCCATTCATACCCATTCATCACCTGAAGCCTTCTCCTGACAGAGGCTTGGGGGTGGCAGCAAGGAAGAAGGCCTTCATAGGGGTGCCTCTCATCATGGAATGACCTCCCCAGTGGGCCCACCTGGTGCCAGCAATATCGCCTTTAAGTGCTAGACTAAGACATTTGACAGTATATGACGGGTCTTTCAATTGGTTCAGGGATTTCTTATTTTTATTGATTTAAAAATTGTGTGTGCACATGTATATGATTATAGGTTGCATGTGGATGGCTTTATGTGATATTACAATAGTATGTTTTATGATGTTTAATTTGTATAGAAATTCAAAAGATTTGTAATCTTTATATTCCATGGCTATGTAATGTATGAAATTAAATGAAACAAATAAATGGAGTTACATCTGGCAGGATCACTATGACTGGGGTTTGAGAGCTATCAAGTCTGTGCTGGTGGTGGCTGGTTCACTGAAGAGAGGAGATCCCGGCCGGGCTGAAGACCAGGTGCTCATGAGAGCGTTGCGAGACTTTAACATTCCCAAAATCGTGACTGATGATTTGCCTGTTTTCATGGGACTCATTGGAGACCTTTTCCCAGCACTCGATGTCCCAAGGAAGCGTGATCTCAATTTTGAAAAGGTAAATCTGTTCCTGTTGGCTGGAGCAATGGCCCCGGGAGAGCCAGGAAGTGCCATTCTGCGGTAGTATAATTGGAGCATTACATCTCTGTCCCTCTTTTTATCCCTGTGCCTTCAGGGGGACATCTTGGTGTCATGGTGGCCCTGCTTACAAAGCTTTCTTCTGTCAGAGGGAGCCTATCCAAGCAATAACCTTTCAGCTGTGGCACAGCTTGGCTGCAGGGCTTTGCTGGCCATGACAGCAAGGGAAGTGTCCCCTAAGCAGATGCTCCTCACGTCAGATCTAGGGCTGGGTTTCACTAGGATGCCTGAGCATTTGTTTCAGGTCAGATTTTTAAGCAAACCAACCTGACTGGGCTAACATGAACACCAAAATGCAGTTTTTGGGTGCTGTGTTGCTCCAGCTTTCACAGTGTATGCATTATATGCACAATGCGTGTTTTAAGGTAAAATGGTTATAAATGCATACTTAGAGAGAAATTATGTCTAGCAATGTGTATTCTGGGCAAAAAGATACTCAAAATGCTTTTTTAAATACAAAAATGTATGTAGGTTAAAATCAATTTGGAGATCAATATGAAAATAGTATGGAATGGATTTGTGGATGAATGCATGCAAAATTGCCACAGACTGCAAACAGACTGATTTCAGTGTTGCTGGCTTTAATACATTTCTTGTCTTCTCAGATCATCAAACAGTCCATTATTGAGCTCAGGCTACAGCCCGAGGAGAGTTTTGTGCTGAAAGTAGTACAGCTAGAGGAGTTACTCCAAGTCCGTCATTCCGTTTTTGTGATTGGAAATGCTGGCTGTGGCAAGTCCCAGGTAGGAGCCACACGCCAGCAGCTGAGCACTGTGTAGCTTGAGCTTCCATTCTAAACTCACATTCTCATCAGCAGGGGCTAACTGCCCCTTCTGTAAGGCTTTGAGAGCTTTCACAGAAATTGGCAGCCAATTGTCTCCAGAAATATTCATTTATCACATTTCTATACCACCCAATCGCTAAAGCTTGCTGGGCAGTTTACAAAGACTGTATTGCATGTTACTGCAATATTGTTCTTTCTATAAAAACTTTACATACAAACATATAAGCAGACAGCATTTGTTCATGCATGTGCACAGTCATTTAATAATTGTAACCATCGGCAATAATTATGGCTGCAGCATATTATGCACCAGGCTGTGAATCACCCAAATGATTAGGGCTAGAAAGAGTTAGCCTGACACTGTCTGAGTTCCAGAAGCCTCTTTAGCTAAGTAGATTGGGAGCTGCACTTCCTCTGAGGTAGGCACAGCATGATCCCCGTGGATCCTTCTATTCTTTCTTCCTCCAGCAGTGGCCAGCTAGGGCTGGGCCTGGAGGCCAAAGTGCAGGGCTCCACGGTTGAGGAGCCCCCTGCCCCCAAATAAGTCCCCATGAGAGCAGCAGGGGGTGAATGCCTCAGGGCAGCAGAAGCAAACTCCATTTTGTGCCTGACAAATGAGTGAATTTGAAATGCGAAATTGCACAGGCTCAGTGGTGTGGTTTGCTGCTTGCACAGGCTCAGTGGTTTGAAAAATCAGAGTTGGCAAACCTTTGTGCTGCTCTTGTGCTAATGTATCAGAAATGTAAAAGCAGTTGTAAATCAACAAATGGCAGCTGTAGGGAACTCCCCTGCCCACCCCATCCTGTCCCCATACAATCACTAATTCCAAGGTAAAATTCACCTGACTCCCCAGTGATTCCCATAGATAGTGCCTCCTAACCACAGTTGCCATTAGTTACTCTGCTGCATATCAGTTTAGCCTCATGAACCATAGTTTTGAGACCATAACTTCTGGAAGATTTGGATAAGTGAACAAGGTGCCTGAACACTGAACAGTGGATAGGCTGCTGTTCTGATGTGGAACCGAAGTGAAAGGAATTGATACTCTTCTATGGGTACAGGTATGTGCTTGCTTTTTGAACATGAACAGAAGAACATGGTATTTTAATTTCATCTCTAAGTGGGGAAGTATATCTTGGACAACTCCTTTCATTGTCTGGCAACTAGTAGTAAAGATGGAAGAAGCATCCAACATCTTTCTCTTGATAGGTGCTGAAATCTCTGAATAAAACCTACCAACTTACGAAAAGAAAGCCTGTAGCTGTCGACCTTGACCCTAAAGCTGTAACCTGTGATGAACTATTTGGAATCATTAATCCAGCTACCAGGGAATGGAAAGATGGTAGGAAACAGTGGAGCTGCTGACCAGCATATGTAGGGTGCTTCCGGAGGGAGGGCTCCTGGCATTGTGCAACTGCTGTTTTTGCTTCCTTAATGGGTTTTCTGCAATAAGAAATCAGCACCCATATTTGAACTGCACCTAAAATAAAAGAGGCCTGCCTTTACCAGAAATGATGGTGGAATAAAAGCTTATATAACAACATCAACATTAATATGGGATGATCATCAGTTTGGCTCTTTCCTAGAATAGTTCCATTTAAATTGCAAAAATTTCCTTCCCATTGACAACATGATTAGAATGTTGCTATAGTGTGAGTTTTCCACTAATAATATCTGATATTTTATTTCCCTTTCCAGTACTGTGGATTTTTTTCAAAACCCAGAGTATGAGGAAATAAAAAGGCCTCAGATTGCCTGAAATGATATGCATTTTGAGATGTTAATTCTGTCCACATTTACCTGGGATTATATGTGATTGAATTCAGCTGGGCTTACTTCCAAACAGATGTGCATAGGATTGCACTGTGAACTGTTGTTCAAAATATTGAGATTTAAATATGTTGTCATCTGAAACTGGTTTGACATAAAGAACCTGGTAACCAAAGAAGATACCAATGCTCTGGATGAGTATTACTCCCTCCAGTTAGATCTTCAGGTTTCCACTAAACATTCAAAGTTGGGTTGTTTGATCTTGTTTAAAGTAAATTCCTCTGTTCTAGTTAAGAAAATGTATATATAAACAAGCAAACTCAGCTCCAGCTAGACCAGGCTTCTTGAACTTGGTGCCCTTCAAATGTTTCGGACTCAACCAGCATAATCAATGATCAGGATGATGGAAATCTTAGTCAAAAACACTTGATCCAACATCTGATCTGAACTGATCTCAGCTGAGGTTTTCTGCTTAACAGGATGAAAATCTTGGTTGACTTTATCTGAATTCTGTATGCACATGTCGAACTAGCTGTATACCAGCTACATCACCAGAATTTTTCATCTGATGAGATTTTAGTATAATTGAAGATAGTATGTGCACGCAATAAAGTCCAGCATAATTTCTCTCTTCTGGGCAGGCTTGTTTTCAACTATCATGCGTGATCTGGCTAATATAACTCATCGTGGGCCAAAATGGATTGTTTTGGATGGAGATATAGATCCAATGTGGATCGAGTCTTTGAATACTGTGATGGATGACAACAAGGTCAGTACAGCAAGCCAGAAGCTCAACTATTAGACCCCACTTCTGCAAGATGAGAAAGCTGCTTCATGCTTCCTTGTCACACTACTAGGTTCTCACCTTGGCAAGCAATGAGCGAATCCCACTAAACCCCACCATGAGGCTTGTGTTTGAGATTAGCCACCTGAGAACAGCAACACCTGCCACGGTCTCCAGAGCAGGAATCCTGTACATTAACCCCGCTGACCTTGGCTGGAATCCGTGAGTTCTGGTCCCCTTTGAAGCTTATTGTATCTTACATTACCAAGGCCAGCAAGTTCCTTCATGGCATAAAGAGGAAAGGCTGATCCTGCTGTTATTGGTTGTTAGATACATACCTCTATTTTTGCAATCCCTGTCATTGCAGAGGTAGATGATGATAACACAAAGGTGTTTGCACCTTACTTGAATCCGAATATTATTAACCAAGGATAAAAGATTTCCCACTGTACAAAGCTTTGCAGTTCTTCTACAATTCCACAGTCTTTATTCCACAAACTCATTTTGTATGTAGGGAAGTGCTGATTAAATATTGGTTTCCTCACGACTTGCAGTTAGTCCATGACTGGGTATTTGAATCCAAGTCCAGATCCCCTCTCTACTTGTCAGACCTTGCCAGTTGCTGTTATTTCACCACCATGCTTTCTCCTTTGTAACATGTTCTCTTGTTCTGTGGAATAAAGAACTTCTAAGACCTAATTTTATCTTAAACAATGGTGATTTATGCAGTAGGAACTAGATTCCAAATTCTAGCATTACATGCTATGCTTAACTCCCTATCTGTATTGTTTATGTGCCACTACAATTTACTGAGCAATCTGTGATGTTCTTTCCTGCATTTAAATAGGAAAATAGTGCTCCTATATTTTTAGTGGAGGTGTCCTAAAATGATATTGTGTAAAGAGGTGTAATGGGTTGAGAGGGAGGAGTTAAGAAGTTTGCTTAAAGTAGAAGGTACATGTTCCACGCATGAGGATGCTGTGCACTTTGAATAAATAATTTTACCTCACTCTACAGAGTGGTGAGCAGCTGGATTGAGCGTCGGGAAGTGCAATCTGAAAAAGCCAATTTGATGATTTTGTTTGACAAGTACTTGCCTACATGTTTGGATAAGCTGAAGTTTGGCTTCAAGAAGATAACCCCTGTGCCTGAAGTGACCGTGGTGCAGACTATCCTGTATCTACTGGAATGCCTCCTGACACCAACAAACACTCCTCCAGATTCTTCCAAAGAGCTGTATGAACTCTATTTTGTGTTTGCTTGCTTCTGGGCATTTGGAGGAGCAATGTTCCAAGATCAGGTACCTTTAAAAAGTTAAGTTACCCTGTTCTGCTATGTAGACCTTGGTGCTACCCAGTTCTGTCATGAAAGAGCAATATTATTCATCATCAGAAGATTAGCACCCCCCATACAGAGTGCTACTAATAGGCAGTGCATTTCAGAGGGCTAAAAAAAACCTGTGCAACCATCTTCAGATCAGAAAATATCTCCACACAAAGAAAATTCTCTGATATTGCAGTAGGGAGACTTAGGAGTAATTAAAATAATCCCATGTGCTAGCACTTTCTTTTTGATTCAGCAAAAGTTTAAGAGCAGGCTAAGTCGAGATTTATCATTTTTTACTGCTATTGGTTAGGAGTCAGGATTAATACATTTACGAAATTTCTAAAAAGTTAATTAAAACTTATCAAAATGAAATGAGAAATGCAGCAAACTCATCTCTCATTTCTTCAGCAAGGAGAATCACCAACTGAGGGTAAACTGAACTGGGAATATTCAGTCACCCCAGTGGATCACAGGGAATGCATGGTGTTTTATAAAACAATTGCAAATGTGGAATCATCTAGAAATCAATATGAGGTTTCTTGATTGAAGTAGGAAAATATCAGGACAATATCACCAGAAATATGGAAATGGCTGTAGAAACAGCTTGGAAACAACACTGCATATTAATCTTAGAACTATTTTTCAAGGCAATCAGTAAGTGGTATTTGACTCCCCTGAGACTAAGTAGAATCTATGCCAGCTCAAGGAGTAAGTGCTGGAGTCATGGTTTAGTGAGAGCAGATCACGTTTCTTAGTTTTTGGTCATGCCTAAGAATCCAAAGTAACTGGCATTGATCCTGAAAACAATCAAAGATATGACTGGGCATGATCTGCCACAAATCCATTGGTGGTTTTATTCTATTATCTTAAGGGCTTGGTATGTGAGAAGGACATTGAGATAGTTGTACAAACATTAACAGCAACTCATACATGCATTGCCTGTGAGTGGAAGAAAATTAGCCTTCTATCACTTGAGGAGTGGATTAATGGGCTATAGGACATGGTATATACAATAACCATGGTATAAACTAACAACTAACAATTTTATGTTAGAGAAGGGAGACAGCAGGGAAAGAAGCTTACAGGAAACTGCAATCTCTTCATCCTCTTTTAGAATAAGAATGTCCAGCATAATACTGATCCATACGTATTGCTGTGTATGGTGTTAATGTCATTTAGATATCATATTTATAAGGCTTATATTTGCTATACTTGTACACTATTACCATGCTAAGTATATTTCACATTATTGATATTTATACTTTACTTTTATGCCTGATTGGAGTTGCAGTATGATTTTGATAAATAGCTTACTGCAATTATTTGTAATTTAGTTTTAAAACATGTAAAACTAAAAAGATGGGAAGGTCATATGGAGAACTAGTCACATAAAAGTAGTTTGTGCCACCAACTATGAGCTGATTTTTTCCTATATCAATTATTTTTGGAGCAATGCAACCATATGTGCATTCTTAATGGATCAGTTCTGATGGATTTGTTTTTGTGTTTTCTGACATCCATTATAGCATTATAACATTTTAATGAACTGGTCTTTCTAAATCAATATTAAAAACATATTAAATGTGTGTCTTTTCTGTCCAGCTCATCGACTACCGTGTAGAGTTCAGCAAATGGTGGGTGAATGAATTTAAAACCATAAAGTTTCCTTCCCAGGGAACTATTTTTGACTATTATATTGACCCAGAGTCAAAGAAATTCATGCCTTGGACTGATAAAGTGCCACAATTTGAGTTGGATCCGGATGTGCCACTGCAGGTAATCACCAGACATTTTTCTTCTGGTTTTGTTTATATTTTATTGGTACTGCTTTCCTCATAATACTACAGAAGGGATTCCAATGCTGCCCAGAGGCTCAGCATCCAGTCAATATCTCCATACAGAACAGGAAGAGTCTGGCCCACGAAGAGGGCCCTTGAGACTAGTTTCCCGTTCAGCTCGTTCTGGTATCTTATTGCCGGTGAAGACAAATATGGCACAGGTGGGGCATGCAGTAAAACGTGGCAGTGTGGACTGCTGCTGCCCAGGGCTCCAGGCACCTGGTCATGCTCTCTTCCAGGTTGCTCCATTTCCCCCTGCTCCCCTTTTTTGTTTCCTCCTCATTTCAGTAGCATTCTGTGACCATTGATCATACCCAGTTCTCAGTGGGCAGGTTTTGGGTGTTCCCTCCCTTTAGCATACTTGTACCTATACCTGTATATAAAGCAAACCTGGAGCTCCCACAACACTTCTGATACCTCTCTCTTGTTCATAGATGGTTCCGTTTTAGCTGCAAGATGAATAAATAAAGGTCATTATTAGTATATAAGATTAGCCTTGTGGTTCTTCTAGATGTGGATGCTTAAAAGGTCTGCCTGTGTCATGCTTCCATTTCGGGTCCAAAGCTAGCAGCTCTGCTTCCAGGCCTGTGGGATCCAAATGACATTCTATAGTCATGCCTGCAGTTCCCCTTTCTCCCCTGGGGAACTGCAAGGGAGGGAGGGATCTCTATCAGGAGTGTAGCATGGGGCAGAGAAAAGATTAAAATGTGAATTAGTGCAAAGTGAGCTGCTCCAGTAAATGCTCCATATGGTAATGAGTGGTAGAGAACTACTTCCAAGCCAGCCTCTCCAAGGATTAATTGACTTCTCTAGTTAAAAAGATGTTTTCTGTGTCTGATATAAAAACTGGTGCAATTCAGATTACCAGATGCTGCATTTCAGACTGCCCAAATGTTTTGAAGAACAACGAAGGGACGGCTTAATATAATATCTGTTTTGAAATAGGTGACTTGGTCTTCACAAGTGTTTTGTTGCCTAAAAAAAATATTGGCCATGTGTATTATCTCGGGTGGAATATTTTACCTGGAGAATGTCTTAACAACTCTTTCCCCGCCTCAAAATCTGTTCTGTGTGGCTTCTGTACTTCAGAAAATTATGTTAATATATTTTCACATGAGTGTTTATCTGTCTTTCAGGCCTCAATGGTACACACAACAGAAACCATCCGGATTCGCTATTTCATGGATCTGTTAATGGCCAAGAAATGGCCTGTGATGCTGGTTGGGAATGCTGGGACTGGCAAATCGGTGCTGATGGTGGATAAACTGGACACCCTTAACATGGATGATTTTATAGTGCAAGCCGTCCCCTTTAACTTCTACACAACTTCAGCCATGTTACAGTGTATGGAAACTGGACAGACTTATGTGTTGTCAGACGTAATACCTATAATAAGATAATTCTTAATGGTTATTGTTAGAACTAGTAATTAATAGGTATTTACCACACACACTGCTGCAGGAATAAGCATCCTGGGAGCATTTGGATGTGTTGAACAACTCCTGTCAGCCCTGGTTGTTAGCCATGCCCATCCTCAGCTGGATTTGATGGGAATTGTAGTCCAAAACTACTGGCCAGCACCATATTACCTACTCTTCCTGGAAACATATAGGTTGGGAAGGAAGTCTGCTGTCTTCCTCTACTACCAGCACAGCCATCGTCACCCAACTAGGAATAAGCAAATTCTTCCATTTCCATTTCCCTTTCTTCAGCATTCACATTTTTAAAAGCTCTACTTATTTCTCTCCTGAATATAAACTTTGCTAATTTTAGTAAAGCCTTCAAAAAGTAGCTGAAAAGACATTCTCATCCCTCTGTCCCCACCAAATTCAATAGATGCAGCTATTCCCAGCAAGGAGAAGACCATGACTCATACCTGCCTGCCATGAAAAGTAAAGGAAGAGGAGCCTGGCAGAAAAAAGAGCTGGCAAACCAGATTGCTGCATCCAAAGGGATTCAGACCCAGAGTGTTCAGCAAAGCACCCAAAGCCCTGGGCCTGAATGGACAAATCTGTCCATTTTTATTTGACCTACTTTTGAATTTTGTTTAATACAAAGAGGGGTTTTGGTCCCCAGAATGAAGAACTTTGTGAATTTTGGTGGATTCTTATCAAAACCAAACTAAAACAAAATGCTGACACATCCCTGCACACCATGTGCACTCACTTACCTTGGGCATGTTGCACGAAAAGGCTCTTTGGTTGGTCTGGCCATGGAAGGGAAAATGGAGTGAACTTCTCCATACAACATACTCAGGCCAGCCAGTTGCAGCTTTCATGCAACTCCCATACAGCTAAAGTGTCCTCCACAGTAAAGAGAATATTTCCTGCTAAGTAAGTCTGCTTCTCCCTTGGTGACCAGGTGTACCCGGGTGTTGCTTTTCAACTGTTACATGCTGGGCCCTAATCCCGCAACGAAGAGAAGTTGGGCAGCATTTTACCTCATCTACAAGATGAGGCCCAGTGACACCTGCTCACGGATGGTTTTCTACTTGTACAGCTATTCTTGAAAAGCCTCTGGAGAAGAAATCGGGAAGGAACTTTGGTCCCCCTGGCACCAAGAAGCTCATTTACTTCATAGATGATATGAACATGCCAGAAGTCGACAAATATGGCACCGTGGCTCCTCATACCTTGATCCGGCAGCACATGGACCACGGGCACTGGTAGGAATGCCCCTTGTCTGTTGTAACTGCTGGTTCCTGTATGTATCTGAACGATACAGCCAAATATTGTGGGTGCTAGAAGGGCCCATAAAGACCTTCCTGCTTGGTACGTGTATCCTTTCAAGGTGGACTCTCTTATGCTTTCTGCTCAAAAATTGCCATTCAGAAAAGAATCCTGACATTCACAGGGCAATAGCAAAGGCCATGTTAAATACACAGTAGAATGGCAGACCTACTGTTAGGCCACCATAAAGAGGCCTGTGCCCTCCCACCCAGCCTTCCTCTCTTGCTGCAGAGACCGTATGGTTTTGACATCTTGTGTTCAGTCTTTCCCCCCTACAACTTCAAGCACTTTCCTGTGTGTGGTATATGGAAAATAGTGCTTACACACAACATTTTTCCACATGAAGCAATTATTGTGCACTTTTGATTCCTTACTAACATTTGTTGACTTGCATGTTCTTTAGGTGATGACGTGGTCCTCCAGTTTCATTTTGGTTTTTAAGGGGAACTTTCCCAGGTTTTTCTCAGAATGGGGGAAATGGGGTTTTACAGCAGTTCAGGTGCTTTCCTACTTGCAGTGATGTGAAGGCCTTCTTAGAATCATAGGAGAGCAACGTTGGAAGGGACCAAGAAGGCCAGAAGGCCACTGAGTCCAACCAATTTACACCATCCCCACTCAGATGACTGTCCAGTTTCTTTTTAAATGTCTCTAATGTGGGAAAGCCCACAATCTTCCTAGCATCCAACTCTCTTGCACTTGCAATATTTCTTTCCCACGCTCAGCCCTAGCCTAGGAAGCATGCCAAACCTAGATGAAATCTGCAAACGCTAGCGGATCGTTCTCGTACGAAGTACACGGTCTACACACACCAAGCATGATGTGGACAATCTGCAGGTTGTGCTAGGTGTGCATGTGTAGTCCCCACCACTGCCCCCAGTATATGTGCACAAAGCCCATAACACACAAACACCCACAAGCCATGTTTCTGGAAGCAGACATTTGCTTGTGCTGCAGACGCGCAGGCAGTATATGTGCGAGCTAGTGTCACTGCAGCAGGCAGTCGTTGGACTCACTTTCTTCTGGATGCCTGCGCAGATGCTCAACCCAGGTCAGGCTTGGGGAAGAGAAAGGATGGGCTGGAGTCTTGGGAGCCAAGCCACAAAAATCCTATGGATTCCTGCCTCCAAACATTCTTTACTCTCCACTACTACTCTTATACTTGAATACTTGTAGCACAGCACCACCTAGAGGTTATATAGCACAGAAAACAGGGTAGAAAAAGCTCTTCAGAAAGAGTTCAGATCTCAATTCTGCAGTGGAACTGAAAGCAGGTACAGCAATCAAGAGCCTTATTTTTAAAACTTTATGTCCAGCACAAGGCTGACGGCTGCCTGGCTTCCCTTTGGGAGTACAACCACACTATTAGATTCCAGCATGTAAGGTTTCCACCTCTGTCTATTTCTCCAAAAGGGACAAATCCAGAGAGGACTGACGGAGACCTATTTTTACGAAATAATATTAAATCCCAGCTCCTTAGATGTTCTGCACAACCAGGTGCCAAAGGGGAAAGTGTCCAGGGGTCAATCATGAAGTACCAGTGGAGATGTGATTATCCCTTTTACAAAGCAAGAAGGAATCCCTTTTTTATTTAAGCAAGAATTGGTTAAAGACACCCTCTGCATTCTCAATGAATCACTCTGAGAATTCCACGGTGCCAATTATGAGGGAGTCTTATTTTGTAGAATGGGAATTGCAGCAAGTGATGTAACCTTGCTGGCTCAATCTCCAGGCTTTTGGCCTTGCTTTATTACAGATAGGAGAAACGATGTTGAAAGATGAGATTAGCAAATCAGCTTAAACGAGAAAAAAATGTTCATGTTTTTGATGTATGTATGTTTAGTCTGTACAAAAGCAGAGGTGTAAGGAATCTGATAGGGAGATGAAAATCCAATAGATTTCCGCAATTTGCTTCCTCCCTGTGTTCTGGTCCGTGAGCCCTGTGCTGGCACTGAAGTACAGTGGTGCAAACTGAGCCAGCTTCTGGACTTCAGCCTGTAGGCAAACCTTGGTTTGCTCTTTTTAAAAAACTGCTAATCAAATATGGGCAACTAAGTACCAGAAAAGTATGTGACTCTAGTGTGATTACTGAATTGGCCAATTCAGCACAAATCATGCTAGAGTCATGCAGTTTTCAGGTGCATAGGAACAAATTTCAGGAGTGGTTTTTTTATATCAAAATCACAGTCCATCTTGAACACAGAAATCTGAGGGGGGGAAATTACTCAGCCCATTTCTGATCAATCCTAACACCCAGCCATAATCACTATACATCCAGGCAGCATACAGACAAGCAGCAGCATCTCTGTTCTTGCCCTCCATCGCTTTTTCTTCACAATAGAAACTTTTCCAGCCCCCTGCATATGTTCAAGGACCCACCTTTTCCTAACACTAACACTAATCTGCAGTTTAACCCCAACCCTAACACTCAGCTACAATCCAGGTACATTCAGACAGCATGCAGAAAAGGAACACCCAGGCTGTTCTTGTGCTGTCTTTCTAGGCCCCTGGGTATACACCAGGGACCCAGGTTTTCCTTATGCTACCTTTAAGCTTAACTCTAGTCCTAACACCCAGGCAAAATCTTTAGCCTTCCTGACAACTTGAGGAAGCACAACACTCAGGGTGCTGATCATTCCCTTTTTCTCCCCAGTCTAGGCTATTTCCCAGCCCCTGGACATGCACAGGAACCCATATTTTTGTCATCCTAACTCTACCAAGAAGCTTATCACGAACACCACCACTGAAATATAATTCTTATACATTCAGGCAACATGTACAAAAGTGGCACTCAGAGTGTTCTTGTTGCCTGCTTGCTTTGTTTGCCCAGTCTGGTTTTTCTAACCTTAATCTGATGTTTAACCCAGACCCTAATACCTAGGTATTATCCCAATGTCCAAATTCAGACATTGTGCAGAACAGGTTCAGGTTGTTCCCATTCACTGGTCACTGTTTCTGCCAAATCCATGCCTGTTTCACTTCCCTGGACATGCACATCGACCCAGTTTTTCCTTACCCTAACCTGAAACTGAACCACAACCCTAAGAATGAAGTGGAAGCAAATTGGAAGTAGGCAGCAAATCCAAGCTCAAATGAACTGGATTTCCCTGCTTTGGTACATCTGGATATATTAGGACTATAGAAATGACCAGTGTAGCGAGAGCTGTCAATTCTGCTAGGTTAGCTACAGTGCGCTGGCTCAAATGGATCTTGACTAAGAAGCAGACCTTAATTCTCATCATGCCTTCATTGTTGTGTCTTTCCAACCTACATTTTTGCAAGACTATCAGAATCATATATCACATCAAATCTCACCTGTACCTTCAATAAGGAGAGGTCATGAAAGGAATTTGTCATTACATGACCTTTTTCTGAATACAAGTGCAAGGTTTAGGAGTCTTCCTGACTGGATAATGGTAGATAGTCCCTGCACTCCTTCTCAATGGAATCAATGTTTGCTTCTTTCTGTTAGGTATGACAGAAACAAGCTGACACTAAAGGACATTCACAACTGCCAATATGTTGCCTGCATGAACCCAACTGCTGGGTCCTTCACTATTGATTCCAGGCTCCAGGTACGCATCAGAGCGATATTATGGGGGTTTCAGTGAGCAGCAGCATCCACCTCACCCATGCAATGCTTGCTTGTTTTCACTAGGAGCCATCTTGCCAACTGGAAGCCAAAGATTAGAGCGTGTCTGGGTTAATTGGCTTTGTTAAGAAAATGATTCTTTGTAGTGACAAAGCTGTTCCTTGCAAATTGCCTTTGTTCTAGCGACACTTCTGCGTGTTTGCTGTGAGTTTCCCTGGGCAAGACGCCCTGATGACCGTCTACAGCACCATCCTAGGGCAGCACTTGGCCCTCCGGAATGTCCCCATGGTGGTCCAGAAGATTCATTCACAGCTTGTTTCTGCAGCTCTGGGTAAGAACTGCAAAAAGCAACACACACCATGGCAGGCTTTGCTTTCCCCTTTGCACCTCTCTGTTTCCTACCAGCATTTGTAACCTGCAGATCGCTGACATGATTTGGAATTCTGTCTGGAATATAGTGGGGTGACTGTCATAGGGGCCTCATGCCTGTGCCAGCCCCTTTCTGTGGAACTGAACTTTGTTCATGCTCTTTTTATGGAGCACCCACACAGCTGTCTTGTTAGATTGTTGCAGTCCAGTTTTTCTCTACTGTCTTCCCATGGCTTTTTATCCCAGCTACATGGTGATTTTTAAAAAGTTGATAATTAAAAATACCCCACACACATACACATACACACACATAGAAACACCCCACTGCTGCGAGGCAGAAACTGACATGGGATAGTTAAGTGAAGTTATTTTTATAAAAGTTTATATTTGTTGTTAGTCGCGAAGTCGTGTCCGACCCATTGCGACCCCATGGACAACATTCCTCCAGACTTTCCTGTCCTCCACCATCCCCAGAGTCCTCTTAAGCACACACAGACTGCTTCAGTGATTCCATCCAGCCACCTCATTCTCTGCCGCCCCCTTCTTTTGCCATCTATTGTTCCCAGCATTAGGCTCTTCTCCAGTGAGTCCTTCCTTCTCATTAGGTGGCGAAACTATTTGAGTTTCATCTTCAGTATTTCGCTTTCTAAAGAGCACTCAGGGTTGATCTCCTCTAGGACTGACCGGTTTGATCGCCTTGCAGTCCAAGGGACTCGCAGGAGTCTCCTCCAGCACAATTCAAAGGCCTCAGTTCTTCAGTGCTCAGCCTTCCTTATGGTCCAGCTTTCACAGTCACACATTGCAACTGGGAAAACCATAGCCTTGACTATACGCACTTTTGTCAGCAGGGTGATGTCTCTGCTTTTTCGTATGCTGTCTAGATTTGCCATAGCTTGCCTCCCCAGGAGCAAGCGTCTTTTAATTTCTCGGCTACAGTCAGTGTCTGCAGGGATCTTGGAGCCCAGGAAAATAAAATCTGTCACTGCCTCCATTTCTTCCCCATCTATTTGCCAGGAAGTGATGAGACCAGATGCCATGATCTTAGTTTTCTTAATGTTGAGTTTCAAGCCAACTTTTGCGCTCTCCTCCTTCACCTGCATCAAGAGGCTTTTTAGTTCCTCTTCACTTTCTGCCATTAGAATGGTATCATCTGCATATGTGAGGTTGTTGATATTTCTCCCAGCAATCTTACTTACAACTGGTGATTCATCTAGCCCCGCCTTTCTCATGATGTGCTCTGCATATAAGTTAAATAGGCAGGGCGACAGTGTACAGCCTTGCCGAACTCCTTTCTCAATTTTGAACCAATCAGTGGTTCCATGTCCAGTTCTCACTGTTGCTTCTTGACCCACATACAGGTTTCTCAAGAGACAAATAAGATGGTCTGGTACTCCCATCTCTTTAAGAACTTGCCACAATTTGTTGTGATCCACACAATCAAAGGCTTTAGCATAGTCAATGAAGCAGAAGTAGATGTTTTCTGGAACTCCCTAGCTTTCTGCATGAGCCAGTGTATGTTGGCAATTTGATCTCTAGTTCCTCTCCCTCTTCTAAATCCTGCCTGTACTTCTGGTAGTTCTCGGTCCACATACTGCTGGAGCCTGGCTTGTAGGATTTTGAGCATAACTTTGCTAGCATGTGAAATGAGTGCAATGCTGCAGTAGTTTGAACATTCTTTGGCATTGCCCTTCTTTGGGATCGGAATGGTTTGCCTTGGATTCGAACTGAGATCATTCTGTCATTTTGGAGATTGTATCCCAGTACTGCTTTTCCTACTCTTTTATTGACTATGAAGGCTATTCCATTTCTTCTGAGGGATTCTTGCCCGCAGTAGCATACCTGATGGTCATCTGAATTAAATTCACCCATTCCTGTCCATTTTAGTTCACTGATTCCTAAGATGTCGATGTTCAGTCTTGTCATCTCTTGTCTGACCACATCCAGCTTGCCTTGACTCATGGATCTTACATTCCAGGTTCCTATGGAGTATAGATCTTTACAGCATCAGACTCTCCTTTCACCACCAGATACATCTGCAACTGAGTGTCCTTTTGGCTTTGACTGAGTTGCTTCATTCTTTCTGGCGCTACTAGTACTAGCCCTCTGCTCTTTCCCAGTAGCATATTGGACACCTTCCAACCTGAGGGGCTCATCTTCCGGCGTCATATCTCTTTGCCTTTTGGTACTGTCCATGGGGTTTTCATGGCAAAGATACTGGAGTGGGTTCCTTCCTCCAGTGGATCACGTTTTATCAGAGCTCACTGCTATGACCTGTCTGTCTTGGGTGGCCCTGCACGGCATAGCTCATAGCTTCATTGAGCTACGCAAGCCCCTTCGCCACAACAAGGCAGTGATCCATGAAGAAGAAAGTTTATTTAACTAATACTATATTTCTGTTAGGATTATGAGAATTTATAAGTTAAGCAAAGTTTTTTTGTTTATTTATTATATTTATATCCAACATTTTTTTTTACTTTTAAGTAACTGACGGTGGCTTACATAATTCTCCTCCTCTCAATCTTACCCTCATGACAACCACCCTGTGAGGTAGGTTGGGCTGAGAGTCTGTGTCTGGCCCAAAGTCACCCAGTTGGCTCCATGGCTGAGTAGAGACTAGAACCCAGATCACCTGAGTCCCAGTCCCACACTCTTAACCACTGCACTACACTACACTACACTACACTACCCTGCACTGGCTCTTAGTCATCAATAACATGAACCATAGCTTACAGACATACTTCCAAACATGGTTTAAATCCTAGTTTATGGTCAATCTTTAACTATATTTTAGTAAGTCAGATACCAACCTTAAGTTGTACAAATAGCAAACCATGGTAAAGCACTACATCACAGTCACTTTCACAAGGCCATATAAGTAGCCTGTGGAACCTGTAATGCTTAAATTATCCTCACTCAGACTCCTATGCCATGAATAACTCTCATCCAGCAAACCAAGCTGAATTTTCCATTGAATTAGATTCGCTCAGGTGCCATGATGCTTGTGGTCTAGAATGAAACAGTCCAGTGTGTTCCCCAAAAAGTTTAAATAATTGGAAGCAGATAATTTCCACTTGGCCAAAAAGAGAAAGCGCTTAAGAACAGATGGAACATCTGGATGAACTAGATAAGAATGTGGAACTGGCCCACAGTGCTCTCTTCAGGAAATGGATGTGTTTCTTTTCCTTCCGTCCTTCATTCTTTTCTTTCTTTCTTTCTTTCTTTCTTTCTTTCTTTCTTTCTTTCTTTTTTATCTATAAAAAATAAAAAGGGGGAAATGGATGTGTGAATGAATTTACAAAGTTGTCCCCATATAGTTGATATGTAGTTCTCCTGAGGCCTGGGGCTGGTAGGAATACCTTTCAGGGATGAGGAGAATAGGGGAAGCTAGCCATTCTTCTCAAACATTATTTTTATCATAGCCAGAGAAGAGCTGGCAACTTTAAAAGCCTATCCCCCAGTTTATATTTTTGGAATTTTGTATTTAAATGGAAAACAGACGATAGCTTTCATAATAAGCCTGTCATAAATCTGTGGCATATTGCTATTTGCTCCTTCCAATTTAAATTCCCCATTTCCCTTCAAACAGCCCTAATCTCTTTCTTTTGATGTATATTTCCTGTATTCCTCCACAACAGCCTTGCATCAGAAAATTACATCCACCTTTCTTCCTACGGCCATAAAATTCCACTATGTTTTCAATCTCCGGGACCTCTCGAACATTTTCCAGGTATAATATCATTTTTCTATAGCTTTCCCTTATTCCTTTGAATGAGAATGGTCCTGGCAAAGCAAAAAATTTCAAACTGAAGTTGGAGCTCTGGATTGCAGGTGGGGAAAAGGTAGAATGTTTCCTACATATGAGTGCTTTCTGTATGACTGAGGCCTAATCCTGTGGTAGGCCTGTGCTAGTATTGGTTGGTCAGCACTTGCTCGAGAATTTGAACAAATGGCCCAGAGAGATATCTCATCTCCTCATAGTCTTCCTTCTCTATGTATTCTTGGAGGTTTTCAGCTGTAATTGACCAAGAAAGGGATCTTGGGGTTATGGTGGACAACATGATGTCAACCTAGTCTGCAGTTACTGTGAAAAAGGCAAACTCCATATTAGGAAAGGAATTGAAAATAAAACTGTCAATATTCTACTTTCCTTATACAAGTCTATGGTGCAACTGCACATAGAATGCTGTGTGCCGTTCTAGTTGCCACATCCAAAAAAGGGCACTGTAGCGTTGGGAAAAGTGCAGAAAAGGGCAACTAGGGCTTGGATCATTGCCCCTGTGAGGAAAGATTACGATAGCGGAGAGTAGAGAAAAAGGCCAGGGGAGACATGATAGAGGTGTACAGAATTAGGCATGGAGAAAGGGGAGAGGGAGGCATTTTTTCTCCTCCTCCCATAATGCTAGAACCCAAGGCGATCTCATGAAGCTAACTGGTTAGGAGGTTCAGGACAGATAAAAGGAAGTTCTGCTTCACAGAAGCATAGTTAAAGTATGGAATTCACTTCCATGAGATGTACTAATGGCCACCATCTGAAGAGCGTTAAAGGAGGTTTGGGTGAATGCATGGAGAAGGCTATCAGGTCTACAAGTCTTAATGGCGATATGCCACCTCCAGTGCCTACGGACACAGGTTGCTAAGGAACTTGGATAGGAGGATGCTGTTGCACCCATATCCCACTTGTGGGATCCTGTGGGCAGTTGAATGGCCACTGGATCCCAGCCAGCTGATGAACAGAAGGCTGGCCTGGATGGACCACTGGTCTGATCCGGCATTGGCTTTCTTATGTTCTTCTGCTGTAAGTTCTCCACTGCTATCACCCCCCGCCCTTCTCCATGTCAGCTCCAGCTTCAGAAACAGTTTCTGCTTTCCTTGATTTAGCATGACTCTGTCCTGCTATCATTATCAATTTATGTGGTAGGACAGCTGTTCTGGCAGAAGGATGTACAATCTGTTTGCACTCCTATAGCTGCTGTATGTACAAGGACCCTGGGGAACAACTGGCTTTCCCAGAAGCAGAAAAGCAGATCGCTGCTGTTGTGGGGTGTGTTTTTTTCCTGTTGTTTTCTGTTTTCTTTGTCTGACGGCTCACTGCTCAAACTCATGCTTACAACAAGCAACTGAAATGCCCCTTATCCCATCATGCTTTGCATTTTGAACAGTGGGTTGGAATACTCCACTGTGTTGCCAGAGCATTGTTGAGAATAGTCAGATTATTTACATATTGGTGTCAGGGATAATGCAGCACAAAGGTCTGAGGCAAGGGTGGGTCATATACAGATGTATCAAGGCTGATTTTTGTGGAGTAACTCATACTTGGGAAGCTCCCTGGAAGTTCATTTCTGCATATAAACAAGAATCATAGAATCACGGAATAGCAGAGTTGGAAGGGGCCAGGAAGGCCTCTGGTCCACCCCCCCCCCCCCGCTGTTGCAGGACACCAAGTTACTCTATCCCACTCAGATGGCTCCCCAGTTTCCTTTTGAATGTCTCTAGTGTGCGAAAGCTCACCACCTCTCTAGGCATGCCTCATCCCCTGCACGTTCTCCAGGTATTTTGCTGGCACACCATGGAAATTCAACAACAGTGCAATAAGTTTGGTGGAGGGGGGGTATGGCTCCAGGGTGGGCAATGCAGCCTCCAGCCATTGGAAGTTGCTCACCCCTAATCTGCAGGAAAGGTGTACTCATACGGTTTCTTTAAATCTCAGCCTGCTTTGCCGTGTTTCTTCTTGTTTGAGCCTCAGTCCAGGAAAATGGATCTACACTAAAACTTGGCAAACATGCCGCATATCAGATCACATAATTAGCCCCAATCATGTCAAACCCTCACAGTCCCTGTTCAGGAACATTTGTCAGCCCCATTCATTCAGAGGCTGTAATGGTTATTTTTATATTATATTTATACCCTGTATTTCCTCTTGGAAAGAATTCAAAGTAGCTAACAAGGTTCTCTCCCTCTCCATTTTATCCTCACAACAACCCTGTGAGGTAGGTTGGTCTGAGAGTCTGGGACTGGCCCAACGTCACCCAGTGAGCTGCATGGCTGAGCTAGAACTAGAATCTGGATCTCTCATGTCCTAGTGCTTATCTGGGTCTGTGGGGTCTGATTTGTGAGCAGCTGTAAAGAACCGTGCACCATCATAGGAAAGAGAAGTCTGGGGATAACCTAGAGTTGACCTTAAGAATAAGAGGGCATGGCACAGAGGTAGCGAGGACAAGCAAGGTGGGCCCTGGCACCTTGGAAAGCTCTGTGCAGTGGGTTTCAGAAGGTGCTGTGCTTGCTTCAGCAGCACAAGCACTAGGAAGTTACCTGGGCCGTGGGTCCACACAGACCGAGCTGAACCTCCTGTCTTTGACAGGGACTGCTGTTCTCCACACACGAGTGCCTCAAGATCCCATCAGACCTAGTGCGACTCTGGCTGCATGAAGCTGAGCGAGTTTATTGTGACAAACTCGTGGAGGAGAAAGATCAAGAGAGCTTTGGCCGGGTCATGATGGCAACTTGCAAGAAATTCTTTGAGGTGGTGATGTTGTCTGTCTTCTTTTCTTCTTCGGATAATCCTCTAAATTCAGGGATGAACTTGGATGCAGCTGGGATGCCTGCAGGCTCTTTCAATATTAGTAGTGGGCACTTAACTAATTAACCAAGTACTGCTCCAAATTTATTCTGAAACTGATTCACAAGGGCTTCCTTAAGCTAGAAACAGGGAACCTTTGTGGGACTTAAGGCTGGGTAAATCAAAGATTCTGTCTCCAATCTGCAAACCTCCTACCTCCTCACCCGAAGTTCTTCTTGTTCTAGAGGAAGAGCTGTATCACAATTGCCATTTTGGATAAGTTGCTAACAGCTCAACTGCGGCAGAGATCCGCTTGCTTGCTCTGCAGCACCCGTGCAGGCCTAATCCAAAGGCCTGCCATTGTTTAAAAGAATGGAAAGCAAAAAGCAGGTCCTAAGATGATGATTGTTCTTTCTGCAGGACATGGGTGACAATGTTGTCTTTGCAAAGCCCAACATTTTTTGCCACTTTGCTCAGGGCATTGGAGATCCAAAGTATCTGCCCGTTTCCAATATTCAGTCCCTGAACAAACTGCTTGTGGAAGCCTTGGACAGCTACAATGAGGTCAATGCAGTCATGAACTTGGTGAGTGAAGCTGAAGCTGCTGAAACGGAAGATGATGCTGATCCTCTAGGGCAGGTGAAGCTACACAGGAGCTTCATTTGTCCCTGCCACAAAGTGCACGCACACAAAGGCACTCTATAAAGCCTACAGAGCACTAAGAGAGTCAAAATTTAGCTTGATAGCCAAGGTATTTGGCACTACTGAACACTATGCCATCATTTGCTGCTGAATTTCTGTGGCAAAGCCCTGGTCATTTAAAAACAAAAATCAGACGTAATGCCCCCCTCCCCTCCGCCGCCACCAAACTGTACCCTGAGGTGTCTGCAGAGCCAAAACAGCTCCAGACTTCCTGCAGCTGCTCGGCACTCTTTTGTGGCCTCTCCTTTCTCTTACACTCCAGATGTGACCAAAGTTTGAACCACTTCTGGTGCTTTTCCCTGCCCTGCACTGATGGCTTCCTGTTTCAGTGCTTAACACTTTGTTCTCCACCTTGACTATTCTTTCCACACACACGTGTGTGTGCGCACACACCATATATTGTACATTTATCTCATGATTAGTGAATTGGGGAACAAGTTTCAATGGACTGAATAGTGCCAAATGTATGCACAGATTAATGGTGTATCTCTACAGACATTGTTAACATTGTTGGGCTGTGCAATGTTTTAATAACTGTAGTAGGAAGTGGATCTGGAGTCCCTGAGAAACCATTAAATGTCCAGAGTTGAACAAGTTTGGAATGGGAGAACAGTGGGCATGAGGCATCCAGATGGATTTGGTGAATAGTTGTTTGTGCCCAAAGTTGTCCAAGGCACCATGCAACTGTGATCCAATGTGAAATGATATGAAATTAACCTTGCAGGAGGATTGGAACCACTGACATGGTGCCTTCAATGCCCATTCCATCAATCAGCCCACCATGGTACCAAAGGTTGTTAAGCGATTAGGAAGAATTAACAGAGTTCCATTCTGTATCCCAGACTTTTGTACAGTAGGCATTTTACAAGTGATTTTATGCCTGCTTCTCCCTGATAGTCACACTTTTGTGCACGCTTCTCTATTAGGTACATTTTTCCTGTGTTTAACTTGCAAACTGCACCGTAAAATTTGGAAAGTGAACTTATCGCCATATACCTGCATTTCAGGTCGTACATTGGTTCAGGAAGTGCAAATCTCATAAGCTCACGCTAAAATGTGAAGTGAACCAATTTCTCACCCAACTCTAATGTAGACCACACAAACTCTTGTCTTGCTAAGAAAGTTCTGAGCATACTAAAATGGGCTGGTTTATAGCATAGCATTTGTCTGATGCTTTTACTTATACTCTGTCTGCTGCAGTCTGTGCTAGTGTATATTTCTGCTTGCCATAATTCGTGCTACTAATAAACCATCCCTATCTATTGCAGGTGCTCTTTGAGGATGCTGTCTCGCATGTCTGCAGGATCAATCGCATCTTGGAGTCTCCCAGAGGGAACGCCTTGTTAGTGGGTGTCGGGGGCAGCGGCAAGCAGAGCCTGTCCCGACTGGCTGCCTATATAAGCTCTCTGGATGTATTCCAGATCACACTGAAGAAAGGCTATGGAATTCCCGACCTCAAGGTGAGACGCGGAGTCGTCGTCTCGAGGCCCAATTTAGCGAATTACTGCAGTGCATTAAAAAAAGACCCATATTGGACACCACAAGCCGAGTGCAGAGCCATCTTGCTTTCGACCGGCACAACCTTGTCAAGAACATTGTTCTCTGTGTGTGATAGCACCATGTCCACTGGGCATATTCCCAGAAAGAGTGATTTTGGGAACTTTCAGCGTAAGAGAGACAAGAAGATTTTGGGAAGGAAGGAAAATGGGTGATACGAAGTTACATGAGTATAAGCAGGGTGTTCAGTTCCATGTGCTTTCAAGCCATTAAGAAAGGCATAGACATTATTGAGTGAGATTCTGTCGGTGAAAAAATATTTCAGCAAATACTTAGGGTATCTAGTCCAACAAAATCTATGAGATTCAGGTATTTGTTTTTAGCAGATACAAACTCGTGACTCTTTAGAACCCTGCCAGTGCATGGCTTAAAAAAAATTGCACAGACCAAAGTGGTCGTGTGTGCAATGATGGCGTGTGCAAAACTCCAAGCAGCTTAGCTTTTGCATGTCGCGGTGAACGCCGAAAGCCTGTTCCTACTGCAGTGTTAACTCTATTGCATTCTGAATAACATTTATAAAATTGTCTCAGTAAATGATATTTCATGGCAGGAAGTCAGCACAGATATTTCCTGTCAGCACTGCAGCTGCCGCACAGAGAGAGGGTTGAGAAAAGGCCCTCAGCAGCGTGGTCTGGTGAACTCCAGCCTTAAACGGTCTGCCTTAGGGTCTCATCTCTGTGCAGCTGAATCAGACCCTAACTTAAAGGCAGTTTGTTCCACGCAAAGTGCATTTCTTGAAGAAAGCTGCTTGGTGTGACAGGAGGATGCATTTTTGCGAATGTGTCCTGGCTATGAACCCTTCTGGCCCACAATGCAGAGTGACTTGCATGCGCTGTGGCAGATTTGTAGAACAGATGAAGATGCCATGCCCAAGCCACTTCTCATCTGAACATAGCTGTAGAGCAGCCTGTCCCTGCCTGACAGCCAGACTGCTGGAGCGCAGCAGCTGTTATGCTTGCCCAAATTCTGTTTGGTTCTCCTAGCCTGAGCGGTGCACATCGGGGACCCTCTGGGGAAATGCGAGTCATTGTGGCACGCTGGTTGGGAGGTGCCGGAGTGCCACCTTGTGATCACCAGGGAGTGCACTGGTTAGGGTTTCCCCCATGCCATTATTGATAAGGGTGATCACAGCTGGAAAGATACGCTCTGGATCAAGGACAGAAACACTTCTTTTTCTACCTGTTCTCTTTCTCTGGTTCAAAGATACAACTAAAGCATTGAAATTAGAATACAGGCCTGAATGTTCATGTTTAGCCCATAATTTAACCCAGCCTTTACACAGGAAGGTTACTTCTGTCCCATGTCGGATTCAGGAACTATTTCAAAGCATCGTTGAAGCTCAGAAATAGTCCAGAGGAATCTTTTTATGGGAGTAACCGACACGTATCTGTTCTGTGGTTCAGGCTGACCTGGCTTCCCAGTACATCAAAGTTGCTGTGAAGAACACCCCCACCGTGTTTCTAATGACAGACTCGCAGGTTGCCGAGGAGCAGTTCTTAGTTTTGATCAATGATCTCCTGGCATCTGGTGAGATCCCAGGGCTATTCCAGGATGACGAGGTGGAAAATATCATTGGCTCCATGCGACCCCAGGTGAAATCTCTTGGCATGCAAGACACTAGGGAAAACTGCTGGAAATTCTTCATTGAGAAAGTCCGAAAACAACTGAAGGCAAGCTGTCCTTTTCTGTCCCAATGGCATGACTGCTGGGGAAAGGGGGTATTTATTCCAAATATCTCTGTAACTGGTGCACAGAACATACTGCTGCCTGGCTCTGTGTGCTGTGGCTGCAGGGTTAGCTGTGCCACGTGACAAGGGGAAACACTTTCCTGCAGTTTTTAAACACAATTTCACAGTGGGTTATGGGGAGGGGAAAATCTAGTATTATTTGTAAAAACAAAACAGCATACTAATTCCTGTGTTATTCTGCTGTATGAACAGCACCCCCTAGAGGTTCTGCAGAGGGAAGTATAGAAAAGCAAGAAAGGAAAGTGTTCATGTAGAACGCCAGTTATAATTCTGCAAATGAACCAGAATGTTAGACACAGGAGATTAAACAGCCTCACCTACAATAGCTCTAAGTCAGGAGTTGAAGCTGACTCAGGTTCCAGTAGCTTTGAAATACAATAATGTAAACTGACCTTCAATGGTATCTGGACAAGGAGGAAAAAACAGGGCAATGGGCGATGCCTGCAAGAATGACAGATTCTTAGGTCAGTCCATTAGCTATTAGCAAGAGCTGCACTCCCACAAGTAGGCCACACATTCCTTTCCTGCTTCCAGATCTTATCTGTCTAGTACTAATTTAAAGGCAGCACTTGAAAGATATGCTATGGAGGCATGATAACATGATCCAAGAAAGAATGGTAAAGTGACAAAGCTTATTATTCTCCTCAGGCTGAATCAAAACCTGGTTGAAGAAATCCCTTCCCAATCTGCAGTTATCTCTGCCCCATATCCTGAGCCTTGTACCCAAGTACCCAAGCATTGCTGATTAAAAAAAAGACTTATAAAAGTGTCTGCAGCACATTAGCATCCATTCTACTGTGGAAAGCCTACATGCAGTGGAGCATCCAGTTGCAATGCCAAACTTCTGCTCAGAGCTTTGGGCCCAGGCAAGCTGCTGTTGAAACAGAAGCAAGGGGACCACCCCCTCAGAGTTTGCAATATTGAGGAGTGCATCCATATGGTTTACCCTGCTCTGTAACCTGCTTTTTCTCAGAACAGCTGAACTCATACTTTGAACTAGTAAGATCCAGCTTCTTAAGGTTTTGCTATTGTTTTGCAGTGTGAGATCAGTCCTTTTCAGTTTTCAGTCCCAGACCATCAGAAACCCATTGCTAAGAAGCCAGGGCCCTAAAAGACTGAAAATGATTGGAGTTTAACCTTCTGGCTTCTGAGTAAATTGATATTGACAGCCCTGCGTGCTAAGTGATCCCCTCCTCCTCGACTCCAGGTGATCCTGTGCTTCTCTCCTGTGGGATCAACGCTGCGTGTTCGAGCAAGAAAGTTCCCTGCTGTAGTGAACTGCACAGCTATTGACTGGTTTCATGAATGGCCCGAAGATGCGTTGGTGTCGGTCAGCGCAAGGTTCCTTGAGGAGACGGAGGGAATTGAGGTGGGTCTAGACTTCCATAGCATCATTTATAGCCATGCCTGCAGCCTCCCTTGGTATGAAACAAACTTAGAACAATGTCACAGCCAGTGTTCCTTTATTGTTTCTGTGTTCTGCCAAGGTTCTGCATCAAGGTTGTGATATGCATCAAGGATGAATTGTTTTTTATTGTTACATCTATATCCCTACCGTTTCCCCTCCTCCAAGGAACTCAAGACAGTTTATATGATCCTCCTCCTCTCTCATTTATCCCCACAGCAACCCTGTGAGGTAAATGAGGCTGAGAGTTGCCCAGTGAGCTTCACAGCTGAGCACAGGGCCAAGACTGCCTTAGTCCCAGTCCAGTCCTTTCACCACTACACCACGCTGGTTCTCAGTCTAGCTCTAATGAGCTTTCTCTCTAGGCATAAAGTCTCAAAATGTAGGCTGCGTACAAAGGAACCCATCAACCAAGTGCCTGTCATGTTCTAATCTGGGGTATGGCATGGCCATTGATCTATCTGCTGATTAATAGAGGATTAGACTAAATATGCAAGGGATAATTTCTCTGACTCAAGGTCTGTGACCCAGGTCACACAATAATCTAAACCAAGGGAACACAATCTTTTCCCAAGGGTTCTAGCTGAGTATATGCTCCACACTTATGGTGTCTCTTGCTGTTTGAGGCCTAGACAGTGGGAATGCTTGCTTTACCTGTCATCTCCTGAGTGGGTCAAATATATATTCCCAAGGGTATATGTTGAGTGGCAAGGACGACACATGTGCACACATGTGCTTCTGCAGCAGCATCAAGGTGTGACGCCCACTCCTCTCAGCCATCTTAAACTGCCAAGCAGAGTGAAAAATGCTCTAGGAATATGCACTATGGTTCCTGCCATAGAAACCTCATTCCTAGTGATCCCCAAAGGCAGTAACCTTTGTATAGGGCCTGCCTCCTTTGAAATATTCTAGTCTGCCCTTTGCTTTTCTAAAGTTACTATAGCCACCTATGTAACAATATTTTAAGACTAAGAAATTGTATTTAAGCTAGCCCCAGGGAGAGCAATCAAGATTTTTTATTTGTGCTTAAGAAGACAGAACATTAAGCACCAGATTGGGCTTCAAAAACCTATACAAACTAATGAAATATAAAACTCCAGTTCATTTCTGATTATAAGTAGAATCAAGCATGCAGCCTGGCTGCATTATATCAGTTTCCCAGTCCCACCAAGCCCAACAAAAAGCATAAGAAGGGTATTAAAACTTCTTTGTTTTTAAGCTAAGAGTAGTGTTCTCACTTAGAATCAGCTAATTTGTGGTCAAACAGGGCACACCTCAGCAAACATGTCATTATATCTCTGTTTGTTATTACCACGTATATTTCTATATGTGTTTAATTTACAAATGCAAGAAAGGGGAGGGGAAACCTTTGAAAACCTTGCTTTACAGATCTTTGCCTGGTGTTTTCACTTGTTGGAAAGAACCTGCCATCTGCCACATATTTGTTTTATTTTTGACATGTGCAGAAATAAAAAGCTGGGTGCAACTTCAACACCACAGAGTCCCATTTCATTTCTAGAGAGAGATTCACGTCAGTGTCCCCTTGAGACTAGTTAAGGCTAATGTTCACCAACAGAGCCTTTCTTGTTTCTTTCCTTCACTCACATGCCTTCCTCCCCAAAGCACATTAAACTTTAATAGGCCCTAAGTTATACAGCAATGCCCATGTTGCATATTTAAAGCAAAGGAAATTGGGGTGTGAGAAACCTCAGGTCCTTGGAGCAGCATTCATTCACCACTGCATTTCCCCAGGTGAATCAGGTGTTAAATGATGCACTCTGAAGAAACAGCAGCTGCGTACCTTGATATTAACATTGTGGGTCCCAGCAATTTCTGTGGCACCCAGTTGCATCTTTTAAGCATGTATTGCTTTATCAATGATGCTCTGGCTCCCTTCCCCAACCTGGTGCCCTCTAGATATACTGGTCAGCAACTCCCAGCACCCTGCACCTTTGGCCATACTGGCTGGGGCTGTTAGGGGCTGAAGTCCAAAACATCTGGAGGGAGTCAAGCTGGAGAATGTTGACCCAGAGGACTGTGCTAGAATTCCCCCTAGCTGCCTGGGCAGAAGGCATGGTTCTGTGCCAGTGGCCATTTGTATTTGAATAATAAAGTATGAAAATAATTGGGATAATACTATAGGTGAATGGACACATTCTAAATACTAAAATGCAGGAGGAGAAATACAGGCATAAATTGAAAGCAAACATGTCTGTAAAAATCATAAAACTGAATGCACAGGTTAGTAAAAACTGTCCATATAGATGTACTGACAATATACTACATCTCTGATAATCATCCATTGTTTTACAAGGCTAATTGATACCTTATGGTCCCTCTTGCAGCATGGTGTCAAGACTTCTATCAGTCTGTTTATGTCATTTGTCCACAAAACTGTCAATGAAATGTCCAAGGTCTATTTGGCCACTGAGAGACGCTATAATTACACCACCCCAAAAACCTTCTTGGAGCAGATCAAACTATATCAGAACCTGCTGGCTAAGAAAAGAAGAGAGCTTATTGCCAAAATTGAGAGGCTGGAGAATGGTTTGATGAAACTCCAGAGTACCGCCTCACAGGTATGTGACTGGCTGAAATTCTTTTGTTGTCCTGGAGTGACAGTTCCAAGCTTACCGCTTGAGTGTTGTTGGCTGCCCACAATTGCCGCACAGTGTACTTTGAATTACATTTAGAGAGAGTTAGCTAACAAATGTACTGATTGCTATGTTTGGGTCAATGGAAATGTATGTTGTATGGTACCTTCTGTGAAGTTATAGTCAAGATGAAGCTTCAGACTCTACTTCCCTCAATAGGCTAATTATTCCATATGAAGAACTAGTGTGTGTTTCAAACTCTCTTCATCCATTGCCTTCTAATTCCTGCAAGCTGGTAACAGCTCAAATTGATTTTGAGTGGGAAAGGAATAGAGGAGCCTTTCTGTGTCCTCCTTTCAGCCACACATACCTCCCTCTCCCAGTTCACAGTGTGGCTAGACTGATTCTGGCAAAAAGTGAGGGACAGAAGAAGATAATGGGATCAAACTAACTTAATCACAAAAATACTGGATGCAACAGCCTGTAAAACTGACTGAAGTATTGTCCGCACTGCTGTACAAAAAGATCAGGGACATGAGTTAACTGCACCACCGAGAATGAGGGAGTTTTTATCCAGGTTGGCACTTAACACAAGAGTATAAACACAAATAACAAGATTTGCTCATCTTGAATGTACTTCTGGTAAGATGTTTTTTTTTTTTTTCCAATGAATCACTTGGCATCTTTTCATTTCATTAAGAGCAGCCGTGTATAAGCGCAATTTGAATTGGAGCGGTTAAATGCGGGGACTCACCTTTCCTCCCTGCACTATTTCCCTGCTTTAAACCATCCCTCTGGAGCTGCAACTTGCTGCAGAGTGGAGGGCGGGGACAATTGACAGTGGGATCTTCTGAGCTCAAGAGGATCAGAGCCCATCAGGCACAGCAGGCAGGACACACTGTAGACATGCCAGGGTTGTCTCGCCTGATCTGCAGAAGGTGGCAGGTGTTTAGGCTGATGTCTGTATGGGAGCCCTCCAATTTGTTTCAAGGGCAATTCTGTTTGTTCTTGCTTCCCTTTTTTTCTGTGGCCTTGGTTTCCCATCCTTTTCTGAATACCTACTAACACTGTTTCAGAGAACTAGTTTCTTAATAAACTAGGATTTATCAGAAGTCAGGTGGGATATGCTGAATTTTTGCCCACAAAAAAAATTAAAGCAAGGGAGAGATTTCAGGGGCTGAACAAAGCCTTTCCTAAAACTAGCCCTTCCTCATTTTCTGCACATTCCTAGCTCACTTGATTTGCACTGCTTTTAAAGCAAGCACTTCCCTCTGAAATTATCTCATCTAATCAAGGAATTACGCAGGCAATATGATGTTCTGCTGTCACAGCAGTTTTCTCAGAACTCTGAAAACAGAAAGCAAAGCCTTTGCTCAGAATGGGCTTCCTGATGATGCCTCTCGTAAGCAATCAGATTTGACTATATGATGTCACAAATCCAAATCAGAATGAAGGCAATGCTTCTTGCTTTCACTCTGAAGGGTGTAAATAGTCTCTACTTCATTTCCTGAGGTGAAAGAAATATCTTTAGGAAAGTGCCAAGACAATGCAATTTACAGAGTATAGGAGACATGGAGCTTTAGATATGATCATGAATTGTGTCTACAAACCCCTTGTTTCAACTCAGATTCTAGAATTTACTCTCCCATTGGACATGGTAGGTTGATGATCTGAAAGCCAAACTTGCTGTTCAAGAGCTGGAGCTCAAGCATAAGAATGAAGATGCTGACAAACTGATCCAAGTGGTGGGAATTGAAACAGAAAAAGTGAGCAGGGAGAAAGCAATTGCTGATGAAGAAGAGCTGAAAGTGCAGGTCATTAATACGGTAAGTAAATATTTTTTCTGGTGATGAACTGACAGGCATATAATTTGCAGGATATGAGGAAAGGGTGAGGGATCAATGAGCCAAAGACAGGGATGTCTTTGCAAGAATGTGGGTCATTTCTGAGAAGCATTTTCCATTTGTAACATGCCGAGGATCTAGACAGCAAGTTTTAATTCCTGGAAGCTTTTGCTTAATCACAACGGGGTTTTATTATCCAGCTGTTAATTACTTCCATGTGTCATGCTGTAGTTTTTAGTGGAGCCAGCCAAGTTTTCATAGAAGTTTAGGGTTGCAGTGGAGCCCAGGTGTCCTCTTGCCCAATCCTTTCTGGAAAACAGGATCTTGCTGACAAAGAAGCTGCAAATACAGAACAGGATGCAACACTGGGCAGTCTGTTTCTGCAGACCTCCAGTTCTGCTAATCACTACCATTTACTCTGAATCTTTGTAGAGCAATACCTTTATACAATGTGGTAAACAGCACAAAATCAGTGTACTTAGTAACAAACATTGAACTCTGGAACACTTGACAAATTTTCTATGGTGCAAAGCACATTAAAAATAGTGCAACTTTCCACGATTTAGCTGCAATAGGGTGTGCAGTTTCCCCCAGAGCATCATTTGCACCCTCCAAAGCACTGAAAATTGCAGTGTGCCATGTTCCCACCCCACACACGCCTAGTGTGCAACAGAAGAGAGTTTCCAAGCCACTGTTGCCTCCCTTTTTGGGGCTTGTGCTGGGATTGCTTTTCCTTTCTTGGCAATTTGTCTTCCTGGCAGGACAGTCTCCCACTTGTTCTGAGGATTTCCTGCTGCCAGGTTTCTGCATTTGCCTACTTGGACCACATTCACTGGAGGTGCTTATTTCCTCGCATTTTCACGAACAATGCTCAGTTTTTGTGCACACCTCTTTCATTTTTAGCATTGCTTTTGAAAGCATAAGTGCTAAGGAATGTTGGAGTAATATTGATCCCAGAATCTAAAAGCCAGGATGGAAAACTGGCCTGTTTGCATAGACAGTTTTGTTTAATGTTCTCTATTTTTTTTCCTATATCTAGAATGTAACAGAAAAGCAAAGGGCCTGTGAAACGGATTTGGCCAAAGCTGAACCAGCATTAATTGCTGCTCAGGAAGCTCTGGACACTCTCAATAAGGTAAAATCCTTGGGCATTTTCAGCTGGCTGTGTGATATATTCTGATCTTGCTGAAAGTTGATTGAGGTGCACTAAGATCATGGATGCATGATTCTTCTCTCAGAAGCCATCCTCAGCCTTGTATGTTCTGACATTGCAGAAATCCACTTAAAATTTAGAAACAGCCACGAATTATTACAGTGAGGGACCTCAGCCCCAAAATACAAAGCCCTAAATCTGAGAACCTCTGCTAGTCTGAAGCTGATATGGGCTCTGGGAAATCCAGGCCACTTCTGGCTGGAGGTTCTGAAGCGTCCGTGACCATGAATAAGAGCAGCATCTCAGGGGAGGAAGCACCAGCAGGTGATGTCCACAGGGCCCCGTGCCTCCCATGGGTTCTTGCTGCTGTACAGCCGCTCATGCATTGACACTTCCCTTGTTCTGTTAATTGTTCACCTGCCAAAACCTCCACATCTCAGAGGGAAGGAATGCATTGCATTATTTTTATTCATCTGAAGTATTTTTATGCTGTTCCACAACCAACAAAGCTTCCAGAGAAGCTCACATTTGGACAATTAAGCAAGGCAGTCCCTGCCTGCAGGCTTAACAACTCAAAAGCCTGGATGCCCCAAAAGTGGGGAAATCAGGTGCCTTAGCAGGAGGGAGGGAAGGGCACTTCACCCCCTCTCACCTGCCTCAGGGCTTTTCTACACAAGGCGTTTATCCTGCAATTAGCATCCCCTAGTCATGGTTGCTTGTAAGTTCTTTAACCCTCCATTTCCCTTTGGTGTCCAGCCAGCACTTTGGGTAAGAACTTTAGAGCAGGGAACCAGCAATACCCAGAGCCCAGATTTCTGGAGCATAGGATGGTGGCTGTCCTATGAACAGTTTCTTCTATCTCAGCTGCAAACCGCTCCAGCTCTTTCAGGGTTATCCTTGACCTCTTGGTTGCTTCTCTGACTAATGTCCTTTTTTATTTAGTATCTGTTTTTAGACTGGATTATTGGTTTGCTGCTGGTTTACTATTTTGTTTACTGTTTTATTGGTTGTTGGTGGTGGTCATATCATGCTTATTTTCCTCCTGTTTCCTATTTATACAGTTATATTTATAATTCATTTTAATTTTACTATGTTTTATGGTGTTGTTTCTTACTGTTATTTATTTTTATCTGTATTTTAAATATATTTATATTGGACACTGTGAGCCTCCCAGAGAGCCTTTGGCTATGGGGTGGCATACAAATGGGATGGATGGATGGATGGATGGATGGATGGATGGATGGATGGATGGATGGATAGATAAGGGGATCATTTATTCTTGTGTCTTTACACCAGTGAGTTATCCCCCAGTGTCACCAAGAGGATACATTGTGGAAAAACAGGAAAAGAAACACACTTCGTGTAGTGCTGGGATCTCACTTCTGTGACCACACTGAAAGCTGATACAGTGGCTTAGCCGCTGATTCACAGCCTTGTGTGGGAAGTGCTCCATTTACCCTGCTGGAATAGTGGGCAGGGGTACCACCTGTGGGAGGAGGAGCCTTCGTGCGAAAGATGCTCAGCATGGCTGCTGGAGTGTCTCTTGCCTCAGTTTGGCTGAACACTTGATTTGGGCTCTTTGTTGAACTTACTACAACATTTGCAGTTTGGTGGCTAAGTGTACTGTCTTCTTCCTCTCCCTCTCCCCCTCCCCCTACCCCTTTCTAGAACAACCTGACAGAGCTGAAATCTTTTGGGTCACCCCCAGAGGCCGTGGTCAATGTGACGGCAGCTGTGATGATCCTCACTGCCCCAGGCGGCAAGATTCCAAAGGACCGAAGCTGGAAAGCAGCCAAAGGCATGATGGGCAAAGTGGACACCTTCCTGGATTCTCTGAAAAAATTTGACAAGGAGCACATTCCAGAGCCCTGCTTGAAGGCATTCAAGTAAGAGGCATCTGGGTTGCTGTTCTTGCACTTAAGGCAAGGAAAGCAATGTGTTTTGCACAAGGCTTGTCCTCTGCAAAGGACTGCGCCCATCATTTTGAGGCTAAAAGCAGGAGATGGACACCTAAATAAATAGAAAAGAATGTGACACTGCACCACTTAATACTGCAGCACTAGCCCAGCTCTGTGGTTCAGCCTGTTGAAGGGAAACAGCCCTTTCAAGCAGGAGCGGGCAACTTGTGGCCCTCCAGATATTTTGGTCTACAACTCCCATCATCCTTCACAATTGGCTATACTGGCTAGGCCTGATGGGAGTTCTAGGTCAAATTATGTAAGGCCACAAGTTGCCTAGTCCGAGCTTAAGATCAGGATCTCTCTCCTGGAACATTTTAAATCTTGATGGCAACAAGAGCTCTAGAGGGGAGAGGTTTAAAACTCTCCATCTAATAATATGCCCTGATGGCTATTAATATCAGGCCTTCTCTACCCCTCAGTTCAGCTGGGTTGGGAAGAGCACCTGAGTTTCGTTGCCATTGTGGCCTGCTGGACAGTGTTTTAAACCTCTCCTTTAGGATGATACAGTGGGGATTGTAGCCATTCTAGTTGGGGGCGGGGTATATTCAGAGATGAGAAAATGGTAGGTTGCCTCTATAAATGTTAAAGGGATGCCTGGTACCCATAGCTCAACACTGCTTTTCAACCTTCTTTCTACAGACCATTTCAACATGATCCAACCTTTGATCCAGATTTTATACAATCCAAGTCCACAGCTGCAGCTGGTCTGTGTTCTTGGTGCCTGAACATTGTTCGCTTCTATGAAGTTTATTGTGATGTTGCACCCAAGCGGCAAGCCTTGGAGGAGGCGAATGCTGAGCTGGCAGAAGCACAAGCGAAACTCACACTGATTAAAAACAAGATTGCAGTAAGTGCCCCCTGACCTCGCCTTGGTAGCATGCCAGCACCCCGGGCATCCTGTCCAAGCAATGCCACGGTTCCCATTGGCTGGCATTCACTGCTGGCACTGAGCAAGAGCACTAAGTAATTAGCCGTGACTTAGAGAGTGGAGCTGTTGGCATGCAATGGTAACTCCCCATGGCTATGCAAGTCAAGAGCTGGTGTACCACCTGTGAGCCAGGGCGAGGTGAGCATGCTGGATCAGACGGAGGCTCCAGCAGCCTTTTCTCCGCACTGGCCATGCAGCTGCTGCTGGGAAGCCAACAAGCGGGCACGAAGGGGGACGCCATTCCCTGCCGTATGGCCGCCAGGAGCAGGTTTTGTGCATGCAGCGTACATCCTCCAGGACTAGTAGCTACTGGTGGCTAGTAGGGGAATGCTTGTATTTTCAGGAGCTTTTTTGCCTAGACATGCATGGGGATGGCACCCTTAATTTAGCTTTTACTGTTTTCAGCAACCCTTATAATAATTTCTGGGCCCAGTTCAAAAAGTTGGTGCTGACCAGACCAGCCAAAGGAGTGCCTTCTCCCATAGGCCCCTGCCTGATTGCTGAAATGATCTCCAGAGGCTCTTCTCTGGGTGTCACCATCTGCCATGGTGCAACAGGTGGCTCCCAGAGAAAGAGAGAGCCTTCTCCACACTGCTCCCCACCTCTGGAAGGCCCTGCCCAGCGAGGTCTGCCTGGCATCTTCACCATACTTATTTCAAAGTGTATTTAAAAGCCTGCAAGGCCCTTTCTCTTCAGTTCTTTGCTCTGGTTAGTAAATTTACTGCCAATTCTTAATGTTTTTAATAGTTTTAATGTTCGTTGCATTTAATATTATTTTGGGGTTTTTCTGTCATTTTGTTGTTATGTTTTGGTGTACAATATAAAGTACTCTGAAGGCATTTGGCAGTTGGACAGCATATAAATGTAACAAATAAAACCTAACAAAATAAAATGGCCCAGACAGTAGCCCTGCTCATTAAGATGCCGACCCAAGCCATGTAGGGGCACATCACAGAAAAGCAACTTCCACATAGTGCCGAAGTCATAGATACTTGTGAGCACTTCCAGGTGGAGGACAAGATGCTATCAGTCAAGAGATGTGCAGCAATTCCATCTTTTGCCCCTTTGAATGGATTGTCTGCAGTAAGGAGAAACAGGAGAAAAGTAGGGGTAACCACAGGAGGGTTATGAGTTGGAGATGCTAGCATCTGGAATACCATAAGTTTCTGTGAATGTGGCAGTGTGATTGCATAACCGCATGATAAAAGCCTCATCTGTAGCAGCCTGTACATAGTCTTCGGATGCAACCAGGTAAGTACTGCTCCACTAAAATAAATAGGAGTTTTGTCCCTTGACTGCTGTAACAAGCCGACTTCAGTGTCCACACAAGTAACTGCAAGACTCTTGTTTTAAAGGACCTAAATGCCAACTTGGCCAATCTGACTGCTGAATTTGAAAAGGCCACAGCTGAGAAAATCAAGTGCCAGCAAGAAGCCGACGCAACTAACAGAGTCATATCACTGGCGAACAGGTACCGTGTCATCCAGTAGAGTCGAGCGAGTTTTTTGCTGGCCTTGACTGATGGCTGATGTGATTTACTATTTCACTGGGTCCCAAGTTATTACATGTGATGCAGGTCACCCATGACTGATATCCCACATTTTAAAAAACGAAATGCTGTCGTGATGTGGGGGCTGCCAATTTGTTCAGAACAGCACTGAGGAGAGGAGTGTTTAACCCTTACCCTGCTCTTCATTTTTCTGGCCAAATTAAACACGCACAAGCCTATTAGGAGGATAAAGGGGGGGCGGGGCAGGAGGAGAAGAACCTCCTTGAACTCCTTGGAGGAAAGACAAGATATAAATGTAGTAAATAAATTAACGTCACTCTACAGTGTTTAAAAAAAACTCAGTCACAAAAGGTTAGTTATGAATTTCCTATATGACAAGCCATGAAAAGTATTTCATACTTCTATGACTTCCAAAACTTCTAAAAAGAAAAAAACTAGGTTAAAATCCTAACTGAAGGCCAGTTCTTGCATCTTGCGGAATGACTAAACCCAGTGTATCCGGTCATGGCCAATGTGCCCAAAATACAATCAGTATAAAACAATGTCCCAAGAAGTTGGCAATGACTGTGTTATTGGTATGATCATCAGATTGTTCCCTGAAATACTTGGTGAAGCAGGCTGTGATGTGTTCCAAAATGTAGCCCTGGGTGGGGAATGTGGCCATTCCTGTCAAAATCCCAAGAATCCAAGCATGTGTAAACTTTTTTTTCCAGAAAGGTCAAAAGCAAAATGATAGCAGTGGGTCCTAAGATAATAGAAGCCAGACCACAAATATATTGCATGTTTGCTCTGTATATTTTAATTCTTCTGAGGGAAGAACTCTGTATTTTAAGTATCTGGAGCCTGCTGCACTAAGGCTTTTGATTCTCCCAACTTGCTGGAAGGCCCAGCTGGTAAGAAGAAACTTGTTATGCTTCCCAGCATGCTATGAACCATTTCCTGAAAATGAATTGCTGCATGGAGGAGAATGAGTCAAAGATGCGTAGTTTATTTAGAGCAGCTGCAATTAGAATTTGCAGGGAGGCTGAGAGTTCAAAGGCAAGCAGAGCTCTCTGCGTTTTGGTGGTTCCTCTGGAGACTGAGATCTGCACTGATTTGGTGGTTCCTCTGGAGACTGAGATCTGCAGTGCACATCACACATTCTGGTCGGTCAGCAGCTGCAGTGCTGGCTCCAGAGAGCTCTCGGTAAAGCACTCCCAGCAGGCTCCTCTGTCCATTTCTGCCTTCTTACCACCACTGCTGTCACAAATGGCTGCCATTCGCCTCATCGTCTTCCTCATCACGGCTACCAGTTGCTTGCTTGACGGGCAAGTCTTGAGAAGAGAAGACTGAGGGGAGATATAATAGTGCTGTTCAAGTTCCTGAAAGGTTGTCACAGAGGAGAGAGCCAGAATCTCCTCTTGATTATTGCAGAGTGCAGGGCATGCAATGAGAGAGTCCAGCAGAACATCAGGAATAACTTCCTGACTGTTTGAGCAATAGGACAGTGGAACCAATTACCTGGGAGTGGGGCATTCCAGACTGGGGCATTCAAGATGAAGCTGGGCAGCCATCTGTCAGGGATGCTTTAATCTGGAACCCTGCATTGGGCAGGGGGCTGGACCTGATGGCCTTATTGGCCCCTTCCAGCTCAATTGGTCTGTAAGTCCATGCTTGTATGAAATGGAGAAGTTACAAGAGCAGAACAGAGGAGCTGGGCCAAGGTGTTCTTGTCAGTGGATTCCCACTGGGGTGTGGGCTCTTGGCAGGTCCCTGTCCAGGCCCACTTTTGTCACCAGCCCTGCCCAATATCTCTGAAAATGGCATGCCAGGGATATGAATTATGTGTAGGCAGAGCTGCTTCTCTCTCTCTCTCTCTCTCTCAAATTATTTCTAGGCCATCTTTAAGGACAGAACCCTTCCAGAAGTAGCCTTTTATTTTTGCCTTTTTACACAGATACCCAATTAATCACATTACACAGTTGGGAAAAAGATGAATGAGAAAGGTAGCCCTGATTCCCGGTTACCTCTCGCCTTCCAGAAAAGTCCAGCAATTGAGAGTAATCCCCCCCGATGAAAAAGGCTGGGCTTCTCTGCCTGGGCTGTCCAAATAATCTCCAGCAGTCCTATAGGTCTGGCCAATTTGGCAGTCCCATTCATAGCAGCTTGATAGATTTGGAATCACAAGACTCATGGAAGGGTCACCACGACGTCATCCTGACCAGCCAGCTGGCCCCTTCCCTCTGCCCCTGGCATGAGCACAGTAGGAAACTCTCTCTCAGCATGAAGATGCTGAGCCCACCACCTCTGCCCTTCGTCTTAATTCACCCACTTCCGGGCACATCCAGGCCTTGCTTCACGACGCAGCTGACCAGAGTCCCAGGCTGTGCTCGCCAAAGGCCCGTCTCCTTTTGAAATGTTTCTTCAGGCTGGTTGGCGGATTAGCATCAGAAAACGTGCGCTGGGCCGAGTCAGTGGAAAATTTCCGTGAGCAGGAAAAGACGTTGTGTGGGGATGTGCTTCTGATTACTGCGTTTGTTTCCTACGTTGGCTACTTTACCAAAAAATACAGGACAGAACTGCTGGACAAGTTCTGGACCCCTTACCTTCATCAGCTAAAGGTAAATCTGCCCCAGAGGCAGCTGAGGATGAGGGATGTATTCCAGCAAGCATTTGCCATGAATGATGGTTCTGATTCTGGTGGCTCTACGATACATGTCAGTTTCTCTTGAGCTGCTCCCAATATCAAATATCTAACCCTAAAACCCCTTGTGACTGATGGTTTACTTTTTAAAAAAAGATCGTGTGACCTTTCAGTTTTGAAATTTTCAGGGTGCTTTACAACTGTTCAAAAGGCAGATGACAGCAGTAAAGGACAGCACAAAAAAGCAGCACAGTAAAAATTGCTTAAAAGTAGTGATTAAAATCTGGGAATCTTTGCCTGATGTGATATGAACTCTGGGGAGGATTGCTGGGGCCCACCATGCACAGGGCACTGCAACCAGGAAGGCCTTCTCTTCTGTCCCCCGTTCCCCCCCCCCCCCCGGTTCATCTTGGATGGCAGAGGCACCTTGAAGATGACCTCTGAAGATCTTTGGAGTATTAGTCTGGTTCTTGCTTTGCCATGAAACTTACTAGCTGACTTCAGGCCACTTACTGACTCTCAGCCTCAGCTACCTCACAGGGTTGTTGTGAGGATAAAATGGAGATGGGGAGGATCATGTATGCTGTCTGAGGTTCCTTGCTGAAGAAGGTAGGGCTGAATGTGTCAGATGAATGAGAACAACATTTCCTTGGCTCCACAGTCCCAAGCTAAGAAGAGCTTTAAAGGCAAGCTCCAGATGGATTGGAAAGAAGGGTTTTGGAGAATTCATAATGGAGGCATAGGAGTTCTGATTTCAGTCTATCCAGCCTCTGGTTTCTGCAGCCAACTGGCTATTTCTAAGTCATGAAGATTCTGTGGACTTGCAGACTTTTTTTTCACTGGGAGGAAAGTGGAGGTTTGCACTAATTTTCACTTTCACTAGTTGTCACTTTATTTATTTATTTTTCGATTTATATCCTGCCTTTTTCCTACAAAGGGCTCGAGGCAGCTTACATCTTCTCTTCCTCCATCTTATCCCCACAACAACCCTGTGAGGTAGGTTGGGCTGAGAGAGTGTGACTGGCCCAAAGTCACCCAGTTGGCTCCATGGCTAAGTGGGGACTAGAACCCAGATCGCCTGAGTCCCAGTCCCATGTTCTTGTCCACTGCACCACACTGGCTCTCCTGCACTAATGAGCATTAGATCAAAACATTCTGATCATTTTTGTCATTCTGACTGCACTTGCACTAATGAGCATTAGGTCAAAACATTCTGATTAGAAACAAATCCCATTCCATCCATGGGAGGACAGTGGAACAAAAAAAGCCTTATAATCCACAAGGCACAGAAGAGATGGCACAAATCTGGGACCTCCCTAACTGGAAACAGGCTGAAGCCTCTGGGGCTTTTCATGCAGAGCCAGTTCCAGTTAGTCATCTCGAAGCCACGTCTTGAATGAACTGTGGCCTCCTCAGGCCAGCAACACGTGCTTTGCATTGACTCAGAGCAGCTTAAGCCACCTGGTTCGTCTCAGCACAAGGCCCTTGAGCCACCCCGGATCTAACACAGCTTCTAACTGAGCAAGTATTTTGAAGGCTTGGCAGCACAGAGCCAAAAGCTGAGTCCCCCCCTTCAGGGCAACTGGGTCCTGCTCTGTTTTGTGAGAATTGCCAGCCCAGCCAGGCGATAATGCCACTTTACAACAAAACCTTTTATCAACTCCTGTCCCCATTCAGTTCATTGCACCTGACTTGTTTGTTCTCCATGAGGACTAGCCCTAGTCCTTTCTGCCCCAAACCTATTGACATGTCCTCAGCTTTGCCCATGGGCACCCCAGTTCTCATATCCTACCAATTCATTTTCAGAGAGATGTGGATCCTTTGCTTAAACAGGGAAAATTGCCTGCTATCAGTTTGCAGACTTAGCAGGGTGTGGGGTGGGAGGCTGAAAAATCCCTGTGGTTCTTTTTAGCTCTAACTTTGTGCATGTTTAGTCAGACGAAAACCCCAGGAGGCATTTTTCTTACACAAACATTTGACTCCTCAGCTATTGTTTTTCAGTGGTGTTAGGTTAGATTATTATTGTTGGATTTTAATGGTTTGAGTGCAGGGTATCATCCTTATGGTGTTTTTATTGGTAGCTTTATTAATATTGTAAAATGCTCCCTTGCTGTGCTGAAGGAAAGGCAAGGTATAAGAACTTTAAATAAAGAAACAAACCACAGTGTCTGTGCTATGTCCCACCAAGCCGCACAAGAACAACAGTCCAGTTTTAGCCACCCAGTGTGCATTCGTCGCCAGCGTTTCCCTGGACTGTACCCCAGGGTTTCTGGTGATAGCTACAAAGTGCTGTGTGAGACGAGCGCAGGCTGTGCCTTGCGTGTCCTGAACAAGGCTTGCTCTTTGGCAGGTGCCGATTCCCATCACTCCTGGGCTGGACCCGCTGAGCCTCCTCACGGACGATGCGGACATCGCCACTTGGAACAACCAGGGGCTGCCCAGCGACCGCATGTCCACAGAAAATGCAACCATCCTGTGCAATACCGAGCGCTGGCCACTCATCATAGACGCCCAGCTCCAAGGGATCAAGTGGATTAAAAACAAGCATGGAAATGAGCTGAAAGCCATCCGGCTTGGGCAGAAAAGGTGGAGCTATAGCCGGGCTATTCTGTTCTGGGACATCCCTCACACCCCTCGCCTGTATACTGGCACCAGGCCCCAGCCCAGACTAGCCAGCACTGATGCACACAGGCGAGCCTTCGAAACCTCGCGCAAAGCCCCTTGCTCCGCGAGCATCCGTGTCCTCAGCATTGGTGCAGACGGCCTGCGGTGTCCCTCGGGGTGGTGCAGGAAGTGTGTTGCATTCGAGAGCTTTCTGTGTGGCATTGCTTAAGGCCTCACTGCCTGCCTTTGCAGCTACCTAGACATCATTGAACGGGCCGTTTCTGAAGGAGACACGCTGCTCATCGAGAACATTGGCGAGACTGTGGAGCCTGTGCTGGATCCTCTGCTAGGTCGAAACACCATCAAAAAAGGAAAGTAAGTCGGCCGGTACCACCAGTTTGGAAGCTCCAACAGCCCCTGCTCTTCAAAGCTGGGATGATGGTGAGCCCGTAGCAGCCTTTCAGGCACACCTCTGCTGCCCGGTTGGTGTTCACTTCCGGATGAGGAGGCAGTGCTTGAGGGCCCTTTCCTCAAGTCCTTCCTGAGCCGTAGCACCACCTGAGTGTCTCGCATGCCCCCTTTCCACTTTGATCTGTTCTCCATGCTGGGAAGGAAAAGAAGCATTTCCTCTATATTTCTATTTCCTGCTATTTCCCACAGAAAATATTGTGCAAGAGTTCCCGGACTAGTAGTATTGACACACAGCCCTTCTCTGAAAACTTAATGTTGGATTGATTTACAATTCCAGATGAGCACATTTATGATTGCAATTGTTCTTTCAAACACTGAGGGCTGCTCTTCATGCCTCTTACTTTATTTTGCTTGGTTTTAATATTTTTATTGTTTTCCTAAAAGAAATAGAACATAGAAAAGAGAAAAATGTGAAAAAGAAATAAGAATGCCAAGGGATCTTACATAAACATAACATATCATTTCATAACCTAGCAAATCCTCCTCCCCCCGCAAAACACGATCTTGCTCTATGTCTCTTTGAAATTGGTTTTGCATGGCAAGCAGGCATCTGTCTATTCCTCTCTGGTACTTGTGCCCTTGCAAATGCTGAGACACAAGCTCAGCTTCTGCCACAAACCCTTCCCAGCTTTTCCATTAGTCTTATTCTGGTGGGTGCAGTTCTGGGAGGAAAGCTTCCCCCTGAAGCTCTCAGAGCCCAGCCAGGCTTTCATGGGAGAGGGTGGGCTTTCAGATGCCTGGGCCCCGAGCCATATGGACCTTCCTGGTTATAACCAGCACTTTGAATTATACCCAGAAGCAGACCGGTAGCCTGGGAGGCTCTTGTAATGAGAGGCCCCCGTGGGCCCTGCAGACAGTTTGGCTGCAGTGCTCTGGAGCAGCTGGCATGTTGGCAGCACATCGCCACTTCCTCCCTGTGCGCTGGCAAGCACTCATGGCAGCATGCCAGCTACTCCGGCACTAGTGCTGCAGCACCCTGGATCCTGCCCAATGCTTCTGCAGGTGAGGGTGAAGTACAAACAGGCAGCAACAAGCAACACTCCTCAAATGCTTCGCTTTTCTTCTTCCAAAGAAGAATGTCGAGCCTTGCTGTGCATTCCTTGACCTGCTCCATCTTTGCAACCACAAGTTTCCCACGGATTCTTTACGAAAGCGCTTCTGTGTATTGTCTGTCTCCTGTGGGGTCAGGCATCCATGCACTCCTGTAGGCAAATCAGACGCTGTTCTTGGACATGACTCTACTGTTTTTCATCTCAGGTGCTGGCCTCCAGCTTTCAGAGGTGTCTGTCTTACCTATTCACACTCCTTTTGCCAGTCTGTTGAAAGAGAGGAGTATGTATGGCTTGGCCCTTCTCTTATATTTACTGAACCGTCTTTTCCAGAAAAGCACAGAAATTTCCCATGGCCTAACATCAAACCCATGGTAAAGTAAAAGATGGTGAGAGTGATAATCAGCTCTGCTCACGACTAATAACAACGCTTATGCCACTCTTCCTAGACCTGTGGCACACCTGGACAGCACCAGGTTGGGGAGGGCTTGCCTAGGGTATAGACAGAGTGGTGGTTTTCTGTCCTGGTTTGCTCAAAAGCCTCATGCCTTCTCAAAACTCTAATCCACAGGTTCATTAAAATAGGAGATAAGGAGGTGGAGTACCACCCCAACTTCCGCCTCATTTTGCACACCAAGTACTTCAACCCCCACTACAAACCGGAGATGCAGGCCCAGTGCACCTTGATCAACTTTCTGGTCACCAGGGATGGGCTGGAGGACCAGCTTTTGGCTGCAGTGGTGGCCAAGGAGAGGCCTGACCTGGAGGAACTGAAGGTACTGTACTTGCTGGTGAGCAACGGGTGGCCTGCATTCTGAGAAGCAGCGGTCGCTTCTGAGTCATGGTAATGTCAGGGCAAGGCAAAAGGTCAAAGCAGTGAACCTCTGAATCAATTCTCCTTTGTCCTGAGGTTCCTCTGCCCTCATTTATATACTATACTATGTATGAGGAGGCACTCTAAGTCTGTTATAAAAGGAAAGATCTTGCTTATATAGTTAACACAAGAGATGGACCAGTGAAAGCATTTTAGATATCTGAGATGTTGATGGAGACAGTCAACCAATTCAGTTTCAAGGCATGATTCCCACCATTGCAATGGAGGAAGAGGCACTTTCAGCTCAGCGAAGGAGGTTTTTCCAAAATGGTTACTCCTGTCACTCATCTCAAAGCAGGGCCAGACACTTAAGCTTCCAGTGGATGAGGCCCTGCCCAATTTGAAGGCCTGCCTCCTTCACTGCAACAGGATGATAACTTTCTACTTTTGGAGTATTCTGACTTTCTCATTTCCCTAAATTAAATATGTAGGTAGGGATCCCTAAGACGTGCAGATGAATTCAGTGATGATCAGGGTGAAATCTTGTGGTTCCAGCCTGTGGGCATAGGATACCATAGAGCTTCGGCTCCATGGGCAGAGGGAAGTCTGTCGCAGAGGGCTTCCCTTGGCCCCCTGCGCTAAGCTCTGTCACTATGGCTGCTCCACCATCCCTGCTCCAGGGACAGTCAGAAGATCTTCCACAGATGTGCCCAGGCCAGTTTGGGGATGGCTTTGGGCTTGCTAGACACGGAGCCCCCTTGCTCCCTTGGCCTCTGGAATGGGAAATCTGTGCCCGCCTGCAGCTACTGCAGCTCTGCTGCTTTCCATTCAAACCAACTGCAGGGAAAATTCTTTCCCCGTGCCCCCGTTCCGCCCCAAGCAAGGCGAGCCTGAACAGCATTTCCTTTGCCACCAGCTACTCTCACTGCACGGGGTTGCCCTGCAGGTCTCTTAACTGTTGGAAGGGGCCATTCAGGCCATCATGTCCAGCCCCCTGTTCAGTGCAAGAACGAACTTCTTAGTTTTGCTTTGCTCTATTTGAGTGGCTTGGCTTCCTTAATAGAACATCTGTTTCAGAAGAAGAATGAATCGATTGTGTGCTTTTTCTCATTTGTTAAGTGAAAGAGGCTACTATTGCGGTTAACTGTTCAGGCTGAAAAAGCCAGCTTGTGACTGGAGCTACACTTTGTCCCCTCCTTTGAAGGAAACAGCTCTGCAGCTGGGCTGGGACAGCTTACACCGATGCTGCTCTTTCTCTCCTGGCCAGGTCGGCACCTGAGTGCTGGGTTCTTGTATATGGTGGCAATAGCATATAAGAAGGAGGGAGGGCCAGCAAGCCCTTTTTCTTCCTTGCGTTGGCAACCCTTTTTCAGTGCTTATCTGAGCCGTTAGCTTTTGTGGCAGGTTGAACATACACTACAAGAGGTTTGTAGTTACTTGCAAGAATCTCTCTTTAAGACCACATGCTGTGATTTCTGCATGACCCCGGCAGAAACCCCAGCAATTGCATTCAAATTATTGCCTTTAATGAGCTTGGGACAGCAGCGCTGTAAGCACCTTGTATTCTCAGTTCTTGAAAAATTGCGTTATCAGGAATATTGGGGTGACTTACTACAACAGGTGGCTTCAGAGAAGCTCCCTTTGTATGCTGAGGCCTCATCTGGGACCAGGAATTTATAGCCCCACTGCACAGACTGGTCACTCTTTTGAGAAAAGAGATTCCCCAGTAAGTACCAAATTCTGATTTCCTCCCCTTCTCTTTTATGCTGCAGGCCACTCTCACAAAGCAACAGAATGAATTCAAGATCATCCTGAAGGAGCTGGAGGACTCCTTACTGGCGAGGCTTTCTGCTGCATCAGGAAACTTCCTTGGGGACACCGCCTTGGTGGAAAATCTGGAGACAACCAAGCGCACGGCTAATGAGATAGAAGAAAAGGCACGTGAGATGCTCTCGTGGCCACAGCTATAGCACATGGAGGGCTTGCTGTGGTCTGTGGCAAGCATGCAGCTGACCCGCCATGCCAGCAGCAGAGTGAAGGGCTATACAGGTGCAGGGTGGTTTTCTAGAGCAGTCACACAGGGTGAATTGCAGATTGCATGTTTTTCAGGTGAAAGAAGCTAAAATCACTGAAGTGCAAATTAATGAAGCAAGAGAGAACTACAGGCCAGCTGCAGAAAGGTCATCCCTGTTGTATTTTATACTAAATGACCTCAACAAAATCAATCCCATCTATCAGTTCTCCCTGAAGGTAAAGAACAATGGCGCAAGCTGGTTGGGTGGAACACTGATTATGCTTGTGAAGAAGACTAACTTATCCCTCTATTGTCACACAATTCAAGTCATTTGTGGCCTTTTATCTTAACAGCCATTTTGTAGTGACTGTACATTATAGTGAAGGATAATTGAGGGCCAGGAAGAAGTAGCTTGCCCTGACCGCACATCAAAAGATCTGTTGGAAAGAGACTTGAACCCTGATGTTTCTGCCACTCTAGAACTCAGGTTCTGGACAATCTCACTTCTGGACAAACGCACCTTGCCTGTGGCTATGTCTGGGTTCACACAGCATGATACTCCCTGTGGCTTATAAACCAGGCATGGGATACTGTGCTGCCTGAGCTCAGCCAGTGTGGCCTGAATCCACCCTGGCTGGGTTCAGACAGCATGACAAACCACCATGGCTTATCAAGTCTGTGGACTCATTCTAGGAAACTCTCAGCACTGCAACTGCATTGAACTCCTTGGGCGTGTGCTTGCCTTCTTTTCTGAGCAGGCCTTCAACGTGGTCTTCGAGAAAGCGATTCAACGCACTGCGCCAGCCGATGATGTGAAGCACAGAGTGATCAACCTAACTGACGAGATCACGTATTCAGTCTACATGTACACGGCCCGGGGGCTTTTTGAGCGCGACAAGCTTATTTTTCTAGCCCAGGTTGCCTTTCAGGTGAGGTGATTTCATGCTGGCAGTGCCTAAAGAACACAGTAATTGACACATAATTGTGTGAACCATGGAACCCTTGTGAGGAGAACTTTTTATTATAGCTGAAGCATAATTACTCAACCACTCACTTGCAAAGGTGCTTAGGTGGCGGTGCAAACAAAATGGGACCCCTGCAAAACAAGCTGCGGGGCACCTTCCCGGCAAAAGCACGTGCAGGCAAAATCTGAAGGAGCAGCAAGAGTGCTGCTGGGCTTGCAAGCGTGGAAGAGTAATGCAGAGGAGAGCATGCATGCAGAATACAACCAACAGTCAGGACAATCCAGTTAAGTCAAGTCAGAACTTGCAGGGCAGTCCATTAGCATCAAGGCCACCTCCCTGGCAGAAGGCCCAATTGAATGCGTCTCTCATCCTCTACCTTTGCAACTGCTGCTGACGCTGAATGCACAGAGGCCACTGAGGTGTGGGATCCCATTGGAGTGAGTGCTCTGCTTGGCCCCACAAGATCCCAAAGCCAGCCTTTCCCTGGATAGATGCTATGCATCATATCACATGGCGTTCCCCCAGCAGCAGCGTGAATACAGGTTACGTCTCCCATGCATACCCTACAGATCTGTTCTGGGGGACTTGAGGATCCTCCAGAAATGTGAGGTGTGTGCAGGAAGCTGCTGCATGGAAGGGGAGGGGAGGTGCCTGTGACACAAATGGAAGTCATTCTCATAATGCTGGATTTGGTCCGGTGCCCTTCCTTGTGGGCTCCCCTGCTCTGTTGTTAATGGACTCAGTGCCATAAACAAGATTAGTACCGAATTCTTAGCAGCTGTTCCACTTTTTATTTCCAAAAACAGTGGAATAAACAGTCCTAATGTTCCTGATTTTATACCTTCTCTAGGTTTTGTTGATGAAAAAAGAAGTAAATCCAGTGGAACTGGACTTTCTCCTGCGTTTTCCCTTTAAAGCTGGGATGACATCTCCAGTAGATTTCTTATTAAGTCAAGGATGGGGTGGAATTAAGGTTTGTTTGGAAACACTATTTCTTGCCTAATGCCTTTTAGCTGCTCCACGTAACCTGCTACAAAACGGTAGGAACATGATCAGGGAAGCTTGCCAGCATTCGCACCATTCTGCACTGATTGAGCTTGGTCATGGAAAAAATGGCTCTTTTTGTGGGGAACGTTGCACCCCATGAAGCCCCCCCTTAACACAGATGCCAGCAGCATTTCTCCCATCACTCCAAGCATCGGTGACACCTTCCCACTGGCATTGGGCACCCCTGCCAACCCAGCTTGAAACCCGCATGATTTCTAAGGGAGGCTGGGACAGAATCCAGTTCTTGGTGCAGAGGCAGCTTCGCCACTTGGGCTTCTCTGCTCTTCCTCTGTTCTTCAGCAGGCTTTGCTCTTTCACCAGGTGGCAGGAATGTGTGTGTGGGGGGGGGGGGTGGACCAAGCTCATACTGATCTGCAAAAGGCAGGGCGAGGAGCTCCGTCCAGGGCAAAGGTGATGGAGCAATGAAGCATGTCATGTGTTTGCAAAGGACAAAGGTGCTGCAGAGGTGACTTAACCTTGCAGCTTGGATAAAGGGATTATCCAAAGGCTATTTTACAAAGTCCTTGCAAAACGGAAAGCATTGCCGGCCGTTGATTTATTATCATATATGTATAAGGGAACAGGGTCTGAATGAACCCTGATATTAAAATTGCACCAGCAAGACCTGTTCAACCATATCTGAGCAGTCCTGTAAGCAGAAATTGTACTGGGGTAACACCTTCCCTGAGTCATCACCACGGCTACCTCAAATAGAAAGACTCGCTTTGTGTCTGGGACGAGTTACCCCAGGTGGTTTTTCATCTGGAGGGAGCACACTGCTTAGGGCAGCCAGCCAGTCTTTGGGAGCACTGTTTCCTGGAGCTGCAGCGGCCATGGGCTGGCTCATATGGCACAACAGCCCATGGGTGTCACAGTAAGGCTCACCCAGCCCCATTTTGAAAAAGATAGTCCCACTGCTCAGTAAGTGAAGCTGTTCACCATCCAGTGGGCGAGCGCTCCTTGCCTTTCAGCCTTCCCCAATCTTTAGGGGGGCTGTTTCAGACTGTCCCTTGAAGAGTGCCGACCGTAAGGAGATCGTCTTCGATGCTAGTGGCTGAAAGAGCACGAACCGTTTCGTGCCAGGGAGTCATCTCGGTCCCTCCGGGGGCTCCTCTAATCGCACCTTTGGCATTGCATCTCCCACTTGGCCGTCCTCTGACAGTGAGTGAGGATGTGCAGCAGCCCCTGGTTTTCATTTGGCCCACCTTTGGGCAAGGTAGGCAGCATGCTCAGTGGTCCAGGAGATTCTTAGGAGGGCAGCAAGGAAGCAGGCGGCAGGGGTTGGAGTCTGGGGTGGGAGGGGATTGCGTCACTCAACATGGAGCTGTGCTCTTGAGAGCAGGAGGTGGCGTTGCCTGAACCTGTGAGCTTAGCTGGAGGCAGGTGGGCAAGGGGTATTCAGCACTGTATCCCCTGATACTCTAGGTACTCTCAGAGATGGATGAGTTCAAAAACTTGGACAGTGATATTGAAGGCTCTGCTAAACGGTGGAAGAAGTTTGTGGAGTCTGAAACACCTGAGAAGGAAGTATTCCCCAAAGAATGGAAGAACAAGACAGCCCTGCAAAAGCTGTGCATGATGCGATGCATGAGGCCCGATCGCATGAGTTATGCAGTCAAGTATGTGTTGTGCTTTTCCTGCCTCTCGAAAACAAGGAAAGGATTCAGATACTCGGAGGACCAAGATAATTTCGCCACAGAGCACAAGATACAAGTGTGGGGGACTCTAAAAACTGAAAATTGTGCTAATGACTGGGCAGCTTGGCTGTTGCCCATCTATTTGATCCTTAGCTTACCATGGCCCAGTAAGCTGAGTTGGGAAAGTGCGAGGAAGGCCAACTAAACGGTCAGGGGGCTGGGAGGACTCCTCTGTGAGCAATGGTTGCAACAACGGGGACGGATAGCCTAGAAGAAAGGCCAGTGAAAGGAGGCATGACCGGCGTGCCTCCCCTAATGTGGAGTACGTGGGGAGGCAGTCATTTTTCTCCCTCCCCCATAAGGCAAGAACTCAGGGTCGCCTCCTGAAGCGGATTAGTGAAAAATTCAGGACAGGTAAAGAGAGGCACTTATTCACACAGCACACGCATCAGCTGTGGAATCACCAAAAGGGTGCTGGCCACCAGTTTAGATGGCTTTGCAAGGGACTGGACGAATCCATAGAGGAACCGTGGCCATCCAGCCTCACGGGCTCCATGCGGCTCCACGCCAGAGGCAGCCTGCCTGCACACACCGCTGCTGCGGGGCTGGGGCAGGCAGAGCTCCGGCACCCCTCCTGCTCGAGCAGTGCTGTGAGCAACTGGCGCGCCACCGTGTGAGCAGCGCGCTGGACTGGATGGACCCTCGCTCCGACGAGCGGGGCTTTGCTCTGAGAGATCTGCTGCTTCTGCATCCAGCAATGAATGCAGGCCCAGCGGACTCGAGTCAGCTCTCCCAGGGAGCGAACGCTTCCCATAGGTGTGCCTGCCAGTGACAGGCCCAGGAAGCAAGAATTGCCAGATTGCAACATATTGAAGGGCTGTTGGGGGAGGCTTCCAATAGAAACAGAAGCTTTCACGTTTTACCAGGTTTTTCAGCAGACCCTCCGTTCATGTTAACACAATCTTTGTTGCTCGAAACACCCTGAGAGGAGGCTTCCTTTGACTATTGTGAGGAGTGATCCCACTGCATGAGAATAACCAAGAAACAACAGGATCATCTTTCTGAGCTAATCACTGGTTGCTGCAGCTTTGTAGCACCAATTTGGCTGCTGCTCGCCCTGCAGGGGAGTGAAGGGTCTGTTGCTGTATGAACAAGGGAACGCTAGCTAAGAGCGCCTTTCCCTTCGAGAATCTATGCCAGATCACATGTCTGGCAAGCTGATGCGGGGATGTGCGCTAGTGCAGCCACTGGAGTCCGGTGGGCCTCAACCATCCTCTACCAGTCCTCATCAGCTCACACCCTGGGATGTGCCCGTCCCGAGCATTTACGTTTCGGCTCTAGCAGTGCCGTGCCATCCTAGCTGGGTCTGCTCAGAAATAAACATCTGTTGAATCTGTTGCTTCATTCATGGCCATGCAGGTTAGTTCTCTGGATTTCCTTTGTCAACATGAGCTGCCTGTAAACTCTGATTTTCCTTTCTTCATCCCTCCCTCACCGCAAATGCTCTTCTTAGGAACTTTGTGGAAGAAAAGATGGGGAGTAAATTTGTGGAAGGCCGAAGTGTTGAATTTTCCAAGTCATATGAAGAAAGCAGCCAGTCTACCCCAATATTCTTCATTCTTTCTCCCGGGGTTGATCCACTGAAGGATGTTGAAGCCCTCGGTATGCCAGTAGCCTGAGTAATGGTGCCCCAGTGCAGTGGAAATGTGAGCAACAGCCAGCAATGAAAGATCGCCACTCTTTCCCTTGTATCCTTTTCCTAGGTCAGAAGCTTGGCTTCACCATCGACAATGGGAAAATCCACAACGTGTCCCTAGGACAAGGCCAAGAGGCTGTGGCAGAGCACGCTCTGGATGTTGCTGCAGTGCAGGGCCACTGGGTTATCCTTCAGGTACGCAAAGGCCCGCAGGGATCCTGCTTATGGCTTGCGGCTTCGTATGCTCTCCTGGCTCTGCGCCTCTCTCGCACTCACGGCTTAAATAGTTTGTAGCGACCTGTCAGGAATGCCAGGACTTTGCAAATGAAACCAAAAATGACCCGGGGTGATCATTTGCACAAGCACGTGCTGCATGGCAGCCGCCTAGAAAGTTAACCAGGAACAGGCAATGGAGCACCTGCCGGCCCGCTTAGTGTTTGCAGTGATGCTGAGGACCAAAGGCCCCTTTGCAGCACCCAGGGTTTCGGGGAACCCTGTAATCCCCACATGCGGGGATCCCCCCTCCTTCCCTCCCTCCGGTGCTGCAAAGGTGCTTCTCCTGGCACAAGGCGGCCCTCCTTCATCGCAGGCACACGCTCGCCCTCCCATGCTCACAGAGCTATGCAGGGGTGATATCATCATGTTACAGACCAGGCCCCATCAGCCTCTGGGCAAAGCAAGATACGTATAAGTGAGAAATATCTCGCACCAAGAAATCCCAGGCATGGAGCGAGGGAAAGGGTTAGAACTCGGTTACAGCCCAGATGATTTGTCGGGCCAGCCTGCAGGCCCCCGGCTCCTCACTCAAGCAGGTCGCTGCTGCAAGTGCAGGGCCCCACCTGCGTGCGTGCGTGCGTGCGTGCACACGTGTGCCAGGGAAAGCACAGATAGCCTACAAGCAGGGGCGGGGCATGCTGAGCGCAGGCAGCTTTAAACTGATGATCAGCAGAGAACACATTGTTGTACTAGAATGTTTTTCCCCAGTAAGAAGAACAGTTAAAGCTCCAGGTTGTTACTTGTTCTAACATGAAATGCACGATTCCCGTCAGTGCTCTCTTTCATAGCTAGGATCCTGTCTATGTATGAGGCACTGATTGTGAGCTCCGGAGTCCTCCCTCAGGGTAGCTTGCAGCTGGTGCTTTGTGTCCTCCTCCTCCTGGAGTGGCCTGTCCTGTTTTTTGCAGTTATTTTCAGTCTTTTTTCCCTAAGGAGGACAGGCTAGATGATGGTGTGGTGGTGGTGGTGATGACATTGCGTTTGTATTCGGCCTTTTTTCCTTGGGTGTGCACCCCGAGGTGGCTCCCAAGCTCCATGAGAGCCTTCTGGGTTTGACTGAGGGCGAGTGACCAGCCCAGAGGTACCCAGTGAGCTTCATGGCTGACTGGGGACTCAAACCCGGATCCCCTGAATCGCAGCCCGGCACCCTTGCTCCTATGCCAGGTTGGCTCATTGTGAATACATCTGTGCATGGTGCTATGAACCCCTGCCGTATTTGTACAGTTCTCCTGTGCCTCAGCCCCATCTAGTGGGACATTCAGAAAGGCAAAGGAAAAAAAGCACGTGTAAAGGAGCCAAAATTAATCCCAGAAAGACTCCAGGAGCAGAAGCCTCAGTGAAGGGGCAGGACAGAATCCCTTGGTGGTATAGAAAAGGCAGCTTAAAGTCGCTTTCTGTCCTCATTGTAGGACCTCATGTTTGCAGTTAGAGCAATGCCTTGGAGCGAGGGAGGAGAAGTTAAGCCTGAGTAGCAGCAAATAAAGTGTGCCTTCTGCATCCTGCAGAATATCCACCTGGTTGCCAAGTGGCTGAGCACACTGGACAAGAAGGTCGAACGGTACAGCACCGGGAGCCACAACGATTACCGAGTCTTCATGAGCGCGGAGCCTGCCCCCAGCCCAGACTCCCACATCATCCCTCAGGGCCTCCTGGAAAACGCCATTAAGATCACCAACGAGCCTCCGACGGGCATGCACGCCAACTTGCACAAGGCCCTGGACCTCTTCACACAGGCAAGGCGGCGGCTCTGCCGCTCCGTCTGTTATGACTCTGTCTCCGCAGTTGCAGCCACTTGCTTTGCGCTGCAGCTGTGGGAGCTTTTCCTCGTTGCTTGGCCTTCAGTGCCGTGGCTGTAAACATGATTGCGCGCCCATCTCTTCCCTAGATAAGTCTAACATGCATTTGTGCCTGTAATTCATCATTCACCTTGGTATTACTGTGTCTTGTTTTGCCTGGGGACATTTCTTGACATGTATGAATTGTCTGTTGGATGGCATGAGAGAGTACAGAAAACAAAAGTCTAGGCGATGGTTGTGACGGGCTTAAAAGGCGGGCTTGGCTCAAGCTTGGACCTCAGATTAGCTCTTTCCATAACTTTGTATATTAGGCCCTGTACTTATCCAAGCAAAATATATTAAGCCACTTAAAAACATACACGTGTGTCTGTGTAGGAGTTTGGACACCTTTGTACTCAGCTATTGCACGGATGTTTGAACAAGGGTTGTGATGGTGGCAGAAGAACTGGGGAGAAGAGGATAAGGGCAGTTTGGAAAGTCGCTGGTAGTGTTCAACCTCAGATAGCAGCCCTGCAGCGACAATTTGTCCCTCTGTTCCTCATCTGGCTCATTCACACTGCACACAATGTGTTCCTCAGCCCATTGTCACTCTCCCCAAAACATGTTTCTGGGTTTTTTCCCAGTTCTGTGCAGTGTGGTCTAATCTAGCAGTATTATAACTGTTACCAGTAAGAGTAGCTTAAAGGCTGCAGAATCTGTTTTGCATCATTTATTCCAAGTTTTGTTCCCCACCACCAACTTCCTTCCGTCTTCCCTTTCCCTCCTTTTTCTTGCGAATTTCAGTGGGATTTGTGGGCAGCTCTGGTGGGCTCCATGCAGGTACCGGTCTTTTTTAAAAAGCACCCAGCAACAGTGCATGACCTCCCACTTCTCTCCGGAAAGCACACGTGACCTTTCACAGTAGCCCTGCTTCTCCCACCATCAGAACAGAGCTCATGGCATGTGGCACCACATCACATTAGATTCCATGTTGTCTTGAGTCACGTGATGCCCACCGAGCAGCAGTAAGGCTGAAAAGAAATGCCGCCCCTAGCGGTGCCTTACCAGCAAAGGCCACCGCAGCGCAGAGGCTGGGTATTTAAAAGCACCCACCCCTGTGGAGATTATATTGTTCTTCCATTCCTCTGAACAAAGTCGGAGGATCAGCAGTCTGCAAAAAGACTGAGAAGAGACTGGGGAAATGGCAGTGGATGGGTGACGCATTGTGTGGATGCTTTGGAAAAAGTGAGCGGATGGCCACAGAGATGCGCAGTGAGGGTCCAGTCCTATGCATGTGCGACAAGAAATGGGGGATGTTAGAAGCTGTACGGCTTTTGCTGTCTTGTAATACAAAGTGCCTCAGGGCTCAACCCAGCGCCCTCCCTTCTGGTTGCCAACACTTCCCTGAACTGGGAGGCTTGTGTGCGTGAGGTGCAGCAGCAGAGATCTTCAGCCATGCAGATTAAATTCTACAAAGCGGGAAGGAAGGAGGATGCTGGAGATGGCGAGGGCCCTTGGCACCAGCCTCCTCCCTGCAGCACCCCTCTTTCCCTGTTCTCTGAGCTGATGTGCACCATTGGAGGGGCAACCGGTGCAGTTGCTTCCACACCGGCTGCAGGGAGTGGGGCAGGGAAGGGAAGGTTTTGAGAATTCCAGCTCTGAAGTCAGAGGAGCCTGGACTGGCGCTCCAGATAATCCGACGAGCCCCCACACAATGCAGGAGGCTTTAGGAGTGCACCATTAGTAACTTAATGCAGGCTAAAACTTGCTTCTAGGCCTCTACCTGTTCCCACAGAAATAAATATCCCACTACTTACCTGTTGATATTCTGCCTTGTGTAAAAGCACTGCCTGATTATTTTTCTGCTTCACCTTTAGGACACCTTGGAAATGTGCACAAAAGAAATTGAATTCAAGTGTATTCTCTTTGCCCTCTGCTACTTCCATGCAGTGGTGGCAGAACGGCGGAAGTTTGGAGCTCAGGGGTGGAATAGGTCTTACCCATTTAACAATGGGGACCTCACCATTTCCATCAATGTGCTGTATAATTACCTGGAAGCTAATGTGAAGGTAAATATTTTAATGATGCATAATTCCCTTGGCAAAGCAACTGAAGCAGGAATTGCTTGTCTGTTTCCTGATGGTTTGATCACTAAAGCCTTTGCAGATGGGAATCAATTATTCCAGATTTCATGCTTTAATGAGACCAAAAGTGCATTGCATGGTACTGGGGAAAGAGAAATGTTTAAAAAAGTTGGTTAAGTTTGTGAAGATCACATTCCTGCTTTCTCGAGATCTGTACTCATGGAGACATTCAAAACAGGCTGCTTATGTCAACTTCAGATTCCTCCCGGAAGAGCAAGACCTTCTGCAACTGGGAAGTTAGTTTTCCCCGCTGTAAGGTTATAGCTGCATTCAAGCAAAGTACTTTGTAAATGGAATGAAAATAATGTTACTAGCCCACTCAAAATCGTAAAGTGTTCCTCTCAAATTCCAAGGTATTTTCTTACTTTCAGAGGACGGGATTAGAGGAGTTTCAAAAACATGGTAATGCACTCTCACAAGCTGAGTATGGGTTGTTGTTGATGGAATATAGGTTATTGTGTTGCTTGAACACACCTATACCTGCTGAGCACAAACAACCCATGAAGAGAACCCATGGTTTATTGTTGGGTTGGGAACTATGGGTTGCTCACCATGGGTTATTTCAGCTAGGTTCAGACAACACGATAATTTGCAGTGTTCAACTCTTGAGTGCATGTTATCATGTTCTCTGGACCCAGTCACTATTTGTGTTTCCACTGGTTGATCCTTGTTAGCTACATTTCAGTCAGCAAAATTGCATTTGCTGAAAATTGTATTACTTTGTCAAGGATTTTCTCATGAGACTAAATGTTCCCTTTCATAAAATCATGCTGAGTTTTTTTTCTTTCTGAGTTACCATAATCCTACAATAAACAGCTGGATTGATTGATTGATTGATTGATTGATTATTTGCATTCATATGCCAGCCTAGTAGCCCAATTCCTTTGTAACACAGTAAGGGGACCAGAGTCACCTTTATCTCCTCTTGGTGTTGTTCCCAAAGATGGTATTTCATCCTGCTAGGTTCCCTGGGATGACTTGCGGTACCTCTTTGGTGAGATTATGTATGGGGGACACATCACCGACGACTGGGACCGCAGGCTATGCCGGACGTACCTGGGTGAATATATCCGTATGGAGATGCTAGAAGGAGAAATGCTCCTGGCACCAGGTTTCCTTATACCACCCAACTCCGATTACAAGGTAAGGAGGCATTTGCGCAGCCCCAGCAGCCGGGTCTTCTGAGGGTTCGGGAAGGGAGGTGAAGGATTGCCATATAAGAGGCCACGGCAAGATGTGGCTCAGGGAGGCAGCCTGGGACAGCCACTCCGAGCAGAGCAAAGCCATGCTGGGAAGCAAGCACGCCAAAGCAGGGGCATGGCACCTGTTGCAGCTTGCTGGAAGACAGTGTGGACTGGCTGGCTGAGCTGCATGGCTGGAGCCACTGAGGAGCAGCAGCTGCCCTCTCCTAAGATGCCACATAATATGTTTTTTTCTAGGGCTATCACGAATATATCGATGAAAACCTTCCACCTGAAAGTCCCTACCTGTATGGGCTTCATCCTAATGCAGAGATTGGTTTCCTCACTGTCACCTCAGAAAAACTTTTCCGCACTGTGCTGGAAATGCAACCCAAAGAATCAGATTCTGGAGGAGGAACTGGAGTGTCCCGAGAGGAAAAGGTAGCGACAAAATGGCAACCCGCTTGCTTCAGCAGTGGATGGCAGGGACCAGTTGCTGTTCTAACTGCAGTGTTGTTTGGTGGTTCCTGATTAGCAGCAGCGTCTTGTTCCCCCACGGCCAAACGTTTCTGTGTGTGCTGGGCCCCAGAAATGTGGAACGCGCTGCTCTGAAATCAGTCCCTCAGACAGGACACTCACCGTGCTTGTGATTTCCCTGTGGCGCAGATGTTCTCCATGTGTGTCTCAGAGTGAAACATTCTTTGGGCCTTCTGTGCAATAGGTAAAGGCTGTGCTAGATGAGATCATGGACAGGCTTCCTGAACCATTTAATATGACAGAAATCATGGCTAAGGCTGCTGAGAAAACTCCCTATGTGGTAGTTGCCATCCAGGAATGTGAAAGAATGAACATCCTAACCAGTGAAATTCGACGTTCTCTCAAAGAATTAAACTTGGGGTTGAAGGTAGGGGCATAATTTAAGGTATTTGTAATGCTGTACTAGAACATTTTAAAATTATTTTCAATTAGCATGCTGAAACCATGCTGGATTGACACAGGAAAAACAAGTTGGAGATGCACTCTAAGTATTAAGAAACACCCAATTGTTCAAGTCTTCAATTTCCATCTTTCCTGGCCTTTCTGGCAGCTAAGTCTTCTCTGAGGAGCACTTTAAATGGGCAGACAAGGGTGCCTGTTTTATAGTCAAGATAGTGTGGATTCAGCAGAGCTTGTGGATACAAAGACAGGAACACTGAAGCAGATGGCTCTGAGGTGCTCGGCATGATACCCTTTACATTTCCTGGCAGGTAGTTGACTTTATTGCAGAGAGAATCCAGAGAATCCACTGCCTCATGATAATCTGTCAATCAATGCATGCTTCAATCAAATTTAACCTTAGCACCAATTCCCACAGCTCTGTGAGGGGAAGGGGCAGGAGAAACATAGCCTTGCTCCAAGCTTTGCTATCTTGCAGTTTCCTTCCTGTCTGCTAAACAAACGCACCCCTAGAATTGTGTAGTCTGGCTGAGGAGAGAAGAATGCTGTCACTGAAGGACAAGTAGCAACTGATTAGATCAGTGAAATAGAGTAATACAGAAACCCCACACAGTGGCCCAAGGCCACATAAAGCAACTCACAGAAATTGGACACATGCATCCATGCAGAAAGATGCTTATCCAACAGAGATTTTTTTAAAAGATGTTAAAGATCAGAAGAGTGTATGCTTTTAAGTACATGTGCACGCATGAGTGTGTGTATGCTGTTGCTAGGAATTTGTATCATAATTACACAATCACCTAGTATTAGGCATTGACAGTTATAGAGCATTAGCTGGAAGGCTCTGTAAATCTAGTTTTCTTAGCATTGCCACAACATTAACATTACTTAGAACAAAAATGCCTGAAAACTCCACCACAGGCAAGGAAAGACAGTACACTTTATTGCATAGGGTATAATCTTGAAAGGACTCTAATTATTGTCAAGGTATTCAGAATCTTAGCTCAGGATACCATTTTCATAGAATTACACTATCATTCAAATAGATGGTACAGGCATAAAAAGTTAAGATGATGATGGAAGAAACCAATTAAAAACTTTGTGAGTTTTTTTCCCAAAGGGAGAACTGACTATCACGACAGACATGGAAGACCTCTCAAATGCTCTCTATTATGATAATGTGGCTGACTCCTGGACAAACCGTGCCTATCCATCTTTGCTCGGCTTAGCAGCATGGTATGCTGATCTACTGCTCCGGATCAGGGTGAGGGAGACGTTGCCTTAAGAACTGTGTAACTTGGCTAAAGCTCTAGTGCAAGTTTTCAGTTTACCAAGGAATTAGGTTATCAGGCTTTACAGAAAATTGCATACTCTCATCACTGGATGTCAATTTTACGCTAATATAATGATTTACAGCTGTCCTTGCATGTGGAGTTAGGCATGTAGTATGTACAGCAAAGGCCTAAACATATGCACGTGATTACCAAAGTAAAGCCAGTTCAAGCTTTGCAAATGCATATTACATCCTGCTAGTTTGAGACTTCCTATTCAAGTAAGAACTGTCTAGGTTTTACCTAATCGGAATTTGCCAGTGCAAACTGTGGGCCCCATCAGGAACATACCTCAAACTGCAGCTTAATGTATACCTTCCTCCCCAGCATCCATTTCTGTAATCTATCATTTGTATTTTCAGGAACTGGAGGCCTGGACGACAGATTTTGCCCTCCCTACAACTGTGTGGCTAGCAGGTTTCTTTAACCCTCAGTCTTTCCTCACAGCCATTATGCAGTCCATGGCTAGGAAAAATGAGTGGCCTCTTGACAGAATGTGCCTTTCAGTGGAAGTTACCAAGAAGAACCGGGAAGATATGACAGCGCCACCTCGAGAGGGCTCCTACGTGCATGGGCTTTTCATGGAAGGTAAAGGCAATCTGGCAGATTGCTACTGTAGGTGAAGATTAGGCAACCTGCAGCTCTTGGCTTAGATTCACACATTCTTTGGACTAACTTCAAAAGCCTTCTCTGCAAGCACATTTCAGAACTCTGACAGTAGTGATCTGCTCCTTCCCAGCTCCGCCCACCAATTTAGCCTCTGACATAATGTAAAGTTTGTCAGAGGCTTCTACAGAATTCTTATTTAGCAGAAGTCCAGGCAGTTTCTACTTCATCCTGTTCTGTGGAACAACTTTTCCCCCTTTCTTCAACTTTCTATTTCACTCCTGTTTGATTTCTTTGACAGTAGAGGTGAGGCAAGGTACTTCTAATTTTGTCTGAGAGCATTTTATGCTACTGGTGCTTCAGTTGCCAGATGCATCAGGAAAGGTACAAGGATACAGGATTCCTTATCAGAATTCCTCCAGGTGCTCCTGGATGAGACAGTCAGGGTTCAGGTCAGGTTTTTGCATGGGAATAGCTTTGGTCTCATATGACCTGGAGAGAGACAAGGGAGTTGGACTCAATATTCTCAGTGATTTTTCATAGAGTTGATCATGGAATCCTTCTGGGGCAACTGTATGAGCTGGCAGGGGGCGGGGGAGTGGGGACCAGGGGCAGGTAGTACAGTGGTAGTAGTAGTTCTGCTTCTATTTGACTAGCTAGCTCCAGAAAGTGGTACTTGGGGGATTATTGTTTAGCCCTGTGGATTCTCGAGCATGGCATTCTTCAGGGGTCAGATTTGTCCCCCTGCTGTTCAATGGCCCCAAGAAACCACTGAGCAGGATCAGCAGGTTTGGAGTGCTTTGCCTTCACGGTGATGGCATGAGGCGCTGCTTTTAATTTGCATCAGGTGAGGCTGTGGATGTGCTAAACCAGTGCCTGACTGCAACAGTGGACTGGATGGGGGCTAACAAACTGAAGCTCGGTCCAGACAAGATTGAGATGCTGTTAATGAGTAGTTTGTCCAGATGGAAGGTGTTTAAACTCTTCTGAGTGGGGCTGCACTCCCTTTGAAGGAAAAGGCCCACAGCTTTGTGGGGGGGGGGGGTCCTCCTGGAGCCATCTTTGTCATTTGAAGCTTCATGGGGAGCTTTCTGTTAGTTTTGGCTAGATCTCTACTTAAGATGTAAGTATTGCTTCGGTAGGAATAAATTCCATGCAAACAAATAGAGCTTCACTGGCCAGAAATTAGGCAAGATTATTTTCTTTTCAGAGTACTTCCAAGACTTCAATCTAGAGCTGTATTATAACACATATATTATGCTGCAAAAGGAACCAGACAAGTATTTAGATAGCTGCCTTTTTAATTTCACATGTCTTCAGAATGTCAGCAGGGGGCAGCACATGCCCATTATATTATCAATCACATTGAATGGACATTTTAAAAGAAGAAGAACCGAAGTACCCACTCAATTGCCCTTGTTACGTATTTTGCTTCTAGGCTGGAAAAGTAATCTTTTCTCTAACAGCTATTAGGTTAAAGGGGGCTTTACTGCTCAACTGAGTATAGATGTGGGCTTTATGTTGACTCCAAGGAGCTCATGAAAGGAAGAACGCACTGCTTCCTATAACACACCTACAGGCACAGCACAAAATATGAACCCTGGTTTTTTAATAATTTTCATAACCTTGCCAATGCTTAAGTAAATTACTGGGATAGCTCCAAAGCCCCATCCAAGCATGCACATTTAGCCTTTAGCCATGCTACTGAAAACAGAAGGCTGGTGGTACTGCTGGGTTCCCTGTCCTTAGCACTTGTTGCAAACCAAGCGGCCTCCCCTGCGAAGCATCCAGTCTTGAGAGTTTGGTCCTGTCTTGCTGCAGGTGCCCGCTGGGATGTTCAGACTGGTGTTATCAGTGACGCACGCCTGAAGGAGCTGACCCCTCCCATGCCGGTTATCTTCATCAGGGCCATTCCTGTGGATCGCATGGATACCAAGAACATGTATGAGTGTCCAGTGTATAAGACACGTATGCGAGGCCCCACCTATGTCTGGACATTCAACCTGAAGACAAAAGAGAAGCCAGCCAAGTGGATTCTTGCAGGAGTAGCTCTGCTCTTGCAAGTTTAAAAGCCAGAGTTGACACCCAAGCCCTGACCACCCCATCATGTCACCACCACCCCCTTTTCAGAAATCTAGAGTTGTTTGCAAGTTGCCAATAAAAAAATACATTCCTTAGCTCTGTGTGTAGTACAATGCTGCTCCTCGGGGGAATACACATACAAGAATTAATAGCAGTCTACTACCAATGACAGATAACTTGTCCTCTCGGCTCTGGCTCTTCCCCAGTACACATGAAAGAACAAAGATGTCTGTGTACATTTTGTTTGTGAGAGCTATCTAGATTCTTTTCCCACTTGAAACTCAGATGTTTGATGCTCCACAGCATTCAGGATACTACATCCTAGCACTCCTGAGGTGGGGATGTTCCACTTTCCTCTAATAAAAAAATCTTTTATCTTTTCAAACTGCCAAGAAAGCATGTGGAGAACATCCACTGAAATCACTCATATGTGGCATGACATTTCTAGTGGCCAGGATAGCTTTCAGTGCTCTCTTTAACTGCATGCTCCTCTCCATAGCTAGCAAAACCAGAAGAAAAGTGTTCATTTGCCTTTTCTTGAAGCATATTTTGGATTGCCTGAGTTGGACTGTCACCTTTTTTTAAAGCACCAGCTGATCACTTTCCTATTTGTAATAAAAGGTTACTTGCTAAGGCCATAGAGTATGGCCTCCATGCTGAAGCAAACTATAGACAATCTACTCTCTTTCCAACAGTGACTGCTCAGACACTTTTATGAATTTGGAGCTGTATGAAAGAAGAACAGCAGCTGCAATACGAGATGCATGTGGTTTCCCATGTGGTTTTCAGACCATCTGCTGTAGTTCTCCAAGAGAGCCTCCATTCAGTCTCACACATGAATGACAATCTGGCCCACTGCTGGCTTCAAAACCATTCTAAGAAGTGCGAGGTAGGTGAAATTTTTAAGTCCCAGAGGTGCAGATCTACTGGAGGAAGATGGAGCTTCTCCTGAAGTGTTTGGCCCTTGCTGCTCCCCTCACTAGTTTCACTGCTTGGAGCCCCTGACTGTATTTTTCTTCATCTAACTTAAGATTTTTACCCTTCTACTTTTTTTATTTATATCCTGCCTTTTTCCTACAAAGGGCTCAAGGCAGCTTACATCTCCTCCTCCATCTTATCCCCACAACAACCCTGTGAGGTAGGTTGGGCTGAGAGTCTGTGACTGGCCCAAAGTCACCCAGTTGGCTCCATGGCCGAGCGGGGACTAGAACCCAGATCATCTGAGTCCCAGTCCCATGCTCTTAACCGCTACACCACACTGGCTCTTTTGAATTCCTTGGAACAAGAAATTTGACTTTGCTTAAAAATGGAGAACCAGAAATCTAGTTGGCTACCAGGAACCATCCATAGGTGTCCAAAAACAACCAAAAAAGGAGCATGCAATCCTAAATGCTCAGAGTCCCTAACAAGATAACAAAGAAAAGACATTGGACAGTAACCAGATACTGCGGGCACCTAACATGCATTGAATACCTATGACATTAACACGAAATACTCAATGGTGATCAATAAAATCAAGGGTCCATACTCCAGGAAAGAGTGAAGTGAAAAGACAGCATAAATAAAATTCCCATTTCAGTACAGAAGAAAATGAGAAAACCAAGGTTACTTGGCTTTCTGCTCCATACCAAAAACCAAGAAGTAGGAGAGCCAAACATTAATAATGTGAAATGCCATAGTGTTGCTCGTCCCCTTACTCCCAGAATAAAGTCCACTCATGTCTCCAGTTGATAGAATGACGGAAAAGAGAAAAGACTGCCACTGTTACTAGGGCCACTTGCACCCTTTGCCCAGGCATGCTCGTAACTAATAGGAAAGACGTCACTTGCATCTGAACAAAAGGTGGCTCAAAAGTTTTGAAAGCCAAAATACTTCCTTGAGTGAACTCCTTGGGGAAGAATCAGAAGGACCGATTGGAAGGAATGTGATGTCAAAGCAGTTACCAGTAAGGTCTAATGCAGGCCCCTGAGCACCAGCCTGTGCAGGGAAAACAATGCTCCAAAGAAAAAGGCAATGAAATGAAACCAGCCCATTCTCATTTCTTCTTAACTGTAGTGCTTGCCAACAGGAGGAGCACATAAACAGCAACACACCAAACTCACCCAAGGGCCAGCCTCTCTCTCCTCTTTAGAAGAAGTTTTTGATCAGTGGTGTTACCATCTTCACCCATAGCTTGATATAACGACTGGGCTGCTCAAAGGTTGAGGCAGACACTGTACTAGAACGCAAATACAGCTGCTCCTGCTCCTGCAGAGAGAAAAAACTACTTCATGATTTTGAATATTTGCCCTCAGTGTGGCCTGCAAAAGGTGTTTCCCATTCATCACAAGACAAGATTCTGGCTGAAGCCTCTACCATCACTGCCTGCCTTAACTGTTTTGGATCAGATCGAAAGATCGCATTAGGATGGAGAGATCTCATCCCATCACACATTCCTCTGAAGGAGGAGAACACAGATCTGACCCTCAAGCTTTCTAAAGTTTGGTATTTGAAATGCCAGCTAAGTCAAACCCAAGTAATTACACACAGAGAATGCAACCCACATATGTATACAAATACAACGAGGAGGAAAGGATTGCAAGATTTGGCCCTGCAGTTATGCACTTTCCCGTAATACAGCCAAACCCTGAACTATAATTGTCCAAAAAGGAAGCCTGACTTTAATCTCAAGAGACTGGACCAATCATTTCTCTTTAGAAAAAGCTCCTAGGCTGCATTTTAAAATGAATGTGCCGTCAAGGTTTCAGTGCAGTTCCCAGAAATACTAAGCTCCTTCAGAGTGTAAACAATAGAGCTGGAGGGAGAAGGCAGCGCCTCTGTTACAATGGTGATACCACATGCCATTTGAAAGCACCACTTACACCCCAAGGACACTTTATGCGTCTGACTTAGCAAGGTGGGCTACTGCACACACAGAGTCTGGACACAATTATGGGACCTCTGCCCAGCTTCATCCTAACTGCACCAAAGCTGGCACAGCTCAATCCCAGCAGTCACCCAATTTATAATCTCACTAAACAGATCTGGCCCGTGAGGTTTCGACTATGCAGACTAAATTCTTATTTGCTGCTTTGATTCCCTGCAAACTTCCATTTCTCAAGGCTAATCTTTAAAAAAAAATCAAAAATTTAAACTGTGACCCTTTGACTCACTGTGTTCTCCCTATTTAGTAATAGGTTTTGGCTGTCTGACACAGGAAAAGGAGCTAATGCACCTGATCTGAAGCAACTCTCCAGACTACAAGTTGCTTCGTACCTCTATAAGGCACTTGCAACTTAAGCCAGAGTGGTTAGAAACCCTCCAGATAATTTCAAATGGGACTAACTTAAGTTCTGCCACTGAGCAGTGGGAATGCCATTAAACCCTGTTCCAACGCTGCTAAGACTGTGTACTAGACCCTGAACAGAGCACAATCATAATACGGTTCCTTCCCAGAAGATGTGTAATATTCAAACTATGACAAAAGGCAGAGAAATAAGGCAGATGTTGAAGAATGGACACATAACAAGAAATTATGTTTTCTAAAGACTAAGAAGCACAGACTACAAAAGTGAGTATATTGGGGAATACCTACTTTCCAGGCACCTCCCACGTGGCTTCACCAGAATGAATTACAGCAAAGGAATTTCAGTTCCTGAATAAGCAGGACTTCTTCCAAAAATATTCCCTAAATTTGCAATGCAGTAACAAGGAGGCTGCTCTTTGTAGCCAAACAGCAATGTTCTGTGATACCATACTGTCAACTAAATACTTACAGTACTTCCAACAGATAAATGATATTAAGCAAAATTAAAGAAAAGGCCCAGTCAGTCCTCCAGTATCTGGAGAAGTATTACAGGAAAGCTAGAATGCACAAAGCGTCAAAGTGGGCAACTGGTGGCATGAACAATTCTCACTATTGTAGGATGCCTGCAGAAAAAGTGGTTCGTTCTATTTCTTGCCTTCCTTGAAATCTTGTACAGTGTGAAAAAAGACTCTTCTCCTAACCTGTCTGCACTTACCAGGGAACTGGGAGGGTTGTTTCATTTTGCAGATGTCCAACATTTTTGTAGAAGACATGTTACTTCAACAGCTTCTGTCTTCCCCAAAAAGGCATGAAAGGAGATCCTACCTGCATTTCACAGCCTGAACTCATACCTGATTTTTGTGGATTGATTGCAGCAAAAACTCAAAGGCAAATTTTATTCAACATTCTACCTGTACATCTATGCAGTTTTTTAAATTGTTGTTTCTAGCATCAGGAATTGTCATGTATATACATTTCAATTCAAAGGGGGGATAAGGGGAATTCATGTGATCATTCCTCAACTGATATGTAATGTAAATCAAGTCTGGCTTTAGTACAAATAATTGTAACTAAGTCTGGATGAACTTAATATGACCAAATCTTGCAATACATGTGCGAAAATTCAACTGACTTGTTGCCATACAAACCTAGACTTAAGAATGCCAGTTTAAAAAGCAGCCCAAAAGGAGACAATGAATGGAGACAGGAATCAAGACTATAGAAGCATCAATATTATACAACCCAAAGCACTCATTTTATTAACCTTAAAAACTAGAAGGCTATATTAAAAAGTACACAGCATAACAACAAGCACATGAAAAGATAACGCCAAACAATTGTTGACTGAAAACATAAGAATAAAACCATTTTTTGGGGAAAAAACAGCCAGCAATTTCATTTTTTGTTATATCATCCATAGGCTTGTTGGGAGCTACTAGAAACAGTTCTAGAGACTGACGCTTAGAGCTTTAACGGGCCTCTAAGAGCTCACTTTCCATGAGCTGTTCCTCAGATAACAACCACCATCAAGTAAGAGAAAGAAAACATATATATCATACAATGAGAGAGAATGAATGAATGAATGAATGAATGAATTTGGTCTCAAGTGGCTCCACTTTAAAGTTTTTCTCATGTTCTTAAACCTGCAGAAGAAGCCAATTCTTATTACTCCAGACCCATTCTGAGCTACAGCAGGTATTTGTGGAAATTTATACTGTCATTGTTGTGACCTCAAGTGGAATCTCATGCAAGCTCCCCTTAGGCAGTTTTGCCATTACTGCAGTTTTTGAACAAACATTTTCCCTCAACCCCATTATAAAGCTCAGCATTCATGAAATCTCAGCTACGCACCTGATGGAACTGCTGCTGCAGGGCTTTGTTTTTTGTCACTATTGCAACCTGTGCTTCCAGGTCTCGGTGGACTGACCTGTACCCAAAGTTAGGAGAGCCAATCATAGTTAAGCAGGGTAGGCTGCTTCCTGCGAGATACAACCAGAGGCCTGGAGAGAAACATGTAGAGAAAAGAAGCAATCATGGTAGGTGCACCAAGTTGCAAACAATAGTTTGTTCTTGAAAGGAAAAACAAAACACCCTACACATTTCATTCATTTTACTGGGACTGTACATGGGTCAAATCACTACATAAGCACCCAGAAAACAGGGGCGCTTCTCTGCAGACTGTCACACAACTCCTGGGGGATGGCACAGAACTCAGTGGGGTACTTGGCTGCCCTTATGGGACTGCCCACCCTCAGCCTATCATCTGGGTTCCACTGCAACAGACATTTAATGGTCCATATTGGTACACTAAGCACACAGGCCCTAATATTATACCTTTATTGTATTTAGAAATAAATCAGTAAAACTAAGCTTGCAAGACCTCCCAGGGCTTAGCCTGATCCTTAAGACCAGCACTTATCCACGAAATGCAGGCCACACTAGAATGGTTTACCCCACAGCTCCTCCACAGAGTCTATGCAGCGGTGCAGAGCCTGAAGCAGGCATGTTACTGTAAATGAGCTGGTGGTTATGATGTTAGACCAACTGCTTGGGAGAGGGAATCCCTTTCAGAAGCTACACCTGCCTGTCAACAGAGGGTAGGAGTACTGCTTTCACATGTTCTTCAATGTAAGCCTATTTATAGCAAATGTAATTACCCCAACAGTGCTATTGTATCCAGAACAAAAAGACCTGCCTGTCAAGTTGTGCTCACCTATGCAACTGCAGCAGAGGGGCCACCCAAGCAGAAACAGGATGCAACAGAAATATTCTTAACACTGAACTACTTTTGCACAGCAGCTCTTTACAGCAAGCAGAAGAGCTCACATTTCTGGATCACTTCCCACTGGAAAACCTTCCCAACTCAAATGAAACTGTGCCACTTCACAGCCAAACCAGATCAGACATGTCTGTGAATCGGTGCCATTCACAGACATGCCTGATCTGGTTATGGTATCTCGTGCCTAATCCTTAACTATATTTCATTCAGACTGCAGTAATGTGCTGTATGTGAGGTTGCCTTTAAGAACTGCTTGCTAACTTCAGGTGGTCCAGCATGCTGCAGCCAGGTTAACAGAGGCCAGCTGCACACAGCATGTGACTGACCCCACACCTTCAAGGGCTGCCAGTCTGTTTCTGGGCACAACACAACGTTCTAGTTCTGACCTAGGATGCCATATACAGCTTGGGAGCAGGCTACCTGAAAGACCACCTTCCCCCAGTTGGGCTTGCCTGGGTCTTAAGATCTTCAGGAGAGGCCCTTCTTTCACATCTCCTCCTGAGATATGTTTGCTGGTAATATAGAGAGGACCTTCTTGATGGCTGCTCCCAAGTACTGGAACTTGCTGCCAAGGGAGGCTACGCTACCTCCATCAATTGTCCTTCTGGCAAGGAAAAACAACATTTTGGTGTCTAAATTGATACACATCTATTTGGTAGCTGCTGTTTTTGCTTTTTATTGATGAGACATTGGTGTTTTTATCTGATGTACTTTTACTGCAATAATGTTTTTCAGTTCTAAAGCTTTAATTACAACATTTTATTGGTATTCTACCATTAATGCTCTTCTGCACTGATTTTAGTAGACTTCCCTGCTCCAGTCCTTATGAAAAGATGCATTTGCTACAGCAACCTTTTGAACTGGGGAGTCTGAAAAAAAGTAGCTCCACATTTCTAGATACCACTATGCTAAGTATGTAAAAACATCTTTTTCATTCTTTCCACAATTGCAAAGTGATACGAAATTGCCCAAAAGATTACCAAAATGATCAGATGTACAACACCCATCCTTTTGTGATCATCTTTATGAAAAAGAAGAGCTACACTGGTTTTGTCCCTACTAAAGCAGGTACATTCATTGGGGGCAAATTACATAAGAACTAGAGTGGAGTCTCAAAGGGCAGTATCACAAATGCATCATGGGAAAAGCAGCAAGTCAACAACTGTTTGCCAAAGACAGCGTATGTAACAATGGGCACAGTATTACCCATAGACTGCATGGACATGCTGCATTTCCATGACACCACTTGTGCAGTTGCAGGTCAATGACTCCGCATAACAGTTCTTCTACAGTTTCGGCACTAACACACGTTGATAGCGTTCAGATATGTTTGCCCAAATTTACATAAAGAGAAATTAAGACAGCGCCAATAGCATGTTTTAATGTTACGTTTGCATAACTGTCAACTATCACAAGGTTTAAAAATGCTTGACACCTGATCCACACACAAGTTTTAGATTCTGCTATGTGGACATCTCCCATCTACAATGCAAGTGCATCACATAGGAAGCGAGCTCATCAACCGACCGTGGATGGCCTGTCACTCCCTTCCCCCCCATAAATGATGCACCCAGTGGAACGTGCAAATATTCCAACTGAGGGCCAAGGGCTTCCCCTCTGGCTGCCTCAAAAAGAAGAATAAAGAACACAGTTTCCCTCCATACAACAAAATAAACATCCCCTGGATGCTCAGATTACACCTGCATGTTCAGGTAATCACTGTGCCAAGGGGAGGGCTTTCCTCAGTTTAGACTGCTACGCCAACTGCATTCATCTCTGACCTAACCACAATGACCCTGGCCTGGCCACATCAAAACTGAACCATGGTATTCTACATGGGGCCATGTTTGATGAACCTGCAGATGCTGCAATTTGCCCAGACTGCAGCAGCAAGGATGCTCAAAAGAAATACAACATTGCTGTGAATAGAGAATATGCCCATTTATAATATTTGCACTATTTCCAGGGTACCTATAACAGTAAATACTTTGGCTGTGTCCCAATACCCAAAGAGCTTCTTTTCATATCACCCTGCCCACATACTAAGATTTCAGAGGCTCCTTAAGAGCCACACTAAGCAGCTCCTCCTTTGCATCCCAACATGGGTAGAAGCTGGTTTAGTCAGGATACATTTGAGGAACATTTTCGTGGCAACTGTGGCACTCTTTCTTGCAGGTTTATTTGGCTCCATCTCCTTTTGAATTCTGTCCCCATGTAAATACTGCAAGGTTTTCATTAACCTTGGTAGTTTAAACTGACTGATCTTTTAATTACCTGCAATGCTGTTTGTTTTGTTTTTGCTTTTAAATGCTTGTGTAATTGTTGCTTTTCTTTCTTTGAATGTTATCAAGATACCTTGAACCCTTATCTGGTGAATGGAAAGCTATGATATAAATTATTCTAATAAAAACCCAACATCTACTAAAGTTCTTGCCCTCAGGAACAAGTAACAAATATCAGCACCTCAGTAAAGAACTGATAGTACAGCAATTAGTTCATCCTAAAATGAAAAACTTTCCAAGTAAAACAATGAGCATGTTCCAGAACAATCTGAGACAGAAGATGGCAATTTTCTTGCTTATTTCTGCCGTTCCAGCCCGCACCCAGGCAGCCACCAGTGTACTACTGAATTACTTCCACCTGCTCAAGAGCAGAGGATGCCTGTATGCATCCCTTCTCTTCCCCCACAAAACAACAGACCATGATGGAGATAAAAAAAGTCCTACAACACCCTCATCCCACATACACAACAGGCTCTCCTAATACCCTAAAGTATAGTACTTATAATGACCAAGGTTAATTCAGGTACCTGCTATGAAGCAAAGAGTGTCACAAAGATCCTAACAGGTAGCTTTTTAAAATGCAGGCTTACCAACAGCCAAGCAAGTATGCAAGCTGATGGCGGCAGGTGGGACCAGAGCATACCACTTGCCAAATGTGTTTGAAAAACCAAGTCTGGAGGTGTTCACTATTGAGACATCTTGGGAGTGCTACTTACACTGTTAAATCTGTACTGTGCATTCAGCTAAGAGTGACTAAAATGAGAGTTTCCTGTTCTTCAGCGATATTGTGCATATGACGTTGAATGTCTGTTACTTCCCAAGATGCTGTGTCTTCTGAATCTCTCTGCTAGGGCAAACAAACCCTTTCATAGTTCATAATTTCTGATGTATCTATTACAGCTTTTGTTCTTCATCTAGAGTTCTTCATGGTCTCTGTGCATCACACATATGGGCGAATAATCTATATACACTAAATACTTGGACTTGCTACTGATTGTGAGATGTTTCTAAATATCTCACAATCACCCTTCCTCACTGAGAGCGAGTGAGAATCCAAGAGTCCAGCTGCTCAAGTCAATGGCCAGAAGCACAGCATCTGCTCCACTCACGCAGCACTGGAGGAGAGGCTTGCCTGCAGGCACACTGGAATTTGACAGAGTAGGTCACCAGCATTCCTCTTTCTCCTACATGCTGCAGAGGAGCGGGAGGGAGGGGAAGTAGCAGGCTCCCTGCTGTACTGTGGATAGGGCTCTGCTGCTCTATCAGGCTGCATTTGCTCACATCATGACTCACCTTTCCAGGAGGGGAAATCCAAAGAATTTCTCAATCCTCACTCAGGTACAATACAGAAGTTTTAACTGGGTCCCAGGTGATGCCTTACACACAGAGGCATAACTGAGCAAAGTATTCCCTTCCTCCAAGAACATACCTCCCTCTCCTCAGAGGGTACTTATGAGCCCCCCACCAAGCTTCCCCCACACCTGGTCCTTATCCTTACTCTCATCTCCATGGCACCCTGGTTCCCAGATAGCAATCTGTAAAAGGCCTTTCAGTCACAAGTAGAGGAAGAGGTACTTCTGAATTCTAACCAAACTTGATTATGAGAAAAAAAATAATTATCAACAGCTCCAACTACTAAGGGTGCCTGAAATCATCTTGACCTGGCATATACTGTAAGAAAGCTGTCACTTACACAGGAATCCAACTCCCTGCCAGTCCTGCAGCACTTCTATTTCCTCACTCCCCAGCAACAACAAATACATTCTGAAGGCACTACAACTACTCACAGAACTGGAATTTGGGGACTCTGGTATTATTAAGTTCAATAGCAGTCCTTCCATTTGAAAAATGCCTCAGCAAACTACTTCTGAACAAAATTATGGAATAAAAGAAGTCCTCTTACAGGACAGTACTGATTAAGGAACAGAAAGTAGGGAGTATGAATGAATGATAGATTCTCCCAATGCAGGAGTGTAAACGGTGGTCCCAATACAGATTCCTGTGGGGCCCTCATGTTTTTCAACTTATTTAGAAATGAACTACAATTAGAAGCAAGTAGTGAAGTGGCCAGGTTTGCTAATGATACTAAATCACTTAAGATGGTTAAAACAAAAACGGATTGTGAGGAGGTCCAAAAACATCTCTCCAAACTGGGAGAATGGGCTTCAAACTGGAAAATGTATTTCAGTATAAACAAGTGTAAATTGATGCATGCTGGAGCAACGAACATTAACTTAATCTGGAATCTGATGGAAACTGAGATAGCAGTAATTGGCCAAAAAGAGATTTGGGGGGGGGGGGTCTGGTGGATAGTCTGATGAAAACGTTAACTAAATACATGGCTGCTGGGGGAAAAAAGAAGCGGCAGTAGTAAATTCCATGTTAGGCATAATTATGAAAGAAACTATTTTATCTACTATCAATATCTACTGTCCTCGAAACAATAGCACAACGGCACTTCAAATACTGTGTACAGTTCTGGTGACCACACCTAAAAAGGGTATTGTGAAGGCGGAAAAGATATAGAAAAGGCAACTAAAACTATCACAGGGCTGCAGCAACCCCACCCCCATGAGGAAATATTGTAACATATAGGATTGTTTATTTTGGAAACAAGGCAGGTAAGAGGAGCCATGACAGATGGAGCCATGCATACAAAACTATGCCTGGTGTGGAGAATGTAGATAGGAATACATTTTTTCCGTCTCTCATAATATTAGAAGCAGATTGGTGGGACATTCAGGACAGAGGACAAAGAAGCACTTCTTCACAGCGCATAGCTGAACTATGGAATTCACTTCTGCAAGTGAATTTAGAGGGCTTTAAAAAGGGACTGGACAAACTCATGGCAGGTAGTTCTTGGCTTCTCCAAATGGCTGCATGCCACTTCCAGTATCAGAGACAACATACCTTTGCATGGGAAAACGGACGAGAGAATGTTGTCACACTTGTGTCATGCTTGTCCACTGGGCAGCTGGTTGGCCCCTGTATGAACAGAAGGCTGGACTAGATGGATCCTTGGTCTAATCTGACATGGTTCTTCTTATGTGATTACCCTTTGTGAAATACTTAATAATGTTATTTTTTCTCAGTTCTGCATCATTCAGGGAGAGCCAGCAGCATTATGGAGAGCTCATGACAGAGCTGTATGTTTGTTCCACTCGCTCCACGTTAGGGTGGCACAGTATGAACTCGCCTGGGAAAGCATCGACTAGAGAGCGATGCATCTTCTATCCCTCTGTAAAATCTATCTAGCCGCCGCCACTTGAAAGAGCTGCTTGACAGCAGAGATTTGAGAATGAGCACCATCATGCACAGTGCTCTTTGTTCCCTGCATGGCCCCATCCCTGGCCATTTCACATGGTTGTGGCTGAGCACCACTCTGTAGAGACATGAATGTGTTTTTCTTGAGAGAAAGGAGCTTAGTCAGCAGCACTCCCCACCCCCTACCCTCTTCCCAGAAGCTCTGCAGGAAGAAGGCAAGGAAGATAGCAGCATTCCCATAATCATTAACAGCCACAAGCTTCAGACAAACAAAAGCAGGGATCCCTGGAGAAATGCAACCTATTCGGATGTGACCTTTGGGATATGCTCAAGGGAACCCAGAAACTTGCTCAGTTTGCTCTGATCCAATTAATACTGTAAAGGGCAGAAAGGCTCCTCAGCACAAAGGAAAGCAGACTATAGGAACTACAGAATGTCCTCCATAGCAAAATGTGCTTACTGTCACCTTAGAACTCCCAGCAAGTGATAGTGATTAATTACACTCCCTTGCAAAGGTGCTCTAAGTCTCATGAGAGCAGCGACAGGGAGCCCAAGGTGGTACTGCTGTTCACACGTTAAGGCTTCATCTTTGCTGCTTTCTGCGATACAGAAGCACAGGAGGTCAGCACACCCCCATTCGTTCCTGAAGAGCTAGGCCACATGTTATGTCAAGGAAAAGCTGGAAAAAACTGCAGGGTGCTTAGCTTGCTACAGCTTGTTAAAAGCCTAATGCTGGGGCCTCCAAATCTGATGTGTATATCCTTCCCAACTTTACAATGTGCATATTCTTTCAGCTTTGCAAAGTGATCAAATCATTTCCCAGTGAACTGGAGACATGCCACGCATTTGATGCAGCTCTCCACACTGAACTATGGCCTGAAAACCCCTCTCCTCTCTGCGGAGCGCCACAGTGTTTCCTTGCTTGCCAGCCCCTCCGGCTTTCCTCACAGAGATGGACGCTGAAATATTCAGTCATGATGCACCTGTGAGAGGCACACCTGATTTCAACATCCCTTTCCGCCTAATCCCCAGAGCACAAGTACATCTCTCTTCAAACAGTCTGGCAGGAAAGACTGAATGGCAGCTGGGACAGGGGTACATATCAGACCACAGACCATGAGTTGTCATACCAAGTTGCCAAACAAGTAGCCTTCAGATGCCTTCCAGCCACTTCCTTACAGGGAGATAACTTGTACAATTTCCTGTTTCCCCAAATGGCTACATTGTTGCAACAGGAATTAAGGAGACAATATCAGACCAAATGACATGGTCAATAGCAACAGCTAACATTCAACAGCCTGCAATCTCTTCCTTTCTTCCTATGGTTGGTACAGATTTAGTCTCACACATATTGAATTGCTATGTGTTTTATTCCTGACTTGATTATGAAGCCTACTGATGGATTTTACACTGCTTAGGCTTGTTTAAGCAGCTAATTAAGACAAACTAATTATCCACAGCATGCCAAAAAGTTTTTCAACTACTGATTGATTCTGGGACAATAGGTTACTCTATTTAATGGCTAAATCATAGCCGTTACACTGCCCTTGTGGGTTAAATTTCTTGCTAACGTTTGCCACAACAGAGCAAACTTGGATTCAAGTGGTGTCTCATGATATTTGTATATTTCTAGCCTTTTTGATACAATCAAATCACCCATGATGAACAAGAGCAGATTTTGTTTGCAGGTTCAAGGGCCTGGCATGAAAATTTCTCAAGGGACAGAGTGTTCTCCCCAAGCTGATGCAGACAGATAGCAAACAGAATTCAATGAAGCCCAATCTTCCGAGAAAGTTTTCAACTATCTCAATGGATAATCAAATTAAAGCTCCTTTGAGCTCTTGTTTTAGATTCAGTGCCTCTCCTCTATGATGCCTCACCTTTAGCATGGAAAGTCCACCCATTTCGAGAATATTCCTGTAATCGGATTCTCTCTTGCTGACCCAGACAGCACACCTCGCTGAAGAACTTCTTCTCAATGTAAACATAGGCAGCAGGGATGGCACCTGCCACTCCTTTGGCCCCGAAGAACCCATTCACCTCTGGTGAGGCTAAGAGGATCTGATACTTTGCCCTGGTGCCTAGAATGAGGTCCATATAGGCTTGTGTGAGGTTGAAGTAGCCTGTGGTGAGAAAGATATTGGCACCCTGCTCTGCTTCCATCAAGAGGGTCTCTGTGACCATCTCATCTATCTGGATTCCAAATGGTTTCATCTGTATTAGTGGATAAATCCATGTATCAGGTTCTGACTGCCCACCAGACTGCTTTGGATCTTTGGATAATGGGATATCTTCTTCTGTATGGTTGCTATGGAAAGTCTGAGTGTGAAGCTGCTCTTGTTTGGTCTTTGCAGAATTGATCACTTCCATCACTCTCCTGTTTGCTGCTTCACAATAGGCCATCTTGTCTCCTAGGGGTATGAATACATGATTGAATGAAAGACAATATACAACATTACCTGTACAATTGCAATGAAATTGCGGAGGAAGCAAGAGAGTATCACTAAGATTTCTGCAAGTCAGGAAACACAGAAACTCAATCAGCCCAGAAGATAGAGAGAAATATGTATTTTCCAAAAGAAGCTTATAAGCCAAATGTTATTAGCAATTCTGAATAGTGTCCACCATTTCAAATGCAGGCCACAGGGATGATTCGACCTATTCCTTCCGTCTTTTCAAATTTGGATTTATCAGGACTTACCAAATCTGATATTTTCTAGGCTTCCTGATCAGAGCCTATAAAGGCAAGTTGCACAGCCTTAGCCAAAGTTAACATTCAGAATGACACTGACAGAACTGTACACAATCACATCTCATTGAAGAAAAGGGAGAGATCCGGCTCTGTGTATTTACCAAGTTTATTCATTAAAAAGTAACAGGAAGTCTCTTAACCAAACCTGATTAAGGAAACTGTAGACAGCTGCCCATAATGATGATTTCATCCATTTCAATTCTCTGAACTGAGGTAAGCGACATGTTTTATTTCTCTTGTTGCTAAAGGCTATTACTAGGACAGATGGGATTCAAATCTCATGCTCCCTCATTTCCCCAAATATCTTCATCTGCACTACACAGCGATACTCTTCACATACCCATCATAGAATGGCCTCATTATACTCTGGGAACAAGAGCTTGGTTGTGACATTATAGCTTACCACAAAGTTATAATTAAGTAAGCTTGTGCCCAGTAGAAAAAAAATCTCAGGTTGAACAGAAGCCTACTAACAAGTAACAGTCACCCTCCTTTAAAAAATATGAATGCCATCAGTGATTCAAATCCATGTTTAGCACCAGTTGGGACACTCAGGTCTTCTGCATGGTGGACCACAAAATAAAGGAAAAAGCAATCCATTGAAGCTTTTAGCAACAGCATTATTTCACGTCAGATTGATCTTTTGTACTGGTCACACATTTGCAGCTCAAATCCAGTCCAGAATAGTTATTATCCTCTCAGAAATAAGATCTGCTGACTTTACTTCCACTTATGCCCTCAGTATGTATGCATAAGATTTCAACATTAGTTTGCAAACAGCTTTCTGTCACCATCTTAAGGCCATCAGTGCTGCAGACAAGACTTAACTGAGCCCTTTACCAGCAACATTTTGTTATTTTCTCCTGCTCCCCCTTTTCTGTTTAACATCCAGCCTGAGGAATGGCCTTAGAGCTGGGTCACTAAGTTCTAATCACAAGAGCTGGGTCACTATTTTACATTTTCAGCTAGTCTTTGAAAAATCTATGCTGCTCTTCAGATTTTATAAACCAAAACAAATGCCTACCTTCCCCCCTAAAGACTACTTTTGTTGTTGGTTAGCAAAATCGTGTCCAACCGATCACTACCCCACGGACAAAATTCCTCCAGGCCCCCCTGTCCTCCACCATCCCCCAGAGTCCACCTAAGCTCACACCAACTGCTTCAGTGAGTCCATCTAGCACCTCATCCTCTGCCATTCCTTTCTCCTTTTGCCCTCAATCGTTCCTAGCGTCAGGGTTTTCTCCAGTGAGTCCTCCGTTCTCATTAGGTAGCCAAAGTAGTTGAGTTTCATCTTCAGCATCTGGCCTTCTAAAGAGAAGTCAGGGTTGATCTCCTTATGGGTCCAGCTTTCACAGCCACACATTGCAACTGGGAAAATTGGTATAGCACTATCAATGAAGGGGGAAAGGAACAGGGAAAGTGACTGTTCAACAGAGAGTCACTTCAACTGTTTAGCAGGCAAATTATTAATCTTCTCTTCCACCAACAGCAATTTCTTCTGATTTGAGCATCTGATCAGTTTCCATTGATCAGTTTCCAGTCAGAATTGAAACCTTTTCAATTCTAGTTTAAAGCAACTACAATTAATATTTGTAACTCTCTTAAGCACTACTTGAAGAATGTCTGGAAGAGTCAGGGCCAAATTCCTAAAGGAAGGCATCAAATGAAAGAAAGTGTGAAGGCAGACAGAACATGGAAAAATATACAAATGCTCCCAAGTGGGAAAAAATGGTTCCAGCTAAAGCAATCCCCATTCATTCAACACAATGTTGTTTCCATGTAAGAAATTCATTTAACTAACAAAATTCACTGTATGTGAAAGACAAATAGGAAGGAAGGACGGATGGACGGAAGTTTTTACTATAGTGTTTACTACAGAACTGTATATAAAAGCTTTAGATGATGGTGGTGGTGGTGGTGGTGATGGACGGACTGAAGGACAGAAAACTTTTGTTAAAAATGATACTGGCAGTACTACTACTAGCTGTAGTATCTGATTATACTGAGTTGGGGCAAAGATTTACACACCAGCTAAAAAGGATTTGCCAGCTAAAATCAGTGATCGGCATGCTTTTTTCCACAGGACAGTTTGTGTGTGCTAATCCAGAAAACAAACACTGGAGGGCAGTCCCCCCTTACCTATTCCTAATACATTTGCTTTTGTGAAACTTTCACCTGAAGACGAAATCTCAGCAATTGAGCTGCCGGGAAGATGTCTCAATAGTTGGCAGTGCTTGGAAAACACCTCCCAAGGGAATGTGACCGGGCAGCACCTTACACTTTATATTCAAAATTAACTTTCCCTATGCTGTAGCAAAGGAAAAATATTCCCCTGACAGACATTGTCTCCTTCCCACTAAAAAGCAGACAATAACATTCGGCGTAAGAGCAGCATGCACAAAACTATTCACTAAATTCTATGACAATACTGGGAGTTGTTTGTTTTTTTCAAACACCCTCCCCTCCCAACCATGCTTCCTGGTTGTCCAGGAAGCAACTGAATGCAAGGTTACAAAAACTATTTACCAACATATAATTTATCCAGCCAACAGACTGTTTAGCTCTAGCTTTGCATCCACAGGATACACCCAAACGTCTGGGACAACAGTGACTTCCCATATCACAATGCCATTTGTTGATAAACTTCTTCCATCATTGTTAATCCTACCGTCAGGTGTCACAGTACAAAGGATATGTCAGAACCCCGTTGTATTTGGAACCCTGAAAACTATCACTGGCAAGGCGTTAACCCCAATTCCCAGTGGCTGAGCTAGAATACTTCCTTTCTCATACAAGAAAGACCCACACCTGAACATACCCAACACATGCATCTCCAGGGGCAAGCTAACAACCTATTAGGAGGGAATGGTAGCTCCACTGTTAAGCACATGTTTTGCAGACAGAGGACTCCTGAGTTGAATCCTTTCATTCCCCAATGAAAGAGATACTAATACTGTCTCTTCTGCATAAAAGCAGTTCTCCAAGGTCTCTCTTAGCCTTATCCCAAAGTCCTTTTCTTTTAGAGAGAGCTGAAAAGTTAGACCTGGGACTTTCTTTATGGAGCATAAATGGCTTTCTGCTCATACAGGTGGCATTCCTTCTTTCCTGAAACCACTTGAAAGGTGCTTGTTTGTACCTTGATGCTACTGAAATACAAGAGGAAACTTAGCTATCTAGGTGAGTCCAGCTACTCAGCCCTTTGAGTGTTGAAAAGGAAAGTGACACCACCTAAAATGTACTTCTATCCTATTGCTTACTAAATGGTCTTTTTACCTTGGTAAGGATGCATCATGCCTTCCATCACCTTAACTGTATCATCTTGCTGCAGCTGCAAGGACACATCCCCAACAGCATCTACTAAATCAGTAAAGAAATCTGCAATCTCAGGTGAATCTTGGAGGAATACATAGCGATCTTGACGATTGGTAAAGTAGGAGTCACTCAAGTTGGCCCTGGAGAAGGAAAGCGGGGAGAATGCCAAAAATTTGATGAGAATGTCAACAGTTTCCCAAGTCATGTATGTATGGTATAGCTGAAAAAAGACCACCTATAAAAATAATTTTAAAGGAAGCTCAACAGTACCTGTAGGAAGAGGTTGTCTTCTTGACTAACCTCCTCAATCTTACTTGGCTAAAATTGGAACAAGCTGACAGGGCCTGTCTTCATTAGAAATAGTGGCAATATTCCAGTAATGGAAAGGTGGAAAAATGGTCATATCACACTTCTCCAAGTCAGACATCTGTCTTAGTGGATATCCTTTTCCACTGGAGATCAGATAATTCCCCCATGTAAGCCATAATTTCCTTGTATCAAGGGACTCACCCACTCAAGATCACATTATCATCAAAGAGATAGACCTTGATATGCTGTAACCCGATGGTCTCATTGAAACGCTCAGGGATCAGAAGTCTGAGAAGACCACGCAGATTAGGAGTGTGAAAGAGAGAGACACGGACCTGCTCTGGAAATCTCTTCAGCAATGGAAGGAGCATGGTTCTAGAGTTTTTCTGGCCTGGAAGAAAATGAAGAAAATGAGAAGAAAATGAATTTTCTGGGATCCTTGGAAATACTGTAATTATCTGCTACAATTTTATCTATTTGAATTTAAGCAGGCTACTTTATAAAGGCATATTTTACAGCACTTAAATTTCAGCACCTGAAGATCATCAAAGAATAATTCCTGTTTGTCAGGATTGGCATGTCTGTGTTCTCCTATGATTATGTAACACTAGTTCAGAAAAGCAGGTACTTTTTAAGCATTTCTATTATCCCACAGACTAAGATAAGGTAAAACCCTAGGAGAAGGATAACAGCTGGAGCACCAAGAGTTACTTTTGTCTAAAACAGAAGCTAATATTAGGAATATTTTACCCAGATTTTATACATGACAGATTTGTCTAGCTTCTTCAGGTGCATACAGATGCTGTGAGCATTTGCAGAACATTGCACTGCTTTTTGGCTTATTACTAATCCCAAATGAAAGCTCAGATCCTCTTATTTAATCACAGCTATCTTGAGCAGAAATGTCTAACGTTACAAGTAGGGTTGGAATCTCTCCTAAGCATTTGCAGGCTTCCTATTGTGCTTAGTCTGGTCTTCTCAAGAAAGCAGAGCAAACACTTGCAGAGTCCTAGTTGCACAACCGGCAACCTTCTTTCGTGTAAATACTTGTCCAAAAGGCAGCTACAACTGGAATGAAAAAAGCCCGGTTGTGGGGTGCTTTGTCATGAGGGGCTCGCCAGGAAAGCAGTGCCCCGCAACTGCTCACAGCATCACTCAAGCCATGGTTGTTCCTGGCATAGTCCCCTGACTGATTGCAGTGTTGCTCTCACACGCAAGGAGCAATTGTCCAAACCCCGAGACACACTACAAGCAGTCTAGGGCTGCACTAGGAGCAGCCACTGTTGGAGCAGTTGTTCTTCATGTACAAGAGCAGTGCTGCTTGTGCCGTGTGCAGAGCTTGGTTGCTTGCAAGTGCCCTACAAACACTGGGTGAGCTCACCAGGAAATCAGACTCTGGGCTGCCACAAAGCACACTGGTGTCTGGAGAACCGAGCCAAAGGAATCCAACCAATTCTCTCCCTGGACAGATTCCTCACACAATCCTAATTACAGACGGAGTCCAGCTAGATGAGAAGAGGTTGTGACCAAACTACACACACATACTTACCCCGGGATCCCCTTGTAAAGTCTAACAGAATGGACACTTTAAGACTGGAAGGCCCAGATCCCTGCAATGATCTCTCCAATGATGTTTCAATGCAGTCCACCTAAAGGAACAAGACAGGCATGAAAGCACAAGGTAGCCTACTTCCAGGTATGCCACATAGTCAAAATTATATAATACAGCAGGACCCCTGTATCTGCAGGCTCACTTACCACATTTGCAAGTTCACTGCGGTTGACCTTAGCCAAAATAGAAGTCGTAAAGCACTGTAAACTGCCAAAGAAAAGTTGTAAAGTGCTTCCTGTAAGCAAAAAATCTTGCTTTAACAGGGAAAGAAAAGAATTGTCTGCTGAGGTAAGAACAGGTCAATCTGTAAAAAAAGAAAATTTTTGTATGTAGCATATATAATATAATGTTTGCAATTATCCATGATTTCAGGCATCCGCTTGGAACCGATCTGTGTGGATACGGGGGTCCTGCTGTATAACCAAACTCCATATGTACAAAGAATACTGATTTTCTGAGCGTATGCATTACTGCTAAGGTTTTGTGTGCCTCTCAAGTCAGTAGAGCTTTCATAGCTAGACATCCACCTACCTGCCCCCACCCAAAAGAAGCAATTAGCGGTTGCCATGTACTGTAGGTTTGTCTTTGCTCTCCTTTTAGAGGTACAATAGGCAAAGATTAAGGTAGTGAAAAGATCCAGAAGCATTTGTGATGTTGGTGGCCCATCACAACATAATATTTCTTTCCAGCATTCCTCATTAGTCAGAAACAAAGCTACAGGAAGGCTAAAAACACTGCAAGATAAAACAATCACTCTGAATAAAGAAAGAAGGTGAAGATAATGTATGCATAGAGTCTACAGACCACCACCTGTCGTTGATACATACTGCACACATGAAGAACTGGCACACTGGCTAGCACGGTGAACGATGCCAGAGTGCAGCCAACTGGTCCATGAGGCGTCTGGGAGCACCAATCCACAAACTCTTACCTCCCATGTTACTCTGTAGTTCTAAGGTACAGCGTATGCCTGACCTTCATTCTTCTGGTCTACCAAAGCTAACACAAACAAATTTCCAACACAAAGGTGAAGGAAGATCAATGAATTAAGAGCTTTTTAAAGAGAGACCAGAGACCATCTCCAAGAAAAGCCATGTCTAAGCCACCCTTTAACCAGTCATGTCTTGAATGCCTCAAACACTTACTAGTTCTTTTTCAAGTGGTCCTGTTCCAAGGTAGAGTGATGCCAAAATTACTCGCCGCTTGGCTACCTTTATTTGTCCCTAGAAGAGAAAAAATCAGGTTTACTCAACCGTCTGTCATGTGGTCCACCCAAACTCCTTCCAAAGGACACTCAATAGTGCTTACTTTGTAAAGTGAGAATTGATGGGACTCAGACCTACCTAAAAGACAAATTGTTAATAGGAAACCCTACCCATGATTGGGAAGGGAATACAATAGTGTTAGTGAGAGATAAGAAACAAACATTCTGCACATGCACATCTTCAATCAATTAAAAGGTGCAAAAAGGACAGGCCCAACCAATGCTAATATTCTAGTTGTCATAAAGACAGGTTGTTTATCTGTAACTGTAGACCATCTGTGCATTTGCACTTTTGGGTTCTGTGCATGTGCAGAGCTGTTTCAGGAAACTCCTATAACTGAGGGATTTTGACAGGAAATTTCTCCTACTATCTCAACATGCATATCTCCAAAGTGTTCCTTGAAACCAACATTGTAGCTCTGGATTGCATCAAACCAGAGTATGACATTGAATGGGTGATTTGTGTAAATACACAGAGGACCACTCAGAGAACTACAGACAGGGAAAAGCAATCTGACTTGCTTATTCATAGTCTCTGCACATCACACATATGAGCAAGCAGCCATCTGACTTAGGAGAGGCAGGTCAGTATTCTACTGCAGAACGGAGGGGAGGACTGCATGACTGAAGGAGCGGTCAACTCTGGTCCAGGCATCCAAGCAGTAATGCTGAATGCATGTGAGCAGCATCAGCCAAGCTACAGTCCTGCACAGGTCAGGAATGGTGACATCTCTGTTGAACCTGAGCAAGACCACCACTGCAAAATAGAGTGAGCTCAGACTGGGATACACAAGTTAAGACCAGTCATGTCACAGGCAAGCTAGATCATTTGGCAACCCACAAAGCAAAGTGCTGTGTTGAGATTAGGAGAGATGTGCACTTACTGCCCTAACAGATGGGGGAGGGGAAGGTTTGTCTGAATAACTCATTCCTCAGTTTATAAAAAGCCAACACCTTGCAAACATCCAGGGAATGAAGGAACAACTCTAGCAGAGTAGATGGAGAAAGACAGAAAGAAAGCTGGAAGATCAATGTTCTGGTTTGGATGAAACACTGACACTATCTTAGGAAGGTAACTGATGTCAGGACGAAAATCCACTTTGTTTCTATGAAAAATGAGATAAGGAGGATCTGCACAGAGCAGGTGCAATTTACCTGAGTGCCATTTCAAAGTAGGAATGCCGACTTCTACGACAAGAGGTGAAAATCATCCAAAATATGTTGGATGGCAGAACAGCACAAAAGTCACTACAGTCTATCTTGAGATAATCCTTTCTTTCCTTTCCCTCAGGTTCCAAAATGCAAGAGAGTCCTTTACAATAAAGAAACTTATTGAAACTTCAGAGCTAAAAAGGCAGTGTAACTAAGTAGCCTATAAAGCTGAAAAGATAAACCTGTGCTCATGCAAAGAGTTGAACTCAAGTTAGAAACTTCTGCTCAGTCCTTCCCTCCAATCTGAAGGTCTTTGTAGTGGATAGGCCAGATGCTAGCTCTTTGCTGACTTTTCAGGGAGATATATCATCAGATTCTGTAGAAGAGGAAGAGATAATGGCAGGGGAAGCAAGGTAGGACAGAAACTCCTTCAATATCACTTTCTGCATTTTCCCAGGCCAACAATGAGAGCAAGCTGGTTTTGAAAGCAATGCAAGGAATATTAGGAGAGAAGGGGGACCAGGTGCAGGACCCAGCCCCTGATCCCTTGATGAGGTGTTGGGAGAAACAACCCAATTGGATGGTAGATCTCCCCAGCTAGCTCTCCACCAATGCAAACCACCCTGAGGATAGCATTGCATTGTTATTGAAAGGGAAGGACTGGGGAGAACTTTCCAGTTTGGGTTCAACTCTTTACACAAGAGGACGGCTTATCTTTTCATGTGGATCCCTGATCATCTTGCTGCTGAACTCTGCCCTGCTGTTGGGTAAGATGTGGCACTACTGGAAGCCAAGTGCTAGGCACAGGAGTGGGGCAAACAAGGGTCAGTGAAGGCATGACGGGGTGATAAGGATGATCCTTGTGCTGCCCATCACTGTCTTTGCCTGGACTTGGGTGATGGGTGGAAAATGGGGGAAAATATAGAGCACTGTCCTGTCCAGACAAACATCACAACATGTAGAACTTTCGGGGCCTGATATAGATATTACTTTCTCTGAGACCAAGGATCAGATAAAGCCCTCTCTGGTAAAGTACTGGGAGTACAATCACAGCTGAGACAACCAAGTGTAACAGGTTCTATGGTGCCTTTTGTCAAAGGACAAGCATCAGAGCTGCTGGCCAGAAATCCCAAACAGAGGGAGGCCCTTGAACTATAGTCTTTATGGAAGATGGAGAGTCAAGGAGTCCAATATTAGATTGGTCCAGGCTAACAGAAAAAAAACACATTTCCAAAGTTCCAAAGACAGGAAGCAGAGCAAAAAGATAAAGATGGGATAATAGCCCCATTATCCTTGCAGCAAAAACTCCTAATTTTGGTTAATGAGTATTGCTTCCAAAAGAATTGGAAGGAGAAACAAGATCTTCAAGTAACTGACTGGTATAAAGAAATTTGGAATATAGCTGTTAATGATAAGTTGACCTGTGGGATTAGCATCAAAAAGGATAAAGAAGAATGATTTTAATGCTATATTGGGTTTGTTTATTGAACATGTACTAATAAAAGGGAAGGATATTAAACCTTTGGTTGATTCAATGCAATTTTGGATGGAAGGGAGTATTTCTGAAAGAGCAGAAAGTCTGAAGAAGTAAAGAAGAAAGATATGAAAGAATAAATATTCTATAGCCATGGTGCCAGTGGAAGGGTGCACTAGTTGTATTTATATATGGGGGATTTTGGTATATTGTGTTTTTTATTTTTTATGATGTATTTTATATTTGTATTGTTTTGTAGTAGTTTATTATTAACCACATTTTTTTAAAAAAAAATAAGAGTTGCTTTCAATATATTTTCCCTAGTCCTGACTCCTGGTAGGGATAGTGCATCACAAGTGGACGATAGCAATGGAGGATATAGCTGGCTCCGTGCCATGCACTGTGCCGTATTTCACACATTCTGGACTGAATCCATGCCTCAACAGCCTTAGAATACAATAGTGGAGTTGGGAGGGGACAAACGGCCCAACTCCCTGTTCAGTGCAGGACTCCAACTTAAGCCATCCTTCTCAGATGACTGTCCAGTTGCATCCTGAATGCTTCTCGTGTGGGAGAGCCCACAACCGCCCAGGTAGTTGGCTCCACTGTTGTAATGCCTTAACACTGATGAGACCCTGACCATCCAACAGCAAGTTCTCAGTGCAAGACCAACTCTTTTGAAATATACCAACAGACTTCAGTCATGGAACCTTGAAATAATTGCACCAACCAAAACTTTGGCATCACAGTCCATCTGGTGCTGAGAAGTGGTGATCTGCTACTTGCATGTGGCTTCACCTTGGAACATCTGAGCAAGGTCCCTTTTAACTTCAGGAAGGTGGTGGAAGAGGTGCCCAAAAGTCTCCCAGAGGAATAGCAAATAACCCAACATTACTTACTTGAAAATTAGAAACCTTAATTCAAGGAAACATTCATCTTCTCAATAAGCTGAGACAATGACTTTCCTTGTTTATAGGTGAGGAGTGAAGCTTTTGTGATTTACCCTGTACTATTTCAACAACAATGGAGTTTGAAGCAGGATTAGTAAAAGCAAATGCAACCTCCATCTCCTGAAACATCCCTTCAGGTAGTTTAGACATGGGTGGCATCAAAGAAGGGGCCTTCCATTACTACTCTGGGTAGTCTAAGAGGAGCTGAACCAGCACCAGCCTGGAAAATTTTATATTCATGGCCACTGAACACTGGGTTCTGAATATAGAACTGGGCTGCTCTGTCTCAAGATCTCAAAAACAATGATCTGATCTGAAATTTGCCCCAATTTCTCTAACAAGGAGATTGCATTCCAGGATTCTACTGAAGCCTCCAGTGAAAAAAATAGATGGATGCAGACATCCATGCCAGACAGATGGGAAACACTGGAGGATTCAGTTTACACTGTTGCATGCCCTTCCTCTCCTGTGAATGTGACAGAGCCCCCAGTACGGAAGATACCATAGTTATGCAGTAACCAGCAGAAGCTGGTTTGAGTTAGCTGGATAAAATGTACTGGTGATATAGGTGGAGGCACTGTTTGGGAAGTAATTACTTGAGGGAAAGCCAGGAAGGTACTATCATTATCCCTCAGTCTTGAAATTGTAACCAAAGGTGTTGTACCCTCTGTGCAGATAGCAGAAACATGAGCCATAGTCTACTTCAGTTCCTCTATCACTTTCACTGCCTTTCTTCAGAGAAATTTCTTTGGGCTTATTTAGTAAAAGCTTGACAGTGGGAAGCTTTTTCCAAGCATGAAGAATGTCCATTTATTCCCACAATAGGCACATAACTGAAATGGCCACATACCTATTAGGCAATCACAAAAGAACATTTTTTTAAAGTAAAGGGGGAAAATGACAGAAGAAAAAGAGGAAGCAAAACCTCAGCAAACAATTCTAATATATTAAATATACTAAATATATTAACCCAATATTTCATTGAATGCAGAGAAGTTCCAAAATGAGGCTCTCCAAGCAGGAACCCACTGGAAACCCTCATGGTGGGATGTTGAGGGGATGGTGCTTGCCAAAATTCCTCAGCTATAGAAGTTTTCTAAAACAGGGCTTTGAGCTAACATAGAGCCCATATTTGTGATGCACAGAGACCACACAGAACCACAGGCTCTCCCTTTTCTCCCTTTTAAGTGTACCCAAGTTGGTACTTTTCTATTCTTACTAGTTTTCATTGCTGTACCACCAAAGGAGGCAAAGAACTTGAAAATCAATGGTTTTCAAACCATATTCTATTAAAAATCAAACACAACCAGCTGTTCAAGGATAGGCTGGACGTCCACATGGTGGGCATGTCGTGAGCGGAGCCAGCTGGTGCTGGAGGTCAGACTAGATGGCCCGGGAGACCCCTTCTGACTCGCTCTGTTTCTATGTTTCTATGTCTAGAAATTCCCACAGAGAAAGATAATTATATTAAAAGCATGATGAACAAGGCCAAGCTGGTGTCCAAGCAGTCACAACCCAAAGCTTGCACAACCCTGAGGGACAGTAGTATATGGATTCAAGCAGGAAGTCCTTTGTAGTAAGCCATATTTATTGCATGTCCAACCAACAAGGAGCTACAATTCATGTTAGCTATCTTTCAAAAACAACATCCTGGGAGTCCCCCAGCACCACTTTTCTTCATATGCAGACACTCAGCATTACCAGTCAGCAGATCTGTCCTTTCTGTAACAAGCTGAAAGTACCATGTTCTTATTTCCCCTGAAATTCAATAGAGCATGCTATGTCTCCCGGAACACAAGATAAAAATGCACTTATTCCCTTCATTTTAATATGTCTGAATCCTGAGTAATAGTCTCTCTCCTTTCAAAGTGATTGCCCTCATTGTTACAACATACCCAGAAGAAAACAATGTAGAATTTGGAAAAAGTTTTCCCCCATATACAATTGTTCTAACTTTGGGTCCTAGGAATGTTAGTTTACAAGAAGAATACCATAATGACCCATTTACTATGGAATGGTAAGGCAGTATTATTCTGATCCATAAACTTGAGAAAGTTGTTGAAGAATAACAGGACAATTGCACATTCTGAAAGTCTGATCTGCCATTTTAATATGGCAGTTTAAAGCAGCACCAGACACACTAAGGAAACACAACCTCTTGAGATCTATAGTCTCTTGCCACCCTACAGCAGTGAAGACACACCAGACCCATGCAGTGAAGATACACCAATCACCTTCATAAGTTCGTAGAATTCAGTTGGTGATGAAAGCACCTCGACATGGGAGCTGGCAATTCCAAACTGAGGGACTAAATTTCTGATCCAATGAAACCTATGCATTCCCTCAGGACAGAGGCAACAAGGCGAGACTGTTTGCTGAGGGGCAGCTGGTGAGAGCAGTGGAGCCAACAGCAGCCATGATGACCTAATGGGAGAAAGAGGTGGGTTAAGATGCATACATGAAAATATTATTTTCTCTCAAACTGCCTCCAGGTGTGTAAGCAAGGGGTAGTCAAGCCTAAAGCATTACACATCTGTCTTTCATCTACATTAGTCACCGCTAAGTCATTTCTGCCAAGAAAGGAAACACCATACAGCAAGCAAAGAAGGGCAGGCTCCTGACCTAATGGTTAGCAACTTCTCATCAAGGTGAAGGAGGAAAAGCTCTATAAAAAGTAATAAACCTGGCCCACACTGAGGAACAGCATCAGAAAGTACTGTAAGAAAGCAGTGAGGGAAGTAGTAATTTCCAAGATGCCCACTTACAGTATCATTCCATACTTCTGTTATCTACATATTATGATTTTAACTTGCCAAATAAACCAAGTTCACCATATGGATTACATACAGTTAAAAACATAAAATATAATACAATTTTTTTTAAAAAATGCTACAATAAGACTTGCAGGAAGGGGGGAATATTGGGAGAGGAAGACTGATGATGTTGAAGACGTAACACTGGCAAGATCAGTCTTGATTTTGTTATAACAGGCTTTGCTAATATAAAGACCACCCAGTTTTCACTATGTCTGTTTTACATCAGTCAAGAAACTAGAATGGAGACAGTTCTGAGTAGGTAAAAGGTAAAGGTTTCCCCTTGACATTAAGTCCAGTCATGTCTGACTGTTGGGGGCGGTGCTCATCTCCGTTTCCTAGCCGAGGGAGCCAGCATTTGTCCGCAGACAGTCTCCGTGGTCGTGTGGCCGGCATGACTAAACACCGAGGTACCCGGAACGCTGTTACCTGCCCACTGAAGTGGCACCTTTTTATCTACTTGCACTTGCATGCTTTCGAACTGCAAGGTTGGCAGGAGCTGGGACAGAGTATGGGAGCTCACCCCATTGTGCAGATTCGAACCGGCGACCTTTTGATCAACCAGCCCAGCAGCACAGCAGTTTAAACCACCTGCGCCACCTGCAGTCTGAGTAGGAGGTGTGTTTAAATTTTCAAAATTGAGGGTTCAACTACAGTTTGCTTTTTTCTTGTGTTCAGTGATCCTGAGCAATTCCAGATGAAACCTAAAACTATCATATCAACTGATACAGTCCAATATGAATAAATGTGACTCCTCCTTCCCTATTTCCTCTTAAAGACTCTAAGCATGCAGGTATGAATTCAACATCAAGTCAGTCTGCCCATCCTTTTTTTTAAGCCAAAAAGCTTTTGCAGTTTTGCCAGGTAAAGTGATCACAAAAGCACACACATATTCAAAATAAAGGTTGCAATAATACAGGTTTTATAAAAATGATTACATGTTGACTTTCTGGACTTTTATGGGGGATGGGGCATTTATTCCAAAAAGGCTATATGGTAGAAGACACATCTTAAGTCTAGATCTAGTGTAACAAAATCACCAAATGCTAGCTTTCAACTATCGGTAAAGCTTAGGCAGAAGTCAAGGAATGCTTTATATCAGCACCCAGTTTCTAGGCTTTGGCATTTTTGCAGCTTTAGTTGACATTTTGAGAATAATATCAGAACAGAACAAAATGTCAAATTTGTAAAGAAAGTAGTTTTTGTCAAAGTTACATTACTGTACTTTACAAAAGCATTTCCTCATAGACGCACAATACTTCCAGTAGCTATTTTACAAGCGGCTGATCCTACACCATTCTGTGATTGTGATTTACTATGACACACCACTACAAGTCTTCACATGCATGGACTGTACCAGACTTTTGAGGAACTCTTGGTCCAAAGCTCAAATGACCACAGATTCCAGGAAGATGATTTCACTTATTTGCTTCATGATAAAATGTTTGCAAGCATCCTTGCACAAAAAAACCCAGACACTTTGCCACTGCACTTCCCAGAAAGCCCACCAGTTTGTCACTGCCTATTCATCACAATGGAGATCTGACTCAGTGTGTACAAGAATTCCTAGCAATTTTGTTTTTCAACAGTTCGTGGGGATGGAGCACTTCTTTGGCAATACTGGGTTACAGTAATTTGGAGGGAAAGTTCCATTCTCTTTAGACCAAAAGCAGAACTCTGAAACACTTCCCCTCTGCTGTCATTGAACAGGCAATTAAAAAGCAGCCATGTGGTTTGTTCACAGCAAACCAGAATTCTTTAGAAGCATGACCAATTTGTGCTCATTCATTTATATAACATGATCCTTCTAAGGTGAATCAACCCTCCCAGGCCAGTACTTTATTAATTTATACACATGCCACACTGAACTACAGAAATCTTTAATCTAATTTATATTAGGAATCACAGGGCTAAGGCTGCCTTAAGAATTTTTTCCCTGATGAGCTCAGATAATATTGTCCACTTTAAATAATTAACACAGATGTCCGTATGAATTGAAAGTAAGCTTCAGTTTTATTTCCATGGATAACAATGCTACCTCACAACGATTTTTAAAGCTTCTGCAATATTCTATAATCATTTAACAATGCAATGTGGCCATTCCTATTCAGAAAAAATAGCAGTCCTGAAGCATACTTTGTTGTTGTTAGTCGCGATAGTGTCTGACCCATCGCGACCCCATGGACAACATTCCTCCAGACCTTCCTGTCCTCCACCATCCCCCAGAGTCCGCCCAAGCTCACACCGACTGCTTCAGTGACTCCATCTAGCCACCTCATCCTCTGCCACCCCCGTCTTCTTTTGCCATCTATTGTTCCCAGCATTAGGCTCTTCTCCAGGGAGTCCTTCCTTCTCATTAGGTGGCCAAACTATACTTAGGTCTCCTTATTTTCGAGATTTTTCAAGAACCTATCTGTGAACCTTTAAACAAAATGCACTATGTATCTTTTTCCCATTAATGACACTAGGATGATGGATTTCTGTATGTCAAACCTGAAAAAATTAAAATAGCAGCAAAAATGGCCATCAAATACCAAAAGCAGGTAACTTATCCCAAGAAATCAAACAGGTAACCTGAACTAGAAAAATGACACTTAAGACTGCCCAAGTTTAGGGTCAAAATTACTCAAAAAGGAAAATGAACTGAAAAGAGGGTCTTGTTCTGAATTTGAAGCATTTGCTATTTATAAATCTGGGGGTTTTGGAAGTTCTATTTTAGGAAGTGGAGTTTTGACTAATATTGCGATAAACTGAGCCTCAGCATCACAATTCTGGTTAAAGCTCAGCTGCTTCACCGGAGGAGAGATTACAGGATATACTTCATTGTGCTATTCACCCACACAAGTGCCACAACACAGTGACTTCTGCCAACAGTTCTTGATTCACTGGAATGCTTGAGTGTCTATTACTGTATTTCTGCATAGGCTGTGACTGAATCTGGGAAACAAGTTTTATTGCTAACAAACTGATATAATGAACAATAAAGGCTTGAGGATAAGGTCCTTAAACTGCTTACTTAAAAAGGCTATGCATGAATATGTGGCCTTAAACTTTTGCTTTCCCTTGTTTTAACTGAGTCATGCTTACTGGATGCTATAAATTGTACATTTCTTGTTGCTCTCTTCCTTTCATGTAACATGATACCTTTTGTGAAAAGAGATACATAATAATAAAAGATGACATTGAGAACAATAAAATCAGAGGCATGGAACACTAAATTATTCTACAGCACAATTGGGCTGTCCCCTATACCAAATTGGAGGTTGGAGTAAAGGAAGTTTTCTAGGGTTAATTACTCATCATACATTGACAATAAGAGCTTCTTTTAATCCATGATGAGGTGCAGCATGGGCTAGTGAGCACCAAGACAATTTCTGAATATTCAAGCTATGACTTGTAAGAGGAAAATGTTAAATGGTTGGGTACCATGGGATGATGCGCACCATCAAATAAACGTCCTATTTAAGTCATGGTGGACCATCATAAGTGCTGGTGGCCATTTTGAATATTAAAGCCACGGCTTGCTGTGTCATCCAAACCAGGATGTTGAGGTTGGGATAAAGAGTTCCCGAATAATCCATGGCTTGTTCTAGAATGATGTGAGGGTCATTTAACCCTTTAACAAGTCTGAGAACAAACATTTACAATAAATAAATAAATCCTTATTTCCAAAAAGCTGCTAAATTCTATTACAAATTATAATAGATAGATGCAGATTCTGCAAATTTCCATATTTCTTGGACCTTTTTGCTCTACAAACCACATTTAACTCATCCAGCTACTTTTCCAGCAATTGATTCTTTATAAAAGTTGCCAACAAAATTATGACTTGGAAGGCATCCCAAGTTTGGAAAACAAGACAGGATTTTTTTTACACACAAAAATAACTATCATTTCTTTAGAATAAAGCTTTTAAAAAGATTGGTTTTGAACATAGTAAGTTTTACTGTAGACAAATAAGCTGTCATAAAAAGAAAAAGTCAGTATACCTGCAGGAGGTGGGGGGGGGGAGAACTGAAGTAAACGCAACATATTTCCTGTAATATTGGCAGCAAATCCTTTTCCCCAGATAATGCAAGACCCAAATACAATTCAGATGCTTTCCTTCTCACATGTCAGGGTTAAAACTAGAAACTAGTGCACTGTGTACATTTTATATGCAAAGCATTTTGTAGCACATGCTATCTTTTATTCTCTGAGAAACCCTGCAAGTGAAGCTAATACTAATATTTTGCTGTTGCAAGGGAGGCTGAAAGACAGCAGTGTTTTTCATATAACTCAAGCTCTTCTGAATTCCTAAATCATGCCACATGCCACTGGACCTCAATATTGATTAGAAAATTAAGACTCATGAAGAAACAAAAACACTTTGCTTCAGAATAAACAATGCTTAACTATAAAACATGAATGTAGAGGTTCAGACATCTACATGAAATACTAGTATGTATGATACGCAGATGTGATAAGCAGTTGAAGAAAAGACAAGCTTTGAGGCAGTCTATTTCTGTTCCTTTAGAATCAAATATATAATATGCTGCCATGTTTAGCTGCTTTAAGAAAAGAAAGAATACAAAAGGCTGCAGTTATCCTATTTTGAGAATTATTTGTACA